GAATATATTCTAGTTCCCGCATAAATTTGAATAAGTCGCAATCTTGTCTTTGTTAATACTTGATAAATGAAGCCTTAGGGTGAATCAATTTATATGCAGCTAAAGCGCATAAAAATTTGGACAGTAGCAATAAGTGATCACAGAATTTCCTCCATAAACTGCCCGAATACTGCTAACGACGATTTGTCGGCCTCTTCTATTTGCACTAATTTCTAACCTCTACTCGACGTCGTGAATGTCCTAAATATCCTGTATATACTAATATCATGCAATACGCACCAGCGCCATACACGAAAAATATCCAGGATTGTTACCGGCTTCTCGCTCGATGAACGTCCCGGTATACCCTCTGTCTAACACCCATTTATACCAATAGTCTTTTTTTTCTGTCGATCATCAAAACTCATTTCTTGTTATAATATAGCAATAGCATTGGGACCCCGTAGATCTTACAGCAAGTCAGTCCAAGTGACGCAAGTCACATAATTAGTAAAGCTCCAGGAAACACACATCATCATCCACCCCAATAGAAAATGAATGAAGAAGCGTTCAGTGCTGAATACTTCCAGCACTTGCTAAGTTCGCTAACCCTAAATTCAAGAGCATTGATTGCGGAGCTCACAAGTTTGGCAGAAAGATTTGTCGATAACGCTCAAGAAATCGTTGAGCTCATCGATGAAAGGATAATGAAGATATTGCCGAAATACAAACTTTGCTCGTTCTACTTGATGGATTCCATAATTAAAAATATCGGAAATCCATATAATTTATTGTTTGCTACTAATCTATTCAAAAACTTCACGGAATCATACTTGATAATAGATGATACACCTACCAGACAAAATTTGATCAACTTATTCAAGACTTGGGTAACTGGGAAAACAAGCGCCGGACTGGACATCTTTCCAAAAGAAACATTGCTCAAAGTTGAAAAATTTATTATCCAAGCTACTTCACTCACCAGTTCTGTGCAACATGAGAGCACGAGAATCACACGAGACATGGTTTTAAGAGAGGGAAATTATCTTTTGCAGTATGTGATTTCTCTAGACGATGAGTTTGAAAAAGCCATTGACTGTACTAAGAAACACGAAAAAAACTATGAAATTCTCCGAAATTGCAGACTTGCCCGCAACAATTTGATTCTGGAAATAAACCTCATCAGTGAGTGCACAATGCTAGAGAGCAGAGATGAATTCGACAGAAAAAAAGACCACTATGTTCAGCGACTTCGAGAAATAAGAAAGGTCTTTGATGACCAAGGAAAGATACAACATGGTGTATTACAAATACCAAAGGAGGTAAACAGCACTCCCAAAGATGATCTTGAAGCTGAAACGATATTGTTGAATCTCACGCCAAAACGTATTGATGTCTTGAGTTTACTCGGAGAAACAATTGATCACGCATTTGAATCTGCCGTTAAACTGTGGGGCGTTCATCGCTTTGATCGACCCATTTTAAGCGTGGATCTGGAGTTAGTAAACAATCGCACAGCTTTGAATCAAGAACCAGAGGCAGTGTCAGGAAATTTAGCAGGGACCTTGGGTATAAGCTATGATGCAGTCAATTTCCAGGGAATGGGCCCTGAAGATCAAGTCAAAGAAATTGCATTGGACCTGTCTGGATTTTCCTACGAAGATGAGGGTGACGGCTACGATCCTGAACTCACTTTCGACGATTCAGACAACAAGCACAGTCCACCCTCAAGTGCAACCAATGGTGTGTTTGTACCTGGAAAATCAAGTTTAAAAAGGACAAATCGCAGTGAGGAGAGAGCGGTGAAAAGAGTTCGTTTTGAAGTATGAAAACGGCTCTCATTTTTAATAGTCTCTACTCAAATATCTACATATGCCATTATCCTGTTCATGACTGTCAAGCAATATTGTCAGAGTTGTTGAACGATAACTATACTTCGACACAACACGGTCTACCATGACAAAAATTTCAATAATCTGAACATTTCTCACGTGAAAGTATCCATGTATTCATTCGTGTACACATCTAAGCTAAATTTCCAGACTTTTTCATGTGCCAGTAAGAGGTCAAGAATGGGAAAGCAAAGAAGAATCCGTAGGTCCCCCACCACACAATACCAAAAGGAATCTTTCTGTCCTTAACTTTGAATGGCAAGTTGGAATAAATACCAGTTTTTGGGGAGCCGTACACTGAGTTCATTGTAACGGCAGAAGTTTGAAAGTTTCTTGTGGCTCTTGGAGCTCTCATGCCAACCCGGGAAATCATTTTATTTTTTATGTTCTCAAGTGATCAGAATTGTAGAACTGAAGAATTTCGTTACGATTCGTAAGGCGTGCGCCAAAACATCGGTGCACCCTTCTTTATGTGGGCCCACTTTTGATGCGCTTTTATTGGCTCAATGGGCTGAGTCGAAGTCCTCAGTCTCCCTGTAGACAGCTGACTCGCAAAAAAGCCATCAGCACACGATTCTTACACCAAACACACAATTAAAAATGGCCATTGCTCCAATTACCGGTACTTTAAGAAAAAAAATTATAACGGATATCTCCGTTGGCTTCGGCATTGGCTTCTTGCTGGCTGGTCTCTACTGGAGATACGAGCACATGCCTATAGTCCAAAAAAGAGATGCCTTTTACGCTAAGTTGAAGGCCGAGAAAGAAGCCGAAGATTCTGTCTGAAAGGCCTGAGTATCGCTGCCCACTTTTGTGTATATGCATTAATAAAAGTTTACTTGAATTTAGCTTGGTGTCGAAATGCAGATTGTGCTTCTACTCAATGACTTGCCAGAACTTCTTGTTACTCACAAGACCTGTGGTTACGACGAGTATTTTTCGATCTAGCTTGCCTTGTAGATTTTGAAAGGCACTAATTTCGCTTCTGGTGATACCGCCGAGTATAACCAATATAACGTAATGCTGTTCAGTTCCCTTCATGGCTCCTTTTCGATTCTCCAGCATATCACATACATTTTTGTCAATAGTCTGGCCTTTAAACATCGTATCGATGTTGAGATTATGCCAGTTGGGTCGCTTCAGAACATTATTCACTGGTTTATACTTCAAAAACTCTCGGAAGTAAAGCAGTTCAACAATTCGGGTGATGAGCGGTACTGTCGCGGAAGGAAGTGTGAATGATGGCTGTTTATAGTCGAAGACAGTTTCCACGGCAGAGCTGTCAGTGTCTTCCTCTTCTAAAGGGTGCAAGTTCCAGAATTTGCTGATCAAAGTATACGTGCTTTTATACACATCTTGACCACTTGATATTCCAACAATTGATGAATCTTCATAGCTTATCGCATCTGCCGTCACAGGATTATTGCCTGCAGTTGTGGCGAGAGTCGATGCAGTTGTTGTTTCAATTTCTGTTTTCCCGAAGGTAAATGCTCCGAAAAAATCAGTCCCTTTTGTGTGAACTTTTATGATTTTATAATCCAAAAGCTTTCTCAATGTTAAAGCACCCTTCAAGCCAAAATTCAGTTGTATGGAAATAAGAATTACATCCATGTCGTGTTGGCGCCAACCGTCATTGATAAGGGATGTCAACACAACTAGACTCATGACGATCTCGAAAGGGAACGATTGTTCCATCATCGAGTGCACTTTTTTTACTTGTTGCTTGTAATCAAGATCAAAAACCTCGTTTTGAAGCTCATACCACAACTCATGTGCATTGAATTTTTGAGTTCCGTCCTTGTTACACTTTATAAGCTGGAGCATTGTCTCACTCAAATGAGTATGTTTGCGAATCATGTCCTGTTTCGAGCTTAGGTTTCCAAGGTTCTTTACTAGCTGCTTGATCTCTGCCAAGTCGTTTGCCTTGCCATTTTGCTCAAACTCCAGTTGTATGTATTTGGCAAGCTTGTTTAGTTTCACCCCAATTGATGCAAAATTAAGATGCTTTAGATTATGAAAAAGTTCATCGTCCAACTTGTCTTTTGTCGAAAGAATATTATTAAGCTCATCGTCCGTTCCAAAAAGATCATCCAATAGACCCATATAGTTTGTGTGGCTGAGAACAAGAGGAAAATAGTCAAGATTTCTCTCTAGAACTATCAAATCCGTATTTCCTGATTGCTTCTTCGAGTAAAACTCTTGTTCATTGATCGTGAGTTTTGTAGACAAAAACTCTGGGATGCTTTCCTCAACCAAAGTTTTTATCAAGAGACTAGAATGGTCACCCTTTGCGAATATGTTTTTTATTTTGATGATATCCTTGCGAGCCGTAGTCTCAGATAAAATATCCATGAATAAGTCATTAAGACTGGAAACAATCTTAAGAGGGTTTTCAAGATATGCTGAAAGACCACCATCCTCCATATTGATCGAAAAAATGTTGTCATGAATGAGAAAAGGATAAATTTTCCATGAAAAGAGTCTACACTTGGCAGACAAACGGATAGTTGAAGTCTTGGGATCAAATTTTGAGCATTTCTCAAGTATGTCTTCGGAGTAATTGAGCATGCTTCGTAGTATCTGATAGTAAAATGAGGCATTTAGGTTTTGAACAATTATGTTGATATTCGAAAGCTTTTGGTGATCAATCCATGACCAAAACTTCTTCAATTGCTTAATGCCGGTATTCTCATTGGATACAATAACTGTAAGTGAGGTGTACGCCTGTATTGTATTCAAAAATTCATCTTTCAGGGAAACTTGATCAATCAAAACGCTTCGATCAAACCCACCTGTTTCTTTCAACACCCCAAATGGTGTCAAAAAATTCAAAACCTTGGAAGTCTCGCGTGATGTTACTAGTAAATTACCGACACAGTTCGTCTGGGATATGCTTGCGAGCAAATTCTCCTTAGATGATGTATGGAAATGAGCGCCAAGATTTTGGAAATTCATCGTTGAGTACTATGGCTGCCCTGGGTCTTGCCTGTCCAGCGTTAGTTTGTCAGTCTTTGTGGTGCATAGGAGTTTGTGCGCGAGGGTTCATACTCTTTTTACATTTACACGCACATCATAAAACCCGAAAGGAATCCACCTTAGAATTACCCTTCCCGTCCAGATTTCTTGTGTTGTTTTATTATCGCGGTTACCCATAAAACTTCACGTGGATTCCGCACATCGCATCAGCAAGAGTTTACATACTTTTGACTACGTCCTTATGTGAACCAACAACTTCGTAAGATTTCTAATCGTTCTGCAAAGTGGTATTTATTACACCAAATATAATGAAGGAATTTTTTGAAGTGACTTAAGCAAGCCTTTTTGTATGTAAATTTTGATTCAAGTCTAAATCTTTGCTTCCCTTTCAATACCGTTAAAATGTGCAAGACCTTCTTGGAATACAGTTGCCACATGCTGCTTAGCGGAATTATACATCTGAGCTTCCAACAAAAATCTACCATTTGAGTATCGAATGGCTTTGAAAGCGAATCCCATCCACTCGGTTGCATCGAAGTCCGTGTCGTGAAAAAATATTGTATGATCCAACGAGACCGAAAAATAATGAGCATAATCGCTGAGGTCGATGTCAGGAATCCTCAATACACGTGCAATCCTTGTCAGGAACATGGAGTCTGATAAAACTGCAAGTGCAGAAAATTGATACGCGGAGTCCGTTATTTCAACATCGCCAAGACCTAATCGCACAAACCAAGCTACCCTTCTATCTGTAGCGGGTATGTTATCTTCCTCTTCGGATCCCTTTAGAGTAACTAACTTTGTTGGGATTTTGTGGTATATCATCCGCAGAGAAGTTCTACGGTCAACCAATAAATCATCGATGTTGACCTCTTTCAACCATTCCGGGTATGGCACCTGAAACTGAAAAGGCTTGTCAATCACAGGTTCGTCATCTTCTTCTTCGACTTCCTCACTTTCTTGAAGCTTACCATTCGCCCTCGCTATTTTTCTGTTCTCGATTTTGAGGCGTTCTTTCTCTTCATATTGCTGGTATGCTAGTTCCGCAACTTGCAATGAATTTTTTCTTGCAAGCGAGATTGTAGCGGTAAACTTTGTCTCTCCTTTTTGAACTGCGCGGATACATCTCCCACAAAAGTTGTTGCCGTTCGATATTTCATCCACTTCCCATTCAATGGATGCCTTTTCACTGACGATCTTTGCAAAATACGAATGTACTGAATGTGGGGTAAATCCTTTTGGAGCACTTTTTATTGCTACAAGCACCGCCTGGCCAACTATATTTCCGCCGTATACTCCTTTAGCACTAGGATGAGCCTTCGTGAGAGGATGGTTGGCAATGTAGGTATTCTTTCCAGTCTTTCTGACGCTGAAAATATCCTGGAATTGAGACATAGTTTCGGAAAATGGGGAGATGCTCTTCGGCAGAAAAATTCTGAAATGATAAAAAGCTTAGCGCAGTCTAAAACTATCTATCAGGTCAATGTCTCCCCTATTGCCAGGCTGGCGGAAGACTAAGTGGGGACAACGAAATCTTATATTGCGACGGCATCCTGCCAATGGGGGTGGAGGGCATATGCCAATTCCCAGGCGTGGCGCGGTACAAGAAAATGGGCAAGTTTAAGAGACGTCTGAGCATCGATATATCGTACTAACCCCGCCCGAGTTCCGACCACCTTCAACGAGATCACGTTTCAAATTAGAATTATTATGTCTGTGAACGAAAAATAGAGGAATTTATTTTTTGAGAATCTGTTGTTATCTATGAAAATGGTGTTGAACAGCGCTTAGCGAATTTGAAAATTCTCTAGATTCAAAGCTTGTATGACCCTAATTTGTTATTTTCTATTAGTTCCAATGGAAAGAAGCATAATGCTTCTTGCAGTGCAATCGCCACCAACCGCTCGTCAGTGGTAAAATACCGGCTGGTGACTAGGACTCTGTCGTTACTCAATCGCTCAAACTTATAGTCCAAGTACATCCACTCAGTAGGATCAAAATTGGTATCATGATAATATACTGTGTGATCCAAAGATACGCGAAAGAAGTTCCCCTTTTTATAGTCTAATTTGGGAAGCACAGCTCTCATCACGGTGCTCAAGTAGAGAGAATCCGAAGCGAACGCGAAGTCCACCATCTTGGCTTTCTCTACGTCATGGGCAGAAGCCACATTGTCGTTCACCTTGAAAAATAAACCAAACTTGCGAGCGCCGGGGTCTTTCTCCATTTCATCTTCTGGCGCACTCCACGTCTCAGGGACAAATATATGTGACAAATTTCCGTTTGTGTGCTCCATGAACGGCATAGATTGTAGCTTGTCGACATACTTGTGGAATGTGTAATGAGGGGACCTCAGGAATTCGAAAGGCACTTTTGTTCTAGGGTGACGCATTTCCTTCTCGGGCAATTTCGAGAATTCTAGTTTTCTTTGTTGGATATTATTGTTCCTCGTAAAAGATGCCATTAGGGTAAAACAAAGTTGGTCGTTGTGCAGCTGGTAACATTTCACCAATTTTGAAGAAAAGCTTCGGCCCAGGGACAATGTGGTCACCTCATAGCGCATTACCGAATCCTTCAGTCCGGCTTTTAAAAAATAGGAGTGCAACGAATGAATATCAAACTCCCGATCCTCAATTGAGTCCCATGCCGCCCTAAGACTCTGAGCAACAAATTCACCTCCGTAAGTGCCTCTGGCATCTTCTCTGAAAGGCTCCAAAGGGTATCTGCCGATAAATTCTGTGGGTGTTTTCTGGATCAACAGGAATTTTTCTTCCATTTTACACATTTTGGTGCTTCGGAATGTATCTTCGGAACTCATACTGTGTCTCAAAAGAATCCCGAAAATCGCAGAGGCAGGTTGAAATCAGAAAAATTGTATGTGCTAAATATATGTCAAGAAATGAAGTCTGGAATATGTGTTGGCTTTTGCAATTCAAAATCGACCGTGATGCACCTATTGACCCGGCTCGCCGACCCGGAAAACCAGCGAGCCTCGGTGCAACTGAGATACCGAGGATCAAACGCGAGCTGTCGAGATTTGCGCAAGGACCCTGCCCCACGCCACGTCCGCAGTAATGTGCGCGGACCTCGAATGTATGGACGACGGGATTTATGAGGTTCTGAGGTCGTCCGGAGATGCCGTTTTCAAAAATTAATAAAAACTTCTCGTTCAGTTTAAAGAATGAATTGCAGCTATTACTAAAGAAGCTTATGGAATGTTTAATTCATGTGGGAACAATTGCCGCCTAAATGAGCTTGCTATGGCTTTTATTTCCGCACACATGCCACTCACGTTTTCGATTTCCTCGATTTAGTTTTTGTTACAATATGACTCGTCTACGAGATAAATTTAAAAAGATTGGTTATCGTTGAAGCGTGCTTCTAACGGAATTTTTGCTGGAGATATAACCTAAAGTTTTGGGAATTTTTTACCGGTCGTTCCAGGCACGCCTGGTTTCATGAACGTCAAACCCTCTTGTATAAACGTGGCGACGCAAACGCCGTCTTTATTCATGAAGTGACCTCTTACTAATGTCCTGGAATTCCTTGATATCATGAATTGATATGTCAAGAAAAGCCAGTCATTCAATACATCGAGTTCATCGGTATCATCGACGTGAAAGTAGAGATGATGATCCAACGACATTGCCGTGTAATGAAATAAATGCATTGCATTCAAAGACACATTCATAATTTTTCTGGCATCTTTTTCTGAATCAAATTCTTCTCTAGGATTATCAGCGGTGGGATTCCATTCTAAATGAAGTGCACGAGCCATGGTTGTAAGTATCGCAGCATCTGAAAGATGCGCTAAACCAATGTAATTGAGTTTTGGGTCGCTCATTTTAGTCTTTTGCGGCTGATGAAGCTTGCTCCATAGGTGAATCCACCTTTCGCTCGGCTGCATATTGCGCTCATCAGGACATAGCTCGTAGTTAAGAAATTCTTCCGAGAATGCATTCACAATAAAGTCCGTGTGATAAGTTTTATAGAGCAACGAAGGGTCTTTATATTTTTTGAAGAACATAGATTCCGTATGCACGTAGTCTCCCAAAACTTTTGACTTGAAGTTGACACCTTTCTTCTTGAGCGAACACATGGCTGTGAATGTGACCTTCCCGTCCTGCAACATGGTTACTTGCCTTTGACAAAAAGCCTTCCCATCATTAAGAGATGAAACTTTGTAAATACACTTGGATTTAGGGTTTCCTGCTCTTATGAAATGAGAATGAAACGAATGGGGAACATATCCTGGTGCAGTTTTCATCGCCACTAACAATGTTTGAGCACACATGTGACCCCCATAGACACCACGAGCCCCAGTGAGCGGAAGTCTCAAAGGATGATTTCCCTCCCATGTAGACTCGTCAATTTGATGAACTCCTGTTGCTTCTTCAAAGTCTCTGGCATTTTGTGGCTCTGCATTTCCTGGCATCTCGGATCATGCGGGGATACAACGAAAAACTTATAAGATCCTAAACTTGAAGATTTCGCGAAGAGTTCACAACTAGGACAATGAACTGTAATTTTTCGTGTTTTTTTTCTCCTGTAACTATCTCTTGTTACTATATTAATTCGCTCTTCACCAGAAAAAGGCTCGCTTTTTATTTGACTTATCATTCTAATTCTCAGCATGGACTGCATAACTACAGAATCATTCCTGTTGAGAAGACAACCTGTCTGTATACAACGACGCTAATCCAAAGATGAATGCGGGGTTGAAGTGAGTGTTCCGAGTTGATTTCGAATATGATATTTCCCCACACAGTACTTCTTCTTCTTCAATTGTAGGTGCTTTTAGGAATTGAACCCTTATAGATCTGCTAAGCTAATCAACTTTGTTTTAAGATAACAGACACTGCAGTTTGGACCTGGTATACACTGTGAGACGAAAGATCTATTGCACATACAGAAAATCTGAGTTCCCTGGCTACTGAGTAATATGCTTCATTTCGACACAGTATTGAAATGACAAAGTTTTCATGTTGACTTCTTTTGATATCAAACTACTCCGCTTCCCTTGACCACTTTTCATAAAATACGTCCGTCCCTTTACCTAATTTAGCTTGCCTCCCGGTAGACGAAATGCTATTGTATCTTGGCCTGCTGAGTATGTTTTACTCCCAAGCCGGAGGTCAAGCAAAAATGGCCCCTCCCAATTTCAAGTAAAGATTGTATAGTTGTCGGTTTTTTGCGCTGTGAGCTGAACTTCATAAGTCCGTACGTTTATGTCCTCAGACACCTAGTGTGTGCTCTATCCCTCGTTATCTGGAACGATACAAACAAAACAGACTATCCAGTTATTTGTCTCATATTATAAACTATTTGCCTCGCGATACATCTTTTTTCAATTCATCATCTTAATATATCATGGCTTTCACCCAAATGACTTTCAAAGTCGTACTTCTTGTCTTTTCAAAGTTTCTCAATTATTCGAGAGGCATGATTTAATCTGTTTTGATGTTTAACATGTTTTAAATCACTCGCAAGTTCTTCCATAAAATTATCCTTTTCTTTTCTTTTGATCAAGTTTGGAAGCTCATTGATACGAGAATACTTGGGAATATGCAATGGTTTTGTCGAGGCGCTTTCAAATAATCTTTGTGATATCTCTAAACTTGCAGTGTCTGATACATCTCCCGTCTCTCCGCTTGGGATGCTCTTGAGCCCAATGAGCTCTCTTTGTTTGACCGTTAAAGGTAGATCTTTACATTGGTCTTGAGGCCAAAGAACCATCGCGATATCGAAAATGATTATTACCACAAAGAGCCACAACAAATGACGTGCATATTCATGAGCTTTACCCACTAGAGTCACCGCATACTCAACATGATGGGGTTGAAAGAATTTTATGAGGAAAGCATTGTCAGGGCTTGCCTCCAGTCCGTGACTCGCCCAATATATTTGAACAACTTTCTGAGTCACTACAAAAAAAAAGTGCGCACTGAAAAGCCGTAAAATATTAGTCCAAAGTGTTTTGAATTGCAATTCCTTGCTGACCTGTCTAGCTAAAGCCTCTCGTACCACAGGACTTGTCCACTCCCCAGTTGGAACAGCTTCTTTGTCGAGTTCATCATCGCTCAAATCTTCATATTCATCGTTGTTTACTTTCTTCTTCTCTTTACCAGACTCTTCATATGCAATAATCGGGTTCCTTGATTGCCGGTGTAAGCTATCAGGAAGGTAATCATTCGATATAACGGATCCCAGTTCGATCAGTGGTCTGATATACTGGGAATGATGAGTATTGGGCTGAGGGGTACCACCAGCAAACAATTCATCACTGGATGAGAGGTCGCCATATTTTTTAGTATTCTTGTTTGAAGCCTCTGGTGATACTTGATTTACTTCGCTGGGTAATGGCTCGAATTCATGAGATATGAGATCGAAAAAATTCGAGGCTCTCTTCAAGAAGAAATTGTTTCCCGCCTCATTCACATCAGACCCAGTCATATCTTTTAATGATGAAGCGTGATTTTCATCTTCCACACCAGTACTATTTCCCTTGGCGTCCGAATGGGCAAAAAAACTTCTCACACCAGTACTTAAGGGCATCTTAACAGCAAAATGACATTTATAGAACCGACATGGTTGAGGAGAGAACGACTCGTGTGTGTTATATGCAGTAATAATTGTTTACCGTCTGTATATAGCATTCAAGTACTTCGAGGTGTAATTAAAGGGAGGTCACATCAGCCTGATGCACCGTGATGTTGTTTTTCAGAACAAATTGGCATATCATATCCACAGGTGAATAGATAAAAGCAGAGATGTCTAAAAAATATGTTTTTCTTTGGAATCTAGTACAATTCCAGAACTTTCCTGCAGAAAACACAGCATTTTCCTACAAGCAATCGAAGGTGACTTTAAAAATCAGGGAATTTGTCAATACTAGATATATCAATGTCAAACATGAATAATAAAAAATTTATTTGAGAGCAGCTACAAAAAATAAAATGGGAGAAAGAAAATTTGGAACTTTTCAGAAATAAAGTTAACGTTTATAAACGAAAATTGAGCATCTGCATGCGATAATTTCACAAGTCCATTCTTTTTGTTCATCTTTCGGAAATGTATCAACTTATATTCTAGCCAGTTTGATGCGCGTGATTTCGAAAAGTGGAATGTCTAAAATGGTCAAAACAAAGCGAGTTTTTAAAAACTTTGAAGGATATACCTAAACAAGTTATTGGCGTCAAAAAAGTCGCACAAAATCACATGCGGAGTAACAAAAGTTGCCTTCTCTACTAATCTACCATTTCCTTTTCACAACTTGAAGTTTCGGCTGTGTACCCTCAACTAACAGAATAAGATTGACTTGGTTTCAGAAGGCTTTTAACTTCATGATTGTTTGTATCACCCGAAATCCCAGAAGATTGTGTAGTCAAGTTAAAATCTTATCTTGTTTTGATTTTTGGAGCGTCTTACTCTTATATCATACAAGACAGTTCAAAGTGGCCATCAAATGGAGCTTGATCTGAGTTTGATCCAATTCGACAGATTAACTACATAGCTTCTTGAAGCTTAACGCAATACTTTGAAATATTCATATTTAAACTTTGAAATTCCAATATATTCACGAAGAGATGTGCTACGTTCTAAAACTTATTTATTCTCATGCAAGATAATCTCGGGTTTATATGTCTTATTATTCAAACTATAAAACCTCTGATTCGAACATTACTGATGCTTGCTAACAGGACATCACACTTTCTATGCTCTGATTCTATCACACATTCCAGTGTCACGATAATTCAAGTGCTTACGAGGGTCATTTTGTTTTTTCTCTTTATATTGATTTAATGTTTTATTAGATGGTATTGCACAATAAAGGAAAATGGTAGGCGAGTTCCTAATCGAGAGTGTGTTTAACATGTCATGGAACCGTATCTTCCTATCTCGATCTCTCAACGCTGTGAATGATACATCAATAATTTGAGCAATCAAGAGTGAAATGATCAAATAATTAAAACGATAATTTTCTCTGAGTGTTAGTATTCTCTTAGCTTGTGTATTACTCTATCACGATATGACAATTTTCTGAGCTTCTAGTGAAGAGAGGCGAACAGAATTGCCCTCAGAGAATTGATTCAAGTCATACACTTCTATTCAACTATCAAAATGTTTGTTTACAGCTGGTCAACATTCTTATTAAGTTTAGTAATTAAGCGACAACTGTATGTCTAAAAATATTTTAAAACCTCTTCTCGAAATTCTTGGCACGTATTTCTGATTAGCATCCTTGGCCAAAACAGCCTTGACAAATCTTACATAAACCAATATGTGAGCTGTCTATCAGCTGCAATGAAATTCCAGCAAAAGCGGTTTACGAGCTTTTGGAACAGGTTAAGTTACTCTAAATGTCGAAGATCGTGCTAAGTGAAGAGAGAAAAACTTGAACTAGTTGTTTATCTTTCGTTATATATATTTATTTAAATAGGCCGACAAGTCTAAGGTAGTGATCATCTTTTTCTAGACCCAAAATTTCCGCTGTTTTTGCTCTTTTATTCCACCCTTACATCTGTCGCATCACTGATTTTCTTAGTTTTGTTAGTAATAATTCCTCTGATAAATCAGCAGCTGTTATTTTAAACTAACTTATCAAGCGAGAATTATACTTTCAGGTATGATCAAGGGCACAAAAAACTATTTGTGAGAGTATCCACACTTTGGAACAATATTTCTACCTCATCTGGTCTTCAATCACTCTAAGAAAATAAATTGAGCTATTAAGTGTTTGGAATACAATATAAAGTATCATCAAAAGCAACATAGTGACAGCTTTCTATCAAAGTTCATAGTCCTCAGTAAAATTACCAAGATGTCGAAGATTCCCCATTGACACCATGGTAGGACGACCATGCGCGCACTGAAAGGGTAATTTGCAGCTTCCTAATGTCTTCGTAAGGTACAACATTTCGCTAGTTGTGAGAATTTGGCCAAACTTTATACTCCGCCTACATGCCAGATCACCTATTGCATCACTTAAGGCTTTAGGAAGATTCATCATGTACATAATCAAATCATTGGGGCTTTTCTGTCTGTTGAACTTCAACATCTTATCGGTGGAGATACCATGTTTTAGAAGATACGCCTTCAAAGAGCCCGGGCTGATGAATTTATGTAAGGGGTGAGGAAGATGCGTTAGTATGAGAGAAGATTTTGAAACCTTGAAATCTAGTCCAAAAGGAACTAGTGCTTGACAAATTTCCAACAACGGTTTTTTTTCCTCGGGAGTCATGGATATTGATATTGGTTTGTGACATCTAACACGCAAGTCGCATTCGGGATCATGAGTCTGATCCATGTGTGTCTTTAAAAACTTTTCAACCGTAATTCTCTCGTCACATGCGTGCTGGTCTATCACTAGAACATTTGCACCAATGGTCACAAGAATAAACAGTCGGTCTATCTGGGCAATGACTTCACATTCGCCTAAAAGAAGATCAGCTTGCTTTATTGTGAAGAAGCTTGCATAAGAGTCCCTTCCAACTGTTCGGAAATGTCTTTCGTCTATCATCTTCCCAGAGGAGAGCTTCACTTCCCCAGCTTCCAATTTCTCTTTCTTTTGCTGATCAGACAAGTGCAAGCTGGCCTTCAATAGCCGTAGAATAATAGGCCAATTGAAATAATCAGACAGCTCAGAGAGTTCTGGTCTTAAACCTTGTGCTTTGATATGTAAGCAAAAACTAGTGATTTTCGTCGCAGGTTTTCTGTGGTTTTGTTTATTAGCCAAGTCAATGAAATAACGGATATCGTTAGCTCGTTGAGCAGAAATATTAAAATTTGTCCCATTTAAAAATACGAAATACACTGAATGTTTTATGACCAGTGAAAAGCCATAGAATCCCTCAAGGTTCCAAATATCGTCTAATGAAGAGTTCAACGAGTGAATAGACGATATAGGAATATTAAATAGCATTGAGAAAAGCATTTCAGGACTTTGCTGGCAGTTTATAGACAAAATTGTTCGAAGTATGCCTTTATCGAGAAATTCTGCGTTGATGCTCATGAATGGACGAAAGGCTAGGACATGAAAAACTATCTTCTTGATCTCAGATGAGATGAAGTCTTTCCCAAAATGCTCTTTATGATATTTTCTTCGCACAGGTACATTGTGGAAAAGTCTGCTTACAATAATTATAGAACCTTGTGTCGGTACTTTCACCATGAAAAACTCTAAAAGCAAATTTATCAAGCACGATGAGTTCTCACCATCAACAACCATAGAATGAACGACATTCTTTACAGCAGAAAGGATGACTAATTTGGAGCATAAGGTTGCGATTGAAGAAATTGACTCACCCTTAAACCCTAAGCTTCGTGTGAGCTCTGGGGGCATCATATTCGTCAGTTCTTGAGGCAATGTGTTCGAAGTTTCGACCTGGGAAGCTCTACTTGTGTAGTATCTTCTTCCCACTTGACCCATATCAGAAACAGAGATCCCTGTTCCATTATCTTCAATACAAACGCTCAAAGATTCAAGATTTATCTTGATCGAAATGCATGAGGCACCAGCATCAATTGAGTTATGAACTAATTCACGAATGACGTCCAAAATAGATCTTATGACTACTTGGGAGTGAATTTTCTTGCAATCCTCTGGCGCAAGTCTGTGAATAGATTGCATTTCATCCTGTGCTCGGAAGAAGAGCCGTACGCATGAACAAACTAATAAGACTGTAGTACAGTATGAATTCCTGCATGCTTTAGACGGCAATCAAACTGGTTCGTGTGGAATGTGTATTGCCATCACAAACGATCTTATTACTCAGTGGTGATCTTCTACCAAGATTTTGTCTCATCAGAAAGGTGGATCTGAACTTATTAAAAAAGCAAAGCGACGGTGAACACTTTGAAGGCACCTAGTGTATTTATTTAGGCTTGATACTTGTATCAAGGAAGAGGAAGTGTAGAACACAATCACCACGTGATCATTGTCACGAGATCACCAAAATGCAAACACATGTTCTTCAGCACACGTCAACAAGGCCCCAAGATTCGCATTTGGGACGATCTTCCATGTTATACACACAGCTTCTCGAATTCTCCTTCAGTTTATCATCACAAATATAACTTACGCTGGATTTGACGCTGACCCAACTCTCAAGAGGAATCGATGCAGACAAATCCTGAACGAGCAGATCATCTCCGAAAAGGATCAAGTGTTTCACCTTTGGAGTCCCTTATTGCCGGTTCGTTATCTGGCGCAGTCGCAAGGTACGTCATATCAGTTTATTACGTCCCTCAATATATCCGCTAACAAACTTAGAGCAGTAACAGCTCCCCTTGATACTATTAAAATACGATTTCAACTCCTGCTGCTTCGCGATGATGGAGTAACTGGAATAGACCTAGTAAAGAATCTTCTAAAGAAAGAGGGCTTCACCGCACTTTGGAAAGGAAACGTTCCCGCAGAGGCTCTATATATAATATATGGAGCATCGCAGTTCACAACCTATACTATTTTGAATAAGTGTTTCTCGGATTTACAGAATCAACGCAAGTTTTCATTGAGCCAGCTGTCGCATCTGCTTCTTGTGGGAAGTGGTACAGGGATGGTCAGTACGTTTATCACGTATCCTTTTGACTTATTGAGAACTCGCCTCGTGGCGCATGAGTCCAGAGTTTTACTCTCAATGACGGATACTTGCAAGGATATTTATCTCAAAAATGGACTAAAGGGTTTTTTTGTGGGTATTCAACCCACCCTTCTTTCGGTAACAGCCAGTTCCGGGCTATTCTTCTGGTCGTACTCTTTGGCTAGAGATGCGGTGGATAGAATAAACAACTTGTCGCCTGGTAAAATAAGAGGTGTCGAGGCCAGTTGCGGATTCATAGCTGGTGTAACAGCGAAAGCAATCACATTTCCTCTAGACACTATACGTAAACGCATGCAAGTCTCTCTGTCGGGAACAGCTCACAGAATATTTGTGGAACACTGGCGCTCTTACGGTTTCGCAAATTTCTACAGGGGATTCCTTGTGAGTCTTCTCAAAACCGCACCGACGAGTGCCATCTCGGTTGCAATATACGAGTATTCCATCTCCACGATACGAGCATTATCTTCGCGTTTTTAAATCAATCTTTTATTGCTCCCGAGCAAATTTTATCGCCATTTGATATAAAAATTGTTGTTGAAATTTACTCGAAGTTCCAGTCGCTCACAGAAATCTTCAGACAAATACAATAGATTAATTCACACACAGACAATAAAGACATATTTAAGCAGCCTTCAATGAAAAAGTCTCATTTCTACACTATCACTACTTATAGAGACTTCTTCCTCAGCTCCCATTACACTCGATATAATGTGGGAGGTTTCCTCATGCTGTACCTCGCTATTTATGTTCTCGTAAGTCACATTTCCATCTAGGTCTTCGAGGGATTTTGCAAAGAAACAAGGCAGCACATACTCTCTATCCGCATCTGATACATCAAACTCTATACTATCACTTCCCACAAGGCTATTGCTTTCAATTTCAGACACAGTTAAATTGCTTTCTCTTTGATGATATAGTGAAAGCGAAGTTTCCAAAATGTGATTTAATGTCTTTCCCTTCGTAACACTCTTGTAACAATCTTTTTTTTCTGCATCTGTCTGGATGTTGAGGGTAGATTCTGCAACGCCTGAGGCCCCATTGGATATTACTCGCAAGCCAGTCTTGCTGGATACCAATAAATCTCCTTGATCCTCCTTTGAAGCTTCGAATGAAGTGATATCTTCTTTTTTGTCAAACTTTTCGTGGCTTTTTATTTGGTCATAAATGTAGGGGGGGAGGCTTTTTCCTACTAAGGATTGTCGCCGTGGCTGGTAATTGTGCGATTCATGTATTTTTGATTCGTCTCTACCCTGTGGGTCACCTGAAGATCCCATCACTGTATCAGCTCTGATCACTTTAAATATCCCTTGCTCCTCGGTTTTTTTTTTCGGTGAGATCTGAGACAGGTGTCCCCTTATTAGATTTTTGAAAAATAAGTTACTTGGTGTGTGTTGGGAGGGTCTGTACTGGTAGTTACTCATATTGGTTACCTTCTTCAGAATTATCACACTAGTAACAGATGTTTCTGGTGTAGCGATAGACGGGAGTCTGAATAGCAAGCGTCTTTCCTCGTTTCCTATTGACTCGAATGATATCTTTTGTTGATATCTTGATGGCTTGCTTCCTTGATTTTGATCCGGCGCACTTGGTCTAACAATTACCTCAGATTGCTCAATTGTAGAGTTTGGTCGCAGGTCTATATTAGAAACTGGATCAAGCCCTAATTCCAGACCCACACCTTTGGAAGATGGATAATCATGATCGTGGAGATCCTCTCGGAGCTTCGCGTTATCCTCGCCACTACCGAGGTGAGAGTTATCAAACTCACTGACACCTGATTTGCTTGGCTTATACTCAGCAAGATTCATCATTGCGAAAGAATTCATGACTTTTTGGAATAAAAGAGATTCTGGGCGATATTTCTGCGTCAATCCCTCTAAGAGAGACTGGTTCTCCAATAGCCACTGGGAACTGTCTATAAAAGTGTCGAAGGTGGGTTTATCGGGTATTTCCAGAATTGGAGGTATATTGGAGGTATTTCTAGAGATCATTGAATACATGTTCGAAAGATAATGCGTATAAGCTGGCGATGATTCGAATATTGAAGAAGTTTTTGTGATTATACTGCATGCTTGGATAAGATAAATGTACTGCAGGTCATATAGCCCTGCTGTGGCGGGTGGACTTAGGGAGGCTTCATCAATATGACCAGAGTATAATCATACTGCCGAGAGCAATCCCAAGAAACTAAATTAGACTATAATTTTTCATTACATTTATGACGAGGTTCCCCGGCTTCGCCTGAAACCTGTAAATTTGTTTTTATAAATTGATATTTTCTTGATATTATTAAAGCTGACTTGTTGTCAAAAAGAATTTTTCTTGACCGTAAAAGTTAGAAAATCTAAATTATCTTAATTTTATCTTGTACCACTACTAATTTAACCCATTACATTAAAAATTAAAAAAAAAATTCATCTACTCACGGATTGAATGAAATTAAATTCCGACCCCTCTAATTCTCATATTACAAGATTATCTCCAGAATCTTATAATCCCAGGACATGTGATGATTACTTAAAGTCATATCGATTACCATTCCTTATGTCCGTAATAAGTAAGAAAATCAAGTGGGAAGAATCCTCAAAAAAGTAAATTCAAAGAGACGAATGCTGTCTCTCACCTGTTGGGAATTTAAAAATATAAAACATTCTAAAACCTAACAAAATTGTAAAATAAAGGGGCTATACTAAAAGAACATTTCTTCTTTTCTTTGCTTCATTCATTTTTCATTATTCTAAATTCAAAGAGTGCGATACGAAAGTTCAGAATAAACATTCCTGGAGGTGTGTGAAGAACCAAAGAAAGACAAACGAGATCAGAATCGGTGGTGAGAGAATTAGATCATACGATCATAACAATATCCCACCTCCCACGAGTTTCATATGATACTTCTTTTCATAAATTTCACGTGTAATTGATAAAAATCTCGAAAGTAGAATCGTACCGGTCACGTTTTAGCCCTTTGTGGTGCTTGCAGTGGTGGTTTCGGCTGGAATACAGAACAACCAAACTGAGGGCTGGCTTCGAATCGGAGTAGGGGATGCACGGGTTTTCGTCCACCGGTCAACAGATTTTGCCGTTCCGTCGAGCATACAAAATTATACGCCCCATTTTTTCAGATAACGGCTGTCAAAATTCACACTATGTCAGAATTGGTCCACAACCCTGACATCCGAGGAGCGGACTTGTTATCACCAAAATTGGTTTTAGCTCGTTTGTACGTGTGGCCTTTTGGAATCATTTACCCTGTTTTTCTTCAAGTGTATGTCAAGCATTATGACACTTATATTGGAGGCTCTGAGTGGACGTTTGTCTACTTGATGGCCATCGTGTCTTTGAACTTGTTGATTTGGTTGATGCCCCACTGGAATCTTGATATCGACGCCAAATTCAATTACATATCCGCATCTACCGTTTCTGAAGCCTCGCACATCAAAATCACCCCCGCTCCTAATTCTGGCATTGGTGAAATATGTGAGATTCAAAGAGAGATCTTTCCTGATGGCGAGAAACAAGTCTCTTTTTTGTATCAAAAAAGACGTCACTTGCTTCTCGAAAATACAGGCAAATTCTCACCTCCAGAATTTAAGATAGATGAGTTACCAAAGTTATCCTATTTCCAAACCCATGCTGGGTTATCTGGAAATTTGGAAAAGGCGACGAGAAATTTTGGACTTAACAGATTTGACATCCCCATTCCTACCTTCTTGGAATTGTTCAAGGAACATGCCGTTGCCCCATTCTTTGTTTTCCAAATATTCTGTGTGGCCTTATGGTTGATGGATGAACAATGGTATTACTCTCTTTTCTCTTTGTTCATGTTAGTCTCTTTCGAAATGACAACAGTGTTTCAGAGAAGAACTACTATGAATGAATTTCAAAGTATGGGCATCAAACCATTCACGATATACGTTTACAGAGATGAAGAATGGATACAAGTTCAGACGGATCAATTATTGCCTGGTGATATCGTTTCTGTGACACGTACCAATGACGAGAGTGCAATGCCTTGCGACTTACTTCTTCTCGATGGCACTGCAATTGTAAATGAAGCCATGTTATCTGGTGAGTCAACCCCATTATTGAAAGAGTCTGTAAAATTAAGACCTTCGAACGAATTCTTACAACCAGACGGTCTTGATAAGAATTCTTTCTTGTACGGAGGAACTATGGCTTTGCAAGTTACAGCTCCCGAAGACTCAATCGTGCCTGTTGCGCCTGATGGTGGTGCATTGGCTTACGTTTGTAAAACAGGATTCGAGACCTCCCAAGGATCTTTAGTGAGAATGATGATATTTTCTAGCGAAAGAGTTTCCGTTGACAACAAAGAAGCATTCTTCTTCATCTTGTTTTTGCTAATTTTTGCCATTGCTGCTTCGTGGTATGTTTGGGTGGAGGGCACAAGAATGGGCAGAATCCAGTCAAAATTGATCTTAGACTGTATCATCGTCATCACTTCGGTGGTGCCGCCCGAGTTGCCAATGGAATTGACTTTGGCTGTGAACTCTTCCTTGTCAGCCTTGCAAAAATATTTTATCTATTGTACCGAGCCATTCCGTATTCCATTAGCTGGAAGAATTGACGTTTGTTGCTTTGACAAGACTGGAACATTGACTGCTGAAGACTTGGTTTTCAAAGGATTGGCTGGGTTGACAAATGGACAACCTACCAGTCTCCTTTCTTGTGATGAAGCACCTGAATTTACTGCCCATGTATTGGGATCTGCTCATGCTTTAGTGAAACTTGACAACGGGGAGGTTGTTGGTGACCCAATGGAACAAGCAACATTAAAAGCTGCCAACTGGACTGTTGGTTTTAAAGATTGCGTGGAAAGACCCATAGGTGAAGTAACGGAGAAAATCAGGGTTTTACGTCGGTTCCAGTTTTCTTCAAGCTTGAAGAGATCATCTGCAATTACATCCATCAGTACCTTGCCAAACCGCAATTTTGTTGCTGTTAAAGGTGCCCCAGAAACAATCAGAAACATGTTAGTGGATGCTCCCGAAAATTATGAAGACTGCTACAAATCTTTTACTAGGGCCGGATCTCGTGTTTTAGCATTGGGCTACAAATATTTAGACTCCAAAGCGAAAATTTCTAAGGTAGAAAGAGACGAAGTGGAGTCAAATTTGTCTTTCGCAGGTTTTATCGTTTTTCATTGCCCTTTGAAGAACGATGCCATAGAAACCATTGAAATGTTGAATGATTCTTCTCATCGCTGTGTAATGATTACGGGTGATAATCCTCTCACAGCATGTCATGTTGCAAAGGAAGTCTCAATTACTACAAAGAATGTTTTGATTTTGGACTTTCCTGAAGACCATCACGGTGTATCCGAGGAGCACAATTTGACCTGGAGAAGCGTCGATGAGTCAACAGTCATTCCATTCAAAAGCAGCGATTCTATCGACCTTGATTTGTTTGAAAAACACGATATCTGTATCACCGGTTACGCTTTAAGTCATTTGAGCGACCACCCGCAGATCATGGATTTGTTGAAGCACACGTGGGTATATGCCAGAGTGTCTCCATCCCAGAAGGAGTTCATTTTAACTTCTTTAAAGAATGCAGGCTATAGCACACTAATGTGCGGAGATGGTACCAATGATGTTGGTGCTTTGAAACAGGCTCATATTGGTGTTGCTTTATTGAACGGTACCGAGGAAGGGATGAAAAAGATAGCTGAAAACAGGAAGATTGAGACCATGAAGACTGTGTATCATAAACAAGCTCAGCTCATGGCCAACTGGCTGAGACCACCACCACCAGTTCCTGCTCTCATTGCTCACTTATATCCACCTGGACCTTACAACCCGCATTACTTGACATGTTTGCAAAAGCGTGGAGTTGAGATAACGCCAGAAATTAGGCAAAATGTGGAAATTGCGAAGAAAAACGGTACGCTCCCAATCGAATTTATCAAAGATGATAAAGGCAAGCCTGTATCAGCTTCGGAATTTGCTGATGGTATTATGTCTTCTTTGAATACTGGCGAGGATGAAGATGAGGTTCCCTCCTTGAAATTGGGAGATGCATCTGTTGCCGCTCCATTTACTTCCAAATTGTCCAATGTTTCGGCTGTAACGAACATTGTTCGTCAAGGCCGATGTGCGCTTGTTTCAACTATTCAGATGTACAAAATTTTGGCTTTGAACTGTTTGATTTCAGCTTATTCTTTGTCTGTTTTATACTTGGCTGGTATCAAATTTGGTGACGGTCAGTCTACAGTTTCTGGAATCTTGTTGTCCGTTTGTTTCTTCTCGATCTCTCGCGGTAAACCGCTTAACAAATTGAGTAAGGAGCGTCCTCTGAGCGGTATATTCAATGTTTATATCATGGGCTCTATTTTAGGACAGTTTGCGGTACACATCACCACATTGATCTACATCACCCGCGAAATTTACATTTTGGAACCTCGTGAAGCACAGGTTGATTTGGAAAAGACTTTCTCGCCATCTTTGTTGAACACGGGTATGTTTTTGCTCCAATTGGCCCAACAAGTTTCAACCTTCGCAGTGAATTACATCGGATTGCCTTTCAAGGAGGGAATTAGAGACAACAAGGGTATGTATTATGGACTTTTGGGAGTTTCAGCACTATCTCTTATTGGGTCTACCGAGTTCATGCCCGAATTGAACGAGGCGATGCAATTTGTTCCCATGACTCTAGATTTCAAATTCAAGTTGACGGGGAGTATTGTCCTTGACTTGGTGGCTACCTGGGCTATTGAAATTGCGTTGAAGCATTTTTTCATGAATTCAGGGGCTGCGGACATCGCACGAAGAGTGTAAATGCTCGTGGATACTCCATTGTGGTGTACAATTTCAATTTCATAGAGAATATTAATCCGTTTTGTTGATCTTATCTAAATCTTGGTTGCGGTTTAGAGGAAATATCTTGATTGCATGGATTTCACCAACCTGTATAACTTTTACCTTATCTTGTAGGACACGTGCTATTTCATGGATAGTGTCACTGATTTCTTCATCAGTCATTGAGTACGAGAGTGAGTCTTTAATGATCGATATCAACTTTCTTGTGGGAACAGTTTTGAAAGGTTTTTGTTCACCTGCATTCATCAGAGTCAATTCATAAAGTATATCGTACACCACAGGAACCTTACTTCTGATATAGCGTACGTGGTTTTCTTTGATTGTATTACCCAGTGAGTTTAATTTGTTTTTTCTTTCCTTTTGTTTTATGCGCTCTATTAGCGAGAGTCCTTCAACCAACTTTGGTTTCTTTAGCATACCTTTAGACAGAGTATTTGAGAGATCCAACTTAGACACCTTGGCAGGAATTCTGGACGGGATAACACACGAATGAAGTGCAGAATTTTCCGTTAGGCTCAGGATACTTTTCGATGAAATGCGAGTATCTTTGGGTGATTTGGTGACGAGACACAGGGAATTACCTTGTCTCTTCAATGATGTACTAGCTAGCCTGCCCAAGGAGACACCTTGAGTTGTATCAAGGAATGGAACTGCTACTTCGGATAGCTTAACAATGGGTGGGGCATCACGAAAAGAGGAAACGCGCTCTTTGAAAGAGATTCTGCGGCTTGGTAGCAAAGCACCAAATTGAAGTGGAGACAATCCCTTTGGACTACACATACCATAGTCGAAAGAGTTTGAGCCAAAGTATATTATTTGGTACACCTGCAGATCATAGCCTAGTATTTGTTCTATGGTATTTATATCTACCCGTCTTTTCGTGAGGCGAGTAGCCTTCTCACACAAGTCATGAACCTTTGGAACAGTTATACTGCTTGCATAGTGTATACTGAGAACACTATCTAATGCATTGAATAAATTTGGGAGGCTTTGAAGAGAATCGCTAGCCTCAAAGGTCATTCTGCGTCTTTTTGGCTGGTTGAATGTGGCAATGGGCAATTTGAGCGCTGTGTGTCCTGGAAATTCGGCGCGATATTTCGTGAGCTAGACGCGCGTTACAGCCCGTCGTTCAACGAACCTTTCGTCTAGCAATGGCACAGACACCTCGGCTATTTTCTAAGCTATTTGATTTATCATAAATCGGGGTTTATGAGTCATATGATTGGCTTGAGGTCAGACTTACGCCCTATATTTCAAACCGTCTGTGTTTTCGATACTTCCACTGAAACCTTCAGATGGAGTACCATGATTCGCGTTCTTCGTTAAGTGTCGCCGCCCCAATATGACAATCCTTTGCAAACAAGCAATCAGTTGAAACAGAAGCTATGAAAGAGAAGATGCTTCTTTAAACTCATTTGATCAAGCTTCTGCTTTGTTTCTTCTCCTTTTTTGTTCTCACTAACAACGAAAAAGACACAACATGCGGCTTTTGAGACACTCGGGTTGGTCTTGAGAAAAGCGACTATCCTCTTGAAGATGTTTGTCGTGATGAGCTGTAAACTGTGTATTTCCCCAAAACACTACTCCATGCCCTCGTCCAGAACGTGCGCTGGCACGGCTTCGAGAAGTGGCAAAATATGGCGTCCAGATCACTGGATGTATTTCTGCGGCTGAAACAAAAACATATTTAAAGAATCTAGGCACACAAGCGTTCTGTTTAAATTGAAAAACATTGCTGAGGTCTTGGAATGTCCAAATTCTATCAGCAAAAATTCAATCAACAAATGTTAGGGAGAAGGAAGATAGCATAAAAGTTTTGACCCATTCGCAGTGGAGTCCCCCCTCAAGACCCGCAGTCAGCTGGGTAAGCAATTCTGTACCACATCCCAAATTAAATGTTTATTTTCCCATACTCAAATCGGAAATATACGTGATCTCTCCATGGCCCTCTTGCATTCATTTTGCTTCCTCTCGCTCTTTGTATCCCTCCGTTTCTTCAATAACAACCTGCTACACCGTAACACCACATATCCCTCAATCAGCAGCCTCACTTAAAAATGATTGTCAGTAAAGGTAATAACTTTTATAAATCCAAAAGTCAAAACTACTGGACCTCATGTACTGCTCACCCGAATGACCAGTAATCAGGTTTGGTGCTAAAATGTTCCTTTCAAATTACTAAGCCGAACGTGTTCACGTACCATGAAAACATTCAAAATTACAAACTTTCAGGTGAATGCTACCCATTTCGACATCCGTCGACAACACCCTAAATATGAAGCACAAACATAAATCAATAGACCTCAAACCCTTTAGCTTCTCACAAAAGCATATTCGTCAAATCGAATGATTAAAAAGTAATTCATTCTGAAAAGAATCATGTAATTTCAAATTCCTTCTGCAGATCAATACAATTCACAAAACGTAGACACAGCACAACAAATTTTTGAGATATCACGACGATAAACCAAAATCAATGAAAAACCGTGACGAGACGGAAAATATTCAAAACTACAGAATCCCATGCAATTTCGTAGACTCATCCACAGTAACATTTTCAAGCACAATTTGACCAACAAGAGCACCATATCCTAATATAGCTTCGCCCAGTTCACACTCTGAGAATAGCTATAAATCATCCGCACAAAATAAGGCTGGCTCAAGCCTCATCATTCCTCTCTTAATCAAACTACAAATTGGGTTACTGTAGAGGGCAGAAATCAATTGCAGGGCATTCAAAGGAGTACAATAAAAACATATATGAGCTGAGAGCCGTGTCCCAGGCGGGCCTTTAGCATGAGGAGACGCCGAGCTTCAAGACATGGTTCGTAGCTAATTCCTGTCCGTGGAGGATTTATAATTCTTCACATACTCTTCCGGTAGACGATTCTATCTAAAAAAAAAAACAAAGTATAATCGAGTTACAAATTGCAATATGCCACATCCACCTTCTTCAGCATTTTGGAACTACGCCTGTCGCTTGCCCGACATTAGTATACAATAGGCAACGCAGAAAGGTTGTAGACTCACTTGATATGATTCGAAATAGTAGATTTGTAGGGAACCATTGGGGCTCAGACGAATAATGGTATGCGGACAGATCAATGCACACTTTTCATTCAAAAAATTGTTCCTTCAGGAGCTCCATCACCATTAATGACGAACCGGATAAATTTTTCAGGTCATGTGAACCGAACTAAAGTTAAACCCATGTCGCTCGAGATAAATTTAATACCTAACAATCATTCCAGTCACCTTACACATAACCAAACTTTGGGGAAATACAGAATTCACGAGAGATCTTCATTACAAGATTGCTAAGCTTAGAAAGCTTAACAGATTCAGCAATAAGAATTTTGTTTAGAGACATCCCAACTTATGACGCCGTATATTGATCGAAAACACTTGTTAGGTCAATAGATTCATATTGATATGCGTTAAAATTGTTAACACCAGATAGCGTGGCGAATAGCAGGAAGTTGGCCCCTCAAGTCCGCTCCTACCATCTGGGGTAAAACGGCTACAGCGGGAAACAAATCCTAGTAGGCGATGGCGTAATACAGATACGGGCCACGAGCACCGTCCAGGCAGTTAGTAGAGATGCGGACGGGTCGAGCTCAGAGATTTCGTACGTAGCTTGAAGTCGTTTAAAGGTTTCGTATGTATAATAATTAAAAAGTTTTGTACCTCTAATCGGATGAATAAACCCAATGAAAAGCAAGGTAGTTAACTACAGTGTCATACAACAGGCCAAGGCTACAGATATGAACTCATCTAGTCGCATCGACCCATAATCACGTCAAATGAAATTTTGTATGCATGTGATGTGTCCCATTAGCTAGCAGCCCATTACTAGCCATTCATATCTAGACTGCTCGACAATCGCAAAGCCTCTCCGGACAACCTTAATTCACCGCTATTCGAATCGTGCGACACCCCACAACAGCATACGTCTAGCCTCAGATGATGGAGTACATCCTTGATACCCGAGCAGCAGCATCGGCATTGTAGCTTCAATCACCTTTGAAAAATTCAGAGAGTTGTTAACAGGCTTAGACAATTTGAGAAGAGGGCTCATAGAGTTACGGAGGGCAACCAACTCTAGCATCGTTTGTTCCGATGTCCACAATTTACTTCACACTCGACTTTCTAACACTAAATCAGATACGAGAAGGAAAGCATGCAACACGTCCCGACTTCTCCGGAGATTATCTGTCTGTTACTAGACACTATATATGCAATGGGTACAAATGTAGGAGCAGTATCAAGTAGTTGCTTGTCTAGCTGTGGTATTTAGAACAACGAAGTTCATGACATATGGTAAATATGATCATTCGTCAAACGAAATCAGTCAGCGGATGAATCATGCAACTGAGTGGCTGCTGAGAAACTAAGTCCATATTTGAGTTGGTACTTCGTACTGTTTACATACTCTTCTGTTCACTGTGGGAGGATGGTACTGCCCTACTAGCAAACTTGTAATACAACTCTGCGCCTTGAAGCGATTCTACGTAAATATTAAATTTGTTGGGTAGGGGAATTGATTCCAGGAATTGGTCTGGCTTGGACAAACTTGATTTCGCTGGCCCAGATGTGCTGGTCGACAGGATCCCATTCAACGTGTGATCAATTTATCCTGATCACACGTCGCTGAATTGATCTGGGGTAGTTTGTTTATATTGCCCTGATGTGATCTTTAAATTTGCTTAGTTTAACCTTACTTTTCTATCCTCGAAAGCAGCCATTGTGCACCTCGAAGGCAATCTAGTGATCTTAAGCTTTTGCTTAATTCCTAGCCCGGGTTAATTTGTGGTACCATTTTTGATGCCTTAAAATTCATTCCGTCTTATTGTGTATTGATTTGTACGTTCAATACAAATATATTATATATGTTCTGGAAGCGTGTCCTTCGAATGCAAAGATTCTGTTGGACACCTGAGGATCGAAGAGCCAATATCGGGGGAGTGGTGGTGTATGTTTTTGGTTTGCGGAAATTGTGGAGTAAGCATGAAATCATGGTTGTTGATGTTGGGAGTTCAGAGGTCACCGGGTATGTTTTGGACGTTGGGTGCTCAGGTGTATTATAATCCACTTCACGGCCATGTACGTTCAATTTGTATCAGGTAGACCTGAAGTCTCGGTAAGTCCACATTGTCTTGGAATGGGCTCTATATCGCGCTAGAACGTTTGAAATTAGAATGCCTTGTATCGTAGAAAGTTATAGTACATATTTGAATACCGTTTACGTTCGAGATGTGTGCTCAAAGGTCCTCTTGATACAACTTTAGTTGCGGCTTCTGCATAGGTACTCTCGCATGGACCAATGATTAAGTATTTAATTCTTGTGGGCCAAGTTTCAGGCCGTGATTATTGGTGGGGTATGCACGTATTTTAGATGTTTCATACTATTTCATTTCTCTCTCCTCTTATCATATATAAAAGAGGATGTATCCGATAGGTATGTTTGTTATTTAATGCGTTATATATGTCTGGTGTGCGATCGGTTGTCGTTTTCTTAATTATATCCATTCCTACATGATTTTTTTATACTGCAGTGAGACAGAGCTCGTACATGTTCTTGAGTAGACCGTTCGTAGTATGTTTTGATTCATGGTGTATTCGACGATACTAGATATTGGACATTGCACTGATACCAAACGGTAAAATTCGCCATGTTGATGGCTTTTCGAAGACGCGGCCGGCCTTAGATCTGTTTGTCACTCTTTGTATTTCGGGGTCTTCATTTCTGTTTCGTTTCATCTGTTTTCCTGGTGGGGCAGAAGAAACTTGCAAGAGTTCTTCGAGCAGAGGGGCTTTTGCAAATTTTAGGTCTGGTTTTTTAGTAAGCTTGATTGTTTTGAAGTCGCAAGGAATATGATTATGATAGTGCAAAACACGATGGTAATTCTCTAAGCTTTGCAAGACGTCTTCATCGTTATTGTAGACATGATAATGAAGTCGAAAAGGATAGGGTCCCCCAAGAATCAGCGATAAGAAAAGGTCAAACCACTCTTTAGTGTTCAGGTACACCATACTTCCAATTGAATGCACAGAGCAATTTGAGTGTGTTTCCAGTAATAGAGTATGTACCAATAGTAAAAGAAATTTGGGGGGTAATTTCGCAACAAGATCGCCGTACGTCTCATGGATAGTAGAGAAAGATGCCTCTTTCAAGAGAGCTTTTTTCAGCGCCAAGAGACGGGCGAGATGAAAATCTAAACTCAGGCTAGTCGCAATCGAATGAATTTGAGCTTCTAGAACCGTTATATCTTGGCTGGAATTATTTCTGGAGCTTTCTGTCGTGAATTTAGACTTCACACATGATCTATAGGCTCTGAAGGCGGCTGTCACATCCAGCTTTATATCGATAAAGTGCATTTCCTTCTCCATGAATTTAGTACGTTTTAAATTTTGAGAAGCATCGAGTAGGCTCCAAAATTTGATGTGAAGCCATTCTAGTGCACGGTGACTAGTTGCTCGTAATATTTCCAAAGATGGCAATTGTTCATGTGTAGCCCAATGGCGAACTTCAACGAAGAAGTAAGGAAGTTCAATTTCCTTGGCTAAAGTCAGGAGCGCCACGGCGTAAGTACCCTGTTGATAAGGGTCTAGTATACCGTTGACAAAACGAACCAATGCCATTGAGTATGCATTCCGTAGTACATATTCTTCCGCATTTCTGGGTAGAGCATCACTCATGCCACGTTCTGTTCGAATTCGAAGTTCTTTCGATCTTTCTGTGAGAATGGCATCATTTAGCACTGCTGAAACGAGCCATGCGGTGGTGTTGACCGCATGAGGTACCTTGCCCCTACTCTGCCAGTATAAAACTGTGTCTATCGCAGCTTTAAGAGACACTGAGTCATTAAAATCTTCATAAAACAACTCCCGAACTCGTAGAAGCTCGGACTTGTTTTTGTATGGGGTGATCGAGATGGTTCGAGTCATCAGGGAAATGATATCACACGGTTATTTGCCGGGTTTATGAACTAACGAGGATTGCGTCGCGAACACTCGCTTCAAACACCCTAAATTTGATATCGATCTGCGTTGCTCCATACGCACGCAATTCGCGCAAGACATCTGGATTCACTGTTGCAAGCTGTTGAGCAGCGCTTAAATGAGACGACGAAACTGCGCTTGAATGTATATTTCACTTTCGTTCCCGCAACAATCATCCATAACAAATTATCTCTTTCTATAAATTGTGATCGCATTTTATACCAGACTATTCTTCATGGTCCGCGATGACTCTGAGAGAGTTTATCAGCTCATAGTAAACGAAGTGCCTCGATGAAAATTTTCTTCTCACACAATCCAGTCACAGACCCACAAATCCGTCCAAGTTTGGGTCGTGGTTAATATAGCTGAATTGGCTGATAATTTCGCTTTCTTCGTAGGAAAAAACTCTGTTCTCTCCTTCTTTGTGTTCGTATGGAAATTTAGTGACCGAGAGAGGCTGGGTGTCATCTGATGATACTTCAGGCTTGCCACAAGCACTATCCCAGCTGATCAAAACCACGCCATATAACACCCCTGAAAGTCCGATCAGCACATAAATGAATTGAGAGATATCCATTCCGCCAGTACTGAACAACGTGTTGAAGAATATGTCGTTGAACAAGTTGACTAAATTGTACACCAAAAAACACAACGGATACAATATTGCTGTCAGGATATTTGATAGACCCAAATTGAATGCTGCTAGTTGCATGACAACGATACAAAGTGTGGCAATCAAAAGAAAGACAGCTATCACATACGTCGACACACACTTAGGTGTTACGCGTTCCAGAATCATTTCGAATATGACATCTACTATGGACTTCGCGAAAAGGAAAGTGTGGGCTGTGAGTGTTCCGCTCACAAGACCATAAAGTATCCCCCTGGTGAAGACGAGGCGTGATAGAGGATCTTTGCTTGTCCTTGATAACCTTCTCGTTCTTCTGTGTGGCTTTGATTGAAGAAACTTAATTTTGACAGAGATTAACCAGTTCACACGTACTAAAATAGCCATGACAATGAAGGTAAGCGACCACCATGTGAGAAAACCAGGTCTTGCAAATTTGTCAAGAACTCTTTGAAATTTCTCATCAGCACCAATATCCAAAGGAGGCTGAGCTATGCTATTCCCATTGAATGCAATAAAAAAGGCTCCCAATGCAATTATCACTGTACCTCCAGCTAATTTTTTGGTAAATTTTTCACCGGGCAAAAGCGTACAGCTAAAAATGGAATTGAATATGAGACCTATACTCTGCAATGGAGATAAGATTATAAGTGGTAGGGCAGTAAGCTGTATTAATGACCCAAAGATGTTTGCAAAAATGAACATAGAGAATCCAAGTAGCCAGATATTTCGCCTGTAGTTATGAGTCTTGTGTGTGGACTCGTAATCGATAGATACGGAACTGTCTCTGCGTAAATTCACCACTGAATTTTCAGAGAGCTCATGGTCATATGGTATAATATGAGACTTTCGCTGTAGTGTTATTCCAAGCGATTGTATAGCTGACAGCATAACAGCGGCCACGCACCCCCACATAACTGAGGATCCTATCATTGTGGATGAAGCAAGTGTGATAGGGGTTGTCGCTGCAAATTTAGGGTCTGATCGGGCAGTTTTCAGGTTTTCTGATGCTTCTTTTCTTATTTTTTTTTTCCTCTCGTTGGTGTAATGGGTGACGGGTTCTGTGACTGAATTGTGTGTGGTGATTTGATGGACATGGTGATACGTGTGGTCTTGCTATCTTTGATCTGTGCTGCGGATGCGGGTATGTATGGGGATGCACGGATGCCCGCCGGAGTGAATCTGAAACGTTCAGCAGCGGCTGATACTTTCCTGAATTCGTATATTCCCAAGAATGGCGAATTAAATAGCTCAATTCTCAAAATTCTCAATTCTAATATTATCTTACGAATTCCGCAAAAACCTCATTGCTATTTAACCACTAGCCTGGGATAAATTGCCAATTTTATGCCACGTAAATGTAACTTGTTCCTGGAAACGCGTCTTCAAGCGCAGAGACGTGGGGACCGGAGAAAGTGTCCTTCTTTTTGGAATGCCACTTTATTCTCGCTTAGAATATGAACTTTGGAAAAAAAAATTAAGAAAGAGGAGCTTTTTTTTCTGTCATTCAGACGAGGCACTTTGCATCTCTTGGCACGGAATCACAAGACTGCCATTTTGTCACGGCGAGCGGCGCACGCAGTCCCCGTCACAAGAGGTCTCACTTCTTCCTTATCCGGCACTCATCGAGACCCAGTTTGTTTGTTTGTTTGTTTTTGTTTTAGCAATTACTGGTTTCCAAGCGCTATGGAAAAGGATCTTGAGGGAATCCTTGATCACCTTAACTCACGAATCCACCAAAAAATCAGCCGAGGCCTTGACTCTTTGGAGAATTTTCTTAAGTCATTTGTCCCATCCATAAGAAAATATCACCGCTCCAGCTTTCTTGATAACAAATTGGCTTCGCTCATAGCTCTTCAAAACAACTTTCAATATAATTTGGCCTCAGGTTTTATGCTGGTTTATTCTACATTCTCAAAATCTTCGGAGAAGATTGACGACTATGTGCTTATCAAAACCAATTACCTTCTTAGCGGGATTCTTCTCATACATCCTGAGTCGCGAGCTTTGTTTGGTCGCGGTCAAAGCATGGCACTAATGCTTTCTTTTTTGAATTCAAAGTCCTCAGCGATCCTGGAGGACCTAAGTATCTCCTTTGTGTCGCTATTTATTCACATACTCATGAAAAATTTGAAGAACGTGCGCTTATTCGAAGCGAACAACGGCTGTCAGCTTCTCATTCATCATTTAAGCATCCTCCCAGCTAATTCATGTGAAACTAGTACAAAAGAAAGTGATACTTCTCGTCAAAGAAATTTGCATTTCAAAGTCATCGAGTTTTTGATATTTTACTTGGCTGACGAGACCGAGCTTCTTGATTTACCTCAGAATGTCGGGGCGCACAGCATGTCTGTGAGAGAAAAAGCAGACTTGCTCCGACCACAGTTTCCGGGAATTGATGACTTGATTAAAAATTTGAGTGACTTGACTTCACTCAGATAAATAAATTGATTTGTAAAGCAGTAGACATCCATAATACGTCTTTTCTAAGCCTAAAAAGAAAGTCTTCAAGTTTATTTAAAATCACGTTTATCTTGCGTCTGTTGTGTATTATTTAAAGGATTTTTTATATCTTTACGCAAACACTACAAAATCGTTTCCTTTCACAGCTCAAATGTTAAAAACTCTACTAGGTAGAAAGGACTGTTAAGACTGGTGTAGACTAGCTTCAATTTCCCAAAGGATCGAAGGTTTTAATGAGAACAAGGTGATGCTTTTAAAAGTTATCATTCGTACTATTGTCATTTATGTAGAATTTAAGAGTGCATTTAACCTAGCTCACATCTGTCCCCGCAAAGCGCGTTTACAACAATGCAATAGCTTCGATATTCCAATTGATTGTCTTGACTTCGATGTATAACCATATGGAACATCTCCTCAAATGTTTTAACAAAACAACAGGATGGAATGAAGATAACATATATTCCAACATTTTGGCGACGTCCAATGCGCTTCTTGATTTTCTGATTCCAAAAGGAGGTAAGTTAGAGATTTCGTCTCATGCTACTCCTAACCTGGCATCTTCGATGACTCTACTGAATTATCAATCAGTGAATGGCTCTCTTTCATACCTCTATCTGAGTACTATCCTAAAATGTGCCAATGGTACAAAGGACATTTCCCTTCAGGACGCGATAGCGGGGTTTCGAATTATCGAGCCCTATGCAGCTACCACCGAAGGGACCGGCGTAACAGAAAGCTTTCAGAAAGCCTCATTGCTTTACGGGAGAATGTATTTCCCCGGATCAGCACTCGAGGCTATGGTGATCAAAAGACTTCTGACTCGATACCAACTTTTGATAAAGTGTATTAATAACCCACACCTTGTTAGAAATGGTACGATGATTGTTTATCTTCAAGAGAATGCACCGAGGTTTTCACGAGAGTATATTTACTCGACGAATGAGGCATTAATGGGATTTCGCTGTCTTTACAATTTTGGGTCGTCACCAAGAAGCCAGCAAATGACAGCCTTGCCCAAATTTGACAATTCTGTTGTGTCTGTTGGAGCTGAAGTGTGGTATGCCGCCATGTCAATGAGCCCTGGCTTATCTACTGCATTTCGATATTCCACTCGTTCTACTTCAACAGGAAAACCGCTTACAATGACTCTTAGCTGTAACCCAATTTTAGGACATGTATCTTCAACATACAACGTCAAGACATCAGTTTCCTCTACAGTGTGCTCTAAGTACGATTTCAATTGGTTTTCATATGCGAGCAACCTATCCTTGGGCTTTGAACTATTCAATTTTTCAAAGATACCTTCGCAGCTGTCGAGTAATCAATTCTTTGAAGGGTCATCTATACACCATGAAATGTTGGCACCTTCCTCTTTGTTTGGGAACAGCCCGATAAGATCAGAGATTTTGAATCCAACTTCACCTACAAACAAGCGGTTTATTAATCCAATAGAACATTCAAACGACCATTTTCTCATAAGTTCGAACATCCTCGAGCATGTGAGTCGAACAGATCCAGCTGGTCAAGAAGTCATGTCAGCTTTTCAAAAGCTAGTGAAGAAGAGTAATTTTTCAAGTGTGATCAAGGGCTCTACCAGTATTAGCGAGCGATTGTTGAAATTACTTTGGGTAGGCCGCTACAAAGAATTTTTGGTGAGTGCGGGTGTAAAAATCCGTCTTAATTCAAAGACACATTCACCAGAGTTTGAGAAATTTGGAATTACCTTCACTTATGCTTGCTGAAGTTCAACCACACTTTTGATTGAATTTTCGCCCAAAAACATTGATACATTTGGCACGCCTCTCCCCGCCAATGTCTGACACCCTCGACGCGCAAGTGTGAGATTCTGCACCCGTGCATCAGCTTTTTAACAAGAGGGTGCCGAAAAAATTTCTTTGACGTATATTCGGGGCAGCCAACGAAAATGAATAACCAAGAATTATTTCGGTTATTTAAGCACTCCAAGTTGGCGCAGGTTGCTTTACCATTGAGTAAAAATGTCAGAGGACCAAGCACCTCATCACCCACGCATCAAATAATCTACACCCCAAAAAGCAGTGCATTGAGGTCTGACTATGGAATGAAAACAGCTTTACCCAAACAAGTTGGTGTGTCACACATTGCCTTCAATGATATTGACAGTGCTAAAAGTATGCCTGATGTAGAAAAACGTGCTGGGCCGCTTTACACAAGATTGCGTTTTCAAGAGTCCGAAGTTGTTTTAAAAAAGTCATACAATAAGGCAAATCCGCTTTTTGCTTGGGAAGATTCAAAATCATTGCAAGGAATAAAGTCGGATATGCCTGAAAGTATCGCCACGCAACTCAACATGAACCGAAATGCCTCGCTATTGGATGTGAAAAAGGCGATGGCTGAAAATCCAGAAATCTATACCAATTTTAAGCAGTGGGTACTCGAGAATAGTCCTGAGTCTTTCATGTTAAAAGTCCCATCGAAGTTTGATGCTCTTCTCAAGGAGTTCTTCTCGACATCTAAGTTTGTTAGAAGGCGGGAGAATTCCTTGGAAGACATGATCAAGCCACAAGACAGGTCAAAAGCCTCGGGTGCTAGGAGCAGCGTACAGGGTACCGCTGGTCTCTCTTACCTTCAAAGAGGTAGACTCATAAACTCACCTAATGGAATTAAACACGGAAGCATAGTGCCTGGTAGACTTCTGGGGGAGCGAGAGGCTACGATTGGTGGCTTTGTGGCTAATGTCAATGAAAAAACCACTTTGTTGCAGGCTAATTACGCGAAAAATTCTCCCGGGAAACATCCCAAACAATTTGTTCTTCCATTCAAAGTCAATGAAGCCGAGATTACTGCGAATGGATCTGTGAGATTACAAGCTGACGGGGTCAAAGTTGGCTCATGGATGCTGAGATCCGATTTGGACAGTGATTCCGACAGATACCCTGCTTCAAATCCAAACTTCGGAAGCTTGCCAGAAAGAAGTCAGAAAGAATTCTCATTCTTGGAGAATGTTTTGGGGTTGACACCAAGATCTAGAAGTTGAAGAACATTTGTATATAGTATATACTTTATAAGGAAAGATGCCACTTTTCAAAAAAAAATTGGCGATAAAATTTCCCGATCGGCTTTTGTTAACTACCGTGTGAACTCCTGTTGCGGATTCCCGAGGCCTTCATCTTTTGAGAGTGTTGTTTAAGACATGAGGTTCAGTTCTGCTTTCAAATTAGGCGAATCGAGTTGTGTCTCTTCTTTCAGAATTTGCAGTAGCGAAGCTTTATCTTCTGGGAGTGGTGTATTCTTTGATTTTTTGGATTTTGAGTTTGTATAGTCCCTTGGTTTTCTCTTTTTAGGTTCAACTGGTGGAAGAAACCCAGTCATCTTCTTTTCTTCCGCCACCGCTATATTCCTGAGATTTTCAGCAAAAGCTTCGTCTAATCTCGCATCAACTTGATACCAAAGATAAAAACTCGTTATTCTTGTACCAGTCTTGAGAATATTTTCCATGCGCTTGTGCACTTCTTTTGAGGGTTTCATGCTGTTTTTGAAAATGGGAACGAACCTTGATGGAATGTTATGGATTGTGAACGAGAATGTGGTGTATTTGAGGTGAGGAGGCACCGGTTGAGAAAGTGATTTTTTCTTCTTCGAAGCAACTGTCTTTTTCTTTGTTCGCAAGCTTCTAGCTTCGGGTCTTAAGTGCTTCTCTCCATCAATGGAGACTTCCACCTTGGCGCTATCATCTTCTAAGCTCCCTTTCTGATCGTGCTCTTCCTCTTGTTTTTGTCTTTCAACCTCTGCTTTGTAGTTTGCACATTCAATCTCGTAGTTCTCCATTTCATCTATGTTGTGTATCCACATGTGGCTGATTAAAATATCGTTATATTCTGTTCCTACCTCTGCATCTTTGGGTATTGGGAACTCGGGTTTAAGTACTTCACAGATCGATTCTTGCGGTATAATGTAACGCACATTGGGGTTTTCTAGAAATTCAAACACCAATGTTGCATTGTTAAGATACTTTTCCTGAAATGCTGTGAGCTTCATGGGGTTGAACACCTTTTGTTTAGGTGGCGCCTTTTTTTCAACCATTGGGCGTGTTTGGTATGGACGTGGAAAATCTGGTGGAAGAGAGAGACCGCGATTAAAATAAAGCTCAGCGTGATGTGGTTGTGGCCCCATTTGTTTCGCTCTTTCAATATATCTTTTGAAGCGCGATATTTGCACCTCCGAAGCTTTCCCCAGAGCTACCTCTTTCATGAGATCATTTAGAGAAAGGTCAATCTTTGCTATGGCATTGAGATTCGATATCATTATTGTGTTATCAATAGACTGGAGATTTGTGGGTGAGGGACGAGCAACAGGTGTCGGGCCGGTTTTAGAAGGAGCCGTAGGTACTGAAGGAGATGCGTGTGACATGGATGGTTTCACAGAACTCATTGATGTCGAATTTTTAGGAGCTGACGTGTGAATGGCGGCATTATGCGAGTCCGGGGCGGTCGACACATTATTTGAGCTAGAACTGCGCGCTTCATTATCAGTCGTGAGCTGCTGTTTTGTGCCGTTCGGTGCCACAGAAGAAAAGGAAGCACTATTCTGATCCTTTGGGATTTCAATGACTTCCTGTCTAGTCTCGTGTGGATCTGTATGAGCTGTGCTACCCCTGACCAGGCCGTCGGCATCTTCTCCCGCAGACTTCACTTCGCGGGTGATCTCGGGCTTATACTCAGGGGTTTTGGATTTCAGTTCGTGCTCTGTATTTGCATATTCTTTACTCAGCGAAAAGCCAGTTTCAGGATTTGACTGACAAGAATCATTCGACTTTTGTGATTCAACCTCGGCAGTCGTGAGATTCCCAGCAGTGTCAATATGACCTGAACATTTGGTGTTATCTTGTTTTGATATTTCACCTGTCTCAGTTTTCAGAGACGCGCTGTCAGAAGTTGGCTGTTTTACAGACGCATCTTCCACTTTACTTGATACGTCATTCAACAGACATTTCCCCGCGTCTACATCAGAAACAACATTCTCCTTTTTCCCTTGACTTGTGCCCTCGACCTTTGAAAGCTCAGATATAGCTCTTGATTTTTCTGACCGTGAATCTTTTGCTATGAAAATTCGAATATCCATTGTATGTGGGCCCAAGGTGATGGATGACTCGCATAACTTCGACATTACATCTCGGGCATTCACTTCTGGGCTCAAGACGGGTGTTCTAGTACGGGCCTCCAATGAATTTGTCGTAGCTTTGGCAAACCTCCGCTTATTTTCACGGTCTCTTAAGATTTCTTTTTGTTTTTCTTTATCCATTTCGGCCAACTTCTTTGCGTACGCTGTTTGTTTAACCCAATGGAGTTTGAACATTGGCGCATGATAAATGTAGGTACTTCTTGATCTAATGAGAGAGTTATATAGTACGGCAGAGTCTTTAATGGTTAAAGGGTTTTTGAGTATGTCTTCGTAATGGCCATTGGGTGGCTCATTATATGAAATAGGCAAGTCTTCTAGGGTCGTAAAAGGCCTCACAATGGTATTATCCAATATCTTCTGTTCTGCTTCAATCTCTTCTCTCTTTGCTGTGGTTATTCTACGCCTCATTCTTGCTGTCATCTTGTTCGAGTACGCCAACTGCTAGCAATCCAACAGAACACCATATTGTTTGTTGACTTTCGCATTCAAGTTATGTAGTAATCACGTGCGAAATTTGTAGGTGATGCATAATATTGCGTCAAAGAATTTAAATCCACTATACAACAATTTTTGAAAAATTGGCTAATGGCTGTTAAAGTTAGACAAGAAAATTGGTCTTGACTACATAGTGTATTTGTTCTTAGGCATGGTAGGGGAAAATTACACATTGTTCATCACAAGGAACTTTCCAAGGATTCAAGACCCTGAATAAAAAGTGTAACCATATTCTCTAGCTCATTAACAATTTTGTTAGTTGGCGTAGAGTCCATGAACAAGTCACCATGCAAAGAGGGAATGATGGGAAATTTGGGATTTTCTTTGCTGGAAAATGACTTCAGAACTGAAAAAACATTGGGTCTAGAAAACGTTCCACCTGCAGGAGGTTGAATCGGAAAAGACGATGATAAAGGAGTTGACTTTGAGCCAGGTGTGGCCATTGCACTTTTCTTTTGTCGCTGAAATTGAATAGTTTCTCCACTTTTATCCTTGCCATCATTTTGTTCTTCAATTTGATTATCCTTTTCTGTGACTGGTGTCATGGAAGCAACATTTGAGACCAAGGCGGGGTTTATGCCAAACTGGTTCACATTGTCATTGGGGCGCTTGAACTCCGAGCCTTCGCTGCCTAGCATTGAAACAATTTTGTGCGAACTTGAAGGAACAGGCATTTGTATCTTGAGGGAGGGTTTTTCTTTTTTGGATTGGGGCTTCGTAGTAACCCCATTCGCTTGTGCAGACATAGACATCATGGACGAAAAATTGGATGCCATAGATGCTCCACTTGATGTATGGTTTGTCGATGAGACATTGGTTGGTGAAGTTGCAACGTTCACATTTTTACTTGAGGCATGATCTGAATTCAACTTAAAATTAATAGGCTGAAGCATAGGATTGTTGCTTGATTGAAGTGGTCTCATCGATTTTGAAGGACTATTGGTTATGGAAGAATCTGTGAAGGAACCATTGAAAGTAAAAACGGGAGAGGGTGTCTTTTTACCGATATTATCAGCAACATTTGGTGGCGTCTGAGGTCCTTGCGTCTCTTCGAGAGAGGTCTTGGTACCAGCTGATACCGAACTTCCGGAGTTTGATATCGTTTTTTTGCGCTGTCGCGAGCTGTTTGTTGAAGAGCTATTTCCGCCATATTGCGATGTCAAGGCCGGAGGCTTATTTAGCTTGGGAAATGTATTTTGGGGTGATTGGTGTCGTGAGATGGAACGAAAAGCTGCCAAGTTCAGCTGAGACAGAGTTTTTTGTTCTAGCCCAATTCGAGACATACTTTCCATATCTGGAATTTCAATCGTCGGAGAATTCAATAAAAGCGAGTCAGGGGCTGACATACTTGGCAAACGTGGCACTTCAAACTGAAGGCTGCCCGAGGTAAATGGCTCCATATTTGGTGAGTCTTCTTCTTCGAAAAGGGATATTAAAGATTTTGGTACATGATTCACATTATTTGTGACCAAATTAATAGAGCTGCTTCTCATACCACTGGTTGAAGATCGAGTTCGCTCCTCTGGTGTCTTACCACCAGTTGTGGGGCTATTAAACAGATGTGTGCGGCTCGTGATTACATCATTAAATCGTGCTTCAGGAGCCTGATACTTGCAGTTGATTGTGTCTGCCGTCATTGTGTACTGATCATCTTCATTTTCCTCGGAATCAAATCTGGGGTGATCATTAGCATTGTAAGTGTTAATGTCATTAGCCACTATGTACTCCTTGGAGCTCAAAGAATCAAAGTCCCACTTCACCAGAAGACGATCAGAATTCGCTGTCACTTCATCATCTGAGCCGCTGGATATGAAAAGTGATTCCCGCGATGAGTGGTGATCCCTCCAAAGGAGATATCTTGAAATGAGTTCTTTCAAAGTGGATGTAGGGAGGCTTTTGTACTGCTTCACAAGCTTGCACTTGAATAGCTCATCTGCCGATGGACGTTCATTTGGACTCTCATCTAGGCAAAGTGCGATGCACTCCTTGAGAGCTGAAGGATATTCTCTGCCTTCGAGTCTTGGCGGTGCTTGTTTTTCTATCATTGTCATTGCCCACGTCGCACTCTTGTCGCAGTAAGGAGGATTTCCTGTCGCAAGCTCATAAATGGTGATTCCCAATGACCATATATCCGCTTTAAAATTGTAATGATCACCCTCTCGTATAACCTCTGGAGCCATCCAGAAAGGTGTACCAGCTATTGTAGTTCTTTTGGCCGAGTTAGCCGTTAGTTGCGCTGCTACACCAAAGTCACAAAGCTGCACGTGTCCTTCATTCGTGACTAAAATATTTGCTGCTTTCAAATCACGGTGTATAACACCAATTTTGTGGACAGCCAGAAGTGCCATCAATACTTCACGGACAATGACACCAATATATCTCTCTTCAAACAACCCTCCTTTAAGCAAGGTCCGCATGGAACCTCCTTCACAATAGTCCATTATGATCCATAGCTTAGTGTCGTCTAAAAACAGTCCATAGTAGTGAGTGACGTTTGGTGAATTCTTCAAATCGGCTAGAAACTGGATTTCTTGCTGAACATCTACCACTTCGTCGTATTTTGTGTCGAGATCCAAAACCTTTATAGCAACGGTTTTCTTTGTTTGTTTATGGTAACCCTTGTATACAACGCCAAATTTCCCTCGCCCAATGACTTTTGTTCTTTGATATGCAGCTGTACTCAGCATTTTGCTTCTGGTTACACGATTTTATCCGGGTTGATACTGCAATCTGTCAAGTTCTTTTGATCTTATCTAAGAGGTTAAACATATGCTGTACAGTCAGCACGCGCGATCTCATGTAAGGCAAGGAAACGGGAAGGGATCGGCCTCTGTCAATCTAGAACCGGAATAAGCGTTGATCAAAAACTTGTGCTACTCAATGACCAATGAAGACTCATTTTTTCAATAGTTTTCAAGAATTTTATGATAGTATTACATTGTAAGCATTAATTCATCAATTTAAAAAGTGTGAAGTAAAAACAAATTGACATTTGTGAATGGAAAAATCTAAAAAATGCAGTGAGTATTTTTTATTTACATTGGCTCAAATAATTCACATTAGTTCCCTTTATTATTTTTAATCAAATAGAAGCAATCATTTGAAAATTTTGGCAAAATGTTGCAATAACATACATTGTTCTACTTTTTTTTTTTTCAGCAGGATTCCCTGATGACGGTCATGAAATGTCGAATGACTCTTCACGCGGAGCCAACTGCGAATCTGACCCAGTACGCATTACGTTTTTTGTCATCGATATCTTATTTACAAAAATCGGAATGTCGTCTTTATCAACTAGAAGATCTGCCTTTTTAGCCAGAGATACGAATGAGACTAAAATTCAAATAGCTCTTTCACTTGATGGGGGTCATATTGCTGTGGAGAAGTCTATTCTCACCCAACAAACTTTCGAAGAACACGCAGTTCAACAGACCCTGTCCCAAGTTATAAATGTCCAAACGGGAATTGGATTTTTGGATCACATGCTTCATGCACTTGCGAAGCACTCTGGCTGGTCTTTGATTGTCGAATGTATTGGTGATTTGCACATTGATGATCACCACACAGCGGAAGATGTGGGTATCAGTTTGGGTTTGGCCTTCCATAAGGCTTTAGGACAGGTCAAAGGTGTGAAGCGTTTCGGGTCCGGTTTTGCTCCTTTGGATGAAGCTTTAAGCCGGGCTGTTGTAGATTTATCTAACCGGCCCTACGCTGTCATTGAATTGGGATTGAAGAGGGAGAAAATCGGTGATTTGTCGTGTGAAATGATCCCTCATGTTTTGGAAAGCTTTGCTCAAGGTGCTGCTATTACCATCCATGTGGATTGTTTACGGGGCTCCAATGATCATCACAGAGCCGAAAGCGCATTCAAGGCTTTAGCTGTGGCCATAAAAGAGGCCATCAGTCTGAATGGAACGAACGAAGTCCCTTCAACTAAAGGTGTTCTATTTTGAATTTGGATATAGAGGAAATTGAAAGTTGCGTTTTCCGGAATGTCGCATGTCTTGACTGTCAACTGTGACGCCGAAATATTCTTTTTATTCTGATGAAGGACACCAATAGGTTCCGAGTGTCTCCAACAGAGCATGATTGTGCGACCAAATTTCGAAATTAGACCTTTATTTATTTTTAGTCGTGGTTAGACACTGTTCACCACATCTATAAATTAGCTTTGCTGACTGGAGCGCGTACGCATGGGAAAACGTAGACCATGATGCCAAATTTTGTATCTTTTTATCGGTTCATTACGTCTATGGTTTTTCTCAAGTCTATTAAAGTGCCAGGTTTGAAGATAAAAGCGAAAAAAAAAAAAAAAGTCGGAGATGGCGGACCAAGTCTTCGCGCAGAAGGTCACTGATATACGGGAAACTCAAGATCCATATCATTCTATTCCATGCGTAACTACCACACGAGTAGTATACTCAAAGCCATCAGACCTGCCTTCAAGTCGAGGGACAGCAGAGGGGGTGTCAGAAGTTTCGATAAAAACTTTGACGCAAGTGGTGCCAAGAAAGAAATCAAAATTTGGGATCAAAAAGGCATCTCGAAGCATGAATTTTTCATAAGAAAGTACGGTAACATATCCCCGGAGGAACGCAAAAGACTCGACGAGAAAGTTGAGAAACAGAGGTTTCTCCGTGAACAACGCAAACGGCACGAAAGAGGAGATAGCTATGACCGCCCGAGAAGAGAAACCATCTCGCTAAACCCACTATGCGAGTACATCTTTGGTACTCACTCTGTGATATCCGCATTAACGGCAGGAAAGAGAGAAGCGTTTAGCACTCTTTATATTCACAACATAAAGGAGCATACAGAAAAAATCCTCGGATTGGCTAAAAAATTCGGTGTGAGGGTCGTAGAAAAGAAATCTAAGGGAGAATTAAACACCCTCAGCTCGAATGGAGTTCATAATGGTGTCGTCTTAGAGACTAAGCCATTAATATTACCCGAGATTGCATCTTTAACCAATAACTTTGATGGAATTTCTGGTTCATACGAAGTGAGTCTTATCGATGATGCTACAAATGGTGAAATCAAGAGGATGAATGATATAGTGAGAAGCGCTCAATCCAGTTCAGGAAACTTTCCGCTTGGAATCTATGTGGATGGTGTGACTGACCCACAAAATCTTGGCAACATAGTGAGATCAGCGTATTATCTTGGGGCAGATTTCATGGTAGTACCAGAGTCTGAAACAGCACGGCTTGGCCCAGTAACTGCCAAAGCAGCAGCAGGGGCGCTTGATTTATTCACAATTTACAAAACAAATAGTTCTCTTGAGCTTATCGACTCTGCGAAAAAAAATGGCTGGAGTATAGTAAGCACAAGCTCGAGAGAACGGGAAGATGATCTTGGTGATATGAAATCAAATCATCGCCGGCACGTCGCAGGAAAATACATTGATCAAAACGAATTGCCTCGTATAATGAGTGCAGCGCCGATGTTGATTGTTTTAGGAAGCGAGGGGGCGGGGATTAGGACCAATATTAAGTTGAGGTCTGACTTTCTTGTGGGATGGAAGAAAGGAAGGTTGGGGCAGAGTTCAATAGATTCGATGAATGTCGCTGTGGCCGCCGGGCTCATAATAGCCAAAATCTTGGAATAGATAATAAGTGAATTTTATTCAATAATTCTTTTGACATGAATTCCCAAACTGACATGGATGCTAGTGAACTGTCGCGATCTTTTCTTACCCGGTTGTTAGGTTTTGAAAATGATGCAATTAAATATTGTATGGCTCCCACCTTCCCTCCAATCTAAGATACACACAAGTGCCATACTCGATATAAATCAAAATATCCTGAAGTATCAATCATATTGATTATATAGGTCGATTACAAAATATTCAAAAATCGGCATTCGTGATTTAAAAAATTCAAATCATGTATCTGTATGTTGATTGTATTATTTTTTATTTACCGGTCAAATCAATTCTACGTAGTTTGCAGGAAAGATTCCGCTGACACCATTGTTTCGTCCTGTCCACCAATCGTCCGTGGTTTCACTTTTCTTCAAAATATCTATAACGTCACCTTTCTTAAAAGGTAAGTCTCCAGGCTGCTCACCTTTGAACAGGTAAAGAGCGATAGCCTGATTAGCATATGACTTTGGGGCAGCACCACCAAAATTTGGTTTAGAGTTTGCAGAAGGCCTAGAAGGGCTCACAGTTGAGCCCGCCAATTTGGTACTTGCAAGTCTGTTGCCGAGGTTGTCAACTTCACTGTTCGTTCTTCTTCGTGAGGAGCCTCCATCATATATGTTATCCTCCCATGTAGAGCGACGACTTGTTCCACCGGCAGATGTGCCTTGGGATGTTCGATTATTGGTACTATGGCGCCGTTGGCGCAGATGATCGTCAGAATATTCATCATCAGAATAGCCATATTCATCCGAATATCTTCGCGATCCTTGATATCTAACTCTGTCATTTCTCGAGTAATCGGAAGTTGAGTCGGAAAATTCGTCCGGAATATCATCATAGTAGTCATCATTGAAAGAGTCATCATCAGAAAGCCTGTTTGAAAAAACTCTGCTTTCTAAAACTCTCATAAGGGGTTCACAGCCAGCAGGGGCTTCTACTTGGCCTGCCAAAATATTTCTAGCTTTGCAGTTGCTTCCGTAAAACTTTCTGTTTGTTTCTCTTCTTTCAAGAATGGCCGAGCCCTCTAGGGAAACACCAGCGAACAAACCTTTAGTTTTCGAATAAGCGAAAACAGCCGATACCGATTTCAAAGACGCTGTACCTGCAGCCTCAGCGTTTCGGCCTAATGGACCTGCCGCAACAGATAAATTTGTGCCCAAGGTTATAGAACCCATTTGAGCAAATGATTCCACAGCAGATCTCGTGTTGAGTATAAAGACGAAATCTGTGAGCTCAGCACCTATTTGGCCACCAACCCCGGCACCTGCAGTTACAATAGCAGATGGCGGTGACCAAGAGCCATCAGGTAATCTTGCGACAATAACACCGGAGCCAGCTCTGCCAGAGAATAAAAACCCGGCCTTTAATACAGTGATAATCGCCAAGCCTTTAGCATTTCTCAAGACTTCAGGCGGAATCACCTGTTCAGGGCCAGCAACTTGGTTGGGTTTAATAAAGCTTGCAAGAACTTTTGCAGCTTTCCTTCATATGTTAGCATTTGGCATTTTGGTCCAAAACAAAACTTGAACATGATTGGTTAAAGAAGTACCAAAGTTTTATTTCTGGCCAGTTTGGAGCACACTTTGAAAGCTTACATACTTAGACTCACTTTTCAAGCTTCTTGGAATTGGGTTATTGATTCCCATGTTTTGTTTTTTCGTAAATGGACACTAAGTTGAACTTGAAATGTGTTCTTGCCAAGATATAAGTCGAAGGTTTGCGCTCGATTGTCCATGACCGGGAGGTAGGGGCCGCACGGTGCCGGGAAGCCGCGGGATCTGGGGCAACATTAACTGCGCCGAGCAGGATATGTTGGCGTCGCGAGAATTCGTTCAGATCTTACATATTCCCTATTTTTTCTGAATTACTCTATAGTGTAAGTACCTTCTACTCTTCATCGACCGAAAACAACCATGTGAACTTAAATTATACTCTATTTAAAACATACTTTTGTCTTGTGGCGCCGCTTTCTTATTTCAATGAAGCATTGGGGTGGCGAGCGCTAGACTTGTATTAGAACGCGACTTCGGTTCTATTCTTGATTTATATTTTTAGTAACTAATTACTACGGACCCAGCTTAGAGTGGTCACTGAATCCTTAAGGAAAAGGCGTTTTCTACCTCAACCTCGACCTGTGCCCCTATTTATACCTCTCTCGAGTAACAAACACGTGGCTTTCTCACCCTCGCTATTGTTGCAGCCACATATTGGTCATGTGACTCACTTATGCGCTAGCAACTTGCAAGCCAAAAAAATAACCCCACAAACGAAGTACATGATCACAGTCATTTATTTTGATAGAACAGTATGATCAGCTAAATAAAATTCTTTAGATTTTCTTGGGAATATGAACAGTCAACATTTCCAAAAACGTTTCGGGAAATTTAATTGCAAAAAGAAAAAAAAAAGAAGGGGGCATACTGGGAATTGAACCCAGGGCCTCTCGCATATTTGAACAGTAGCAACGATCGAGAATCGCATCAAGTTCCCAAAGCGAGAATCATACCACTAGACCACACGCCCATTTCTTGCTTTTTAATTTTGTTGAAAGAAAATAATTTAAAAGTATGTATATTATTTTACCACGTTGTAGTGGTTTTAACTTGAAACACAATTGAATACTTTACAAAAATTCCGTCAATTGGTTGGGTGGTAAAGCCAAAATTGTTGCTCTTTTTCCCCCTCAATCAGATGCAGCCGACAACTCATTGGAGAACTTAACAAAATTAAATTGGTTCGTCACCACGATCTTCAAGGTCTACACCAGAAGGCGAGGCGAGTCGCAGGAAGTGGGCTCCATAAGTCCGCTACAACCATCTGAGTTGAAGCGACTACTACAGGAGACCTATCCTAGGAGTCGATGACGTAATATCCAATACGGAAACAGATACGGCCCATGAGGACCTTCCAGGCCGTGACTAACGGAAGGGGGTGGGCAAAGTTGGTACGTACTTGGGAGTTGTTCAAAGGCTTTTCATATGTATCATTTGCATTGTTTTTCTCCTCGAATCAGATGAATCTACCAAAAATATCGAATCCATACAAGGTATGTCGTCTTGTTCATTGAGCCGGCGCAAACAGGAGAAACTTCTGCCACTCCGCCCAGGTCCTTTCTTTGTGAGTTATTCGAAGTGAAGGCGATGAAAAGGTGGAGAAAGTTTTGGAAAGATTTTTACAAACAAGAATGGTTGGTGCAAAATGATCTCACCGCCATTCATCTATTCAATCACGGCTCTTATGTTCCCCTTCATGATGATGAAGTTTGGAAGTCACGATTTGAATGTAGGTTGTGTTTGAAACGTTGTTCTAGCGATCAGAAGTTAACCCATCTCTACAATGAGTGTGAGACTGTGCACTTCTGGTGGAAAAAGAGCAGCTTTCCAGCACGACTGCGCTCAAGGGAGATGCTTGCTCCTTTAGATACTTTCTTTGATTGTCGAAGGAACCCCAATTGGCTGGTTAAAGTCGTTCGTAAGGCTTAATTTGTTCAAGGACCAGGAGGCAAAGACAGGCGTACGTCTTGCCGCAGTGTCACGGGCCCTAAGGGAAAAATATCATACAGAAAGGTGTCATCAGTTCAATTCAAGTGGTTGGCATTGGTTATGGGCAGACGTCGTTTTGAGGGGAGTATATCCCCTTTGGGGGAGTTTGTGAATGGGTGCTCGCACCTTCTCACTTTAGCCCATGTTGTGACCTATTGTAGGTTTTTTCTTAATATATTTTCGTTAGTGGTGGGGTAATAAATTTCCTCCAGTGATACCCTTTAACTTTTATACCCTTTAACTTTTCTCCTCTTATTTCAAGAAAGAAAAGAAAAGTCCTCGTCTGCGAAGAGGGCCTGCCAGGTCGTGGGTAACCGGAGGGGGTGGGTTGAGTTATGACACTAGGTACGTATAAGGAAGCTGGTTGAAGATCTTTTATATCTGTTGAGTATGTTCCTCAAACCAGATGAATCAGACAAAAAACATACAATAAAAAATAAACTGGTATACTGACATCACGTGTAATGTGTGATATCAAATGAGCTTCAGAAAATATACAAAGTGATAAAGAATACCTTCAGAGGAATTAGTAAAATTAGAAATACGCCAGTCCGAAAAATAAGGACTATATGTTGATTATGTGAAATTTCAATTGAAGTACCACAGAGTTGGTGCGCTTCTGGAAGTTTGAAGTTGGAACAGGATATATTTACTTAAAGGCTTAAGCTTGAATATCTCATCCTAAGGTCCGAATTGCTCATTATTACCGATGCGAGAATTTTAAAAGAAGTATTGGTGCCTCTTGGGTCGAGTTTCTTTTTAAGCTCTAAAATAATCTACCACATACCAACGTGTAAAATAAATCCTCACCCGTGGTGGACTCTCTTACATTTTTTTGTGGCAAACAGTTATTCTAAAAGCTTGTGAGTTGAAGGAGATCGTAACAAGAAGTTCTTTCACCAATGAGGCCTAAGAGGTAGGGAAAAGGAACTCTTTCTGAAGGTCAAGAAGACATATATTTGGCGAAAATTATGGAAGATGTTGCATAAACAAGATTTGCGATGAATAGGAATTACCATATCAATTATTTCAATCTTGGGTCGTTTGTAGCCTTTTATGACAATATAGATACTGGTACCAGGACTTTTTGAGATTGTGTCTTTAAGTCACTCCACGGGTCGAGCTCTACAATGAGTGTGAGGTCTCTTCACTTTCGTGGAGCAGGATGGGTTTGAAAACATCCACAAATCCAATGGAATTGGTCGCTTTATTACTCACATTTTGAAAGAAGCGGTGTATCTTTGATGGAGTCGTTGAATTAGTTTAGGAATTTCTGCAGTTAGACAGAGAGACGGAGGTCTCCTACCCTGGATGAAATGTGGGCGCTCTATAAAAATTTCAACCGATGGGCCGATGACACTTGGCAGTCGAGCTACACCAGGCACTCAATGCTAGTTTGGCAGAGGATCTTTGAGAACACTACTTATTCTGGGAGGATCTTGAAACCAACAAGGGCACCTCATCACCTGATTTGACATCGCAATTTATTTCGTGTTCTTTTGCAGTTCTTAATCCCTAGTAGAGTATACAACTTCGAGCTGTGACACCTGCAAGACGTGCTTTGTAACGTCACTTAGAACAAGATCATTTTGGGAGTGCAAATAGAATGAGCTACAATGAAATATAGACACGTCAACGAATGAGAAATAAATAGCGTTTACAATATAATTTTATCAAGACTAACTCGACGTAATTGGAAAGTTAATATATCGGATCAATATACGAAAATAAATTAAGTTCCGTTTTGTGATGTCCCTGGTATCAGTTTGACACCTTGGAAGCGCATATATGAGTATATGCACTTCCATTACGGAGACTTCCGTCAGATATCATTATAAACAACTCACAGAATATTATCTCGGGTTTAAGGGTTCATGTCACGTGACTCATAGATAAAGTATATAATGATGAGATAGAGCTTCTGTAGAGTTCTGAGGAAACCAATGATCAAATACTAATACATATCCCCTATGGCCCGTGAAGTCCATAAAACCTGTACTCTAATATTCAATAAAGAGATGAATACATCATACTAAGAAAAACCCTTAACTTCTAGAATCATTTTTTGCAGCATATCACGCGACTTGGGATACATGATCTGGTATAGTATTTGACAACGCATTTAATTTAGTTGAACGCATCATAAAGTGTAGAATAAAACATGGCATTTGGTTCTGTCAAGTTTTAAATGTTTGTATTAGTGAGTATTTTTTGTTGATTACACTTATCACTTCATTTTCTTTCAGGAGCTTTTGGTCTTTCACGAGAACGAAAACAACCGATACAAAATTTCCAAACAATTTGTTCCAATGGATTTACAAAATTCTGCCTATACAACAGGAATTTATAATACTAAAACACTGATAAGAGAAGAAATGAATGATCTTAAGTACCGAATCAGTGTAAATTCAAGTAAGATAATTATGGCGGATGGGGCCATATATAGGTTTCGGTGATACACGATATAAAACAAAATCCATGACATATATCAAATTCGGGTGCCAAATTATTTTTATTTATGCCCATTACTAGCAATATTTAAACACAGGGTGCTGAATGACAGTTCATACTTAAAAAAAGTTTTCTTGGATAGCAGAAGGAAAAATCAAGCGGTGAAATACATATAAATTACGACATTATAACCAAGAAATGGTTAAACCGCAGAAGAAGTTCTGATAGTCAATGGGAGTGAATGAGAAGAATGGCTTTTACAAAGAAGCGAGGCAGTCCGAAGTTTCATGAAACGCCGCAATCCGAACCCCTCCTTCTAATGCGCACGACTTATGCCTATCGGTCGAGTACATGTTTTGGCTGTGCACGACTCGCGACGTTTTCCACCAGTGAATGAAGTCACACTTATCACTCCCCACGGAATTGCTAACCGATCACTTGCAAACAACTTCCTCCATAAGTCAAGATATCTCCTAGAATAATTCCAATAGTTATATCCTCTATTTGGACATTATTATTCCCCATTATTTGTTCAGGGTTTTAAATTTCTCTGCTTTTGTGGCCTTAGATTGTCCGTAAGCTTCTTAGCTTCTGTGTCTCGTTCGTGAACGATAGAGAAAAATAGTCTTATCACATAGACAAATTGAAAATCTCTCGACTTATCTTCAAGTGGCTATTCAAAGCAAGCGTCCTTACTGACATAACTGTGATCTTCACCATATAGCAATTACTGAGCTTTGTTTGCTGAGTGCTCAATTGAGGGAAAAGATAATAACAACACTCACTACCGCCACCACCCCATCAAACAAACCGTAAGATGGGTGCATGTTGCAGCTGCTTGTCATCCAAAAATGGTGACAGCAAATATCCACCACTCCTATTGGCGGAGAATGAACGTGAGGCCATATCTGCTCTCTTGCAGTATCTAGAGAATAGATCTGATGTTGACTTTTTCAGCAACGGACCTTTAAGGTCTTTACTGACATTGGTGTACTCAGAAAACATTGACCTCCAGAGAAGTGCTGCTTTAGCTTTTGCAGAAATCACAGAGAAAGACGTACGAGAGGTTAATCGAGACGTGTTGGAGCCCATTTTAATTCTCTTGCAATCCAACGATACGGAAGTACAGAGGGCAGCGTGTGGGGCATTAGGCAATTTGGCGGTTAACAATGAAAACAAGACTCTCATTTCAGAAATGGGTGGTATCGAACCTCTCATTCGACAAATGATGTCTTCCAATATCGAGGTTCAGTGTAACGCTGTGGGATGTATCACTAATTTGGCCACACAGGATGAAAACAAATCCAAAATAGCCAAGAGTGGTGCTTTGATTCCTTTAACCAAGTTGGCAAAATCCAAAGATATCCGTGTTCAAAGGAATGCCACCGGTGCTTTGTTGAATATGACCCATTCTTTCGAAAACAGGCAGGAGTTGGTCAACGCAGGCGCTGTTCCAGTTCTTGTCTCGTTGTTGTCCAGCGACGATGCCGATGTACAATATTACTGCACAACGGCGTTGTCAAACATAGCCGTTGATGATCAAAACCGGAAAAAATTGGCAGCAACTGAACCAAAATTGGTTGGCCAGTTGGTTAGTTTGATGGATTCACCTTCCCCAAGAGTGCAATGCCAGGCTACTCTTGCTTTGAGAAACTTGGCTTCAGACTCAGGCTATCAAGTCGATATCGTGAGAGCAGGGGGTCTACCCTACTTAGTCCAGCTCTTGACTTGCAACCATCAGCCACTAGCTCTTGCTGCTGTTGCTTGTATCAGGAATATTTCCATACATCCATTGAACGAAGCATTAATAATTGACGCAGGATTCTTAAAGCCATTGGTCTCTTTGTTGGACTATAGCGACCTGGAAGAGATACAGTGTCATGCAATCTCAACATTGAGAAATTTGGCAGCATCAAGTGAGAGAAATAGATTGGCGCTTTTGAATGCTAATGCTGTTGAAAAGTGCAAAGAGTTGGTGTTGAAGGCTCCAATAAGTGTGCAACTGGAGATCTCTGCTTGTTTCGCTATTCTTGCCTTAGCTGATGACCTCAAGCCAAAGCTTTATGAAAGCCACATTATCGATGTTTTGATTCCTTTAACATTCAGTGAAAATGGTGAAGTGTGCGGAAATTCAGCTGCTGCACTAGCTAACTTGTGTTCTCGCGTCTCAAACGAGCATGAAAAATATATTCTCGGTAACTGGACACAACCCAGTGAGGGTATATACGGGTTTTTGATCAGGTTTTTACGAAGCGGAAATGCTACCTTTGAGCATATTGCGTTATGGACAATCTTACAGTTATTGGAATCTAACAACAACGAGATTCAGGCCTTGATAAAAGAAAACGAGTCAATTTTGTCTGGAATCAAGAACTTAAGTGAAAACCAACAAAGCATGAATGTCAAAAACACCGCTGAGCTGGGCGAGTATGATGACCCCATGATTGAGTTGTTTAACTTGACACAACAAATCTTACAAATTTTGGGGTAACAAAATCAAGATTTCACAAGTAGTAATAATTTAAGTGAATAATAACCACATGATTCGTATAGTTATGTAAAAGAATTAATCCGCAAAGGTTTTATAAACTCCTCCTTTTATGTTGCACCTAAACATAGTTCTCAGCAATCACCTCGGGTGTTTTCTCGCTCCGGACGTTGTCTTCAGCATTCTCGTTCAATTGCAGCAGAACTGGTTTTAGCAGGAGGTTTTTTACTTTTGTACTCAAGAAATTATCGATGTCAGGATCTTTCAGCCCTTCGCTCTCTGTATTGATGTGATTTCCCAGAATTGTGGGGATACGGTTGACGTGTGTCCCAAGATCTTCTTCTCTGCGGTTAATGGAGTCTTTGTAATCCTTCTCCATCCTATCAAGCTCCTCATCAATTTCATTTTCATTTTGCTGGAGAGATGAACACAAGCTATCCGAAATTTCGTCCGTGAGCGCCACTTCGGCTTCTAACTCTGCAGTCAAACGATCAATTTCGGTTATTGATATTTTCTTATTAATACTAGAGAGAGCAGAGTTGGCAGACAGTAACGACTCGTACAAAGTCTTATTTGCTTTCGCCTGATCTATTTTGTTTAAAAGTTCAGCAAGTTCATTCGAAGCTGCCAGAACCAGCTCAAGGTTCTGCAAGGCGTGGGCCTTCTTTATTAGTAAATTCTTCAAGACCATCTCGCGTGCTTTTACTCGTATTAGATGTGAAAGCCGCAGTGGAATATCTTGGTAAATAATTTTCTCCAAGAGCGCTGCTCGCGTGTCCAATTCTAACATATTTATCTTGAGGTCAAGGATTTCAAGATCTTCTGGTGTGACGTCAATGATACTGCCAATCTTTATTGCAAATGTGTTTTTGGATCCTGGGACCTTCTGCATGCTCAAACCATGTAGATCACGCGAGAGATAGAGAAGTACCGCTTCGACATCTTCGTCAGACAATTTTTTGTCGAAACCTTTGATTAGCTTTCGGGTCATGTCATAGTTCAATATATGAGCCAGATAGCAACCCTGAGACTTGACTGATTCTTCCAAAGCCTTGAGAATCTCGACGGACCGGCTAATGAGAGTTGGTATATGCAAGTACAATTCCAGTGAGCCACGAATTGCGGTTTCTGGGGAATGAAATGACAAGTCAAATTTTGAAAGTAGTTTTGTCCAAATTCTTCGAGGAGACAAAAAGTCAGCATACAGAGAAAGCAGTATGGGGCGTGATTTATAAACCGACCATGGTATGAGTACACGGTTTTCAACGAGGGTTCTCACCACCAAGTCAAGTGATTTGGGCTGTCCATATTGCGGGCTTGCTAGTGTTTCTGAGAGTTTTCCTGCCGGTAAAGTGATGCTAGACTGGAAAGTATGCACACGAAGACACTGTAATAGGAGATGCTCCCAAGCTAAAATGTTCGCATCGTAACCTTCGGGGTTGATGAATTTTAGTTCTGAGAAATCAGAGAAAAGTGACTGAGCTCGTGACTCTGTAAAAGATGGAACTTTCGTGAAAACGAAGTTCATTTACCTCAAGCTTATCGTCGAATCACTGTCGGTAATGTACGTCGATGTATGAGGGTGAGAGAGTAGATTAAGGGAGATAGGGTTCGCAGTTCGCGGCAAGATGCGAGGCGCGGCAAGATGCGAGGAGGAGGGTAATCTAAAATTATTCGACCAACGACAATTGTCAAACTTCTCAAGATTAAGATAGAAGTCATGACTATGTTATATCATCGAAATGCTTATTTTCTCTAATGATTCATTGCTGAAGGCCTTGATTGATATGTATGAAACTTCATAGAAGTCTTCTCCCCCCATCGCCCGTAGCATTGAATCGCTTAGACACGCGGAATTTGTGCTCTCCGTGCTGCACATTTGAGTAGCATCCGGGACGGAGAATGGGAAATTGCTGTAATTTCAGTTTCAATCAAAAGCTACGGCGTGTGTAGTGTTGAATTAAATATATACAGCTTGGAGCACGAATCCTTTCAAAGCTCTGAAAATTAGCAGGATCCTCGCGATATTCCTGTCTTGCAAGGGTTCATGGACGTTTAATTTTCAAGAAAACTGAGAAAAATAAGGAGGCTTCTAACGAATAAACATTCACGTTTTATATCAGATTATGGGTTTACTCATCCATGGTCAATTTATCTAACAGTAGCTCAACTTGGTCCCTCAAAAGATCAACCACATCAAGAATAGCTGTTGAGGCTGGAGAGTCCGCATGTTCCTCGAAAAAACTCAATCCCAGGTCGCATGCTTGACCAATACGAGGATCAAGAGGAACTGAGCCTAGAAAAGGTATGTTCATATCGCGGCATAGTTGCTCACCACCTCCCGTCGTGGGTTTGAAAATAAGCGACTCCCCGTGACAGTTTGGACAAACAAAACCGGACATGTTTTCGACAAGCCCAAGAATTTTGATACCTGCCTTCCGACAAAAATCAATTTCCTTTCTCACATCTAAAAGAGCCACCTCTTGGGGCGTCGTCACTATGAGTGCACCATCTATGCCAGCATCTTTCATGTACGTACTAACTGATAAATGCTCATCAGAAGTTCCTGGAGGGGTGTCCACAATCAAATAATCTAGGTGCTCACCCCAATTTACATCCTTCAAAAATTGTTTGATAAGGCCATTTTTCTTTGCACCCCTCCAAATTATCGCCGAATCTGGGTCAGGAAGCATGAAAGAAATTGACATTAGCCCCAAATTATCGGCTGCGTATACAGGTGACCAACCCGAATTCGACTGATGGATGGTTTCTCCCTCAGATCCAAGCATTCTCGGTAATGATGGACCACAAATGTCCAAATCCATTGCGCCGATTTCGAGGTCCTCATCTGCTGCCAATGCCCACGCTAGCATAGAAGTAAATGTTGATTTACCAACACCACCTTTACCTGACAACACTAGAATTTTGTGACGGATATTCTTGAGCTTCTCGGTGATAATGGCCACATCCAAATCGGGACCTTTCGGTAGAGACTCACAAATATTTTGATTTGGACAGCCGTTACAGGCATCTCCCTTCCCTGCGTCTTCTGATTCTGGTCCCGGACAATGTTCAGGCTCTGGCGCCTTCAAGTCTGCTGAGGGGGGCATTATGAAGATAAAGGGCAACCGAGTAAAGACAAAAACTTCCTGGGTTTATATTATAAAAAATGGAGGCAAATAATCTAAAATATATTGAAACTCTCAGGATCCGGGATTACTTTTGTTCAAGAAATTGCTCTATTTCTCAGATTTGAAGGTGCTAGGGCTACCTGAGAACGGGAACCATGCATAATTACTCATCAAAAATCATCTGGGTGCACGGATCCTCGCGCCATCTATTCGATAGTGATTCTACGAAAGGAAATTCGGGTTTTGAAGTAATTCCTTTCGTTTTCACCCGAACACAAGGCCATTATTTTGGGTGATAAGTCAGCATGGCCACTGTAGTGCTCAAGAGCCAAATCGCCTATTTTCTTGGCCAAAATTTTGAAGGAAACAGCCTGTTTGAGAGAAGTTGTGCGTTTCAAACTAGCTGCATTGTCAAGAAGAAAGACAATTTCCGAGTCCTCTAGGGCACTATAATTTTCGTTCGCCCCCACGATATCGAAATACTTCGCGAAAAACCCTGCTCCTTGATTCCAACCTGGAATAATACCACCTTTCTCTGGAAAACAGGAGATAATCGCTTTGAGTCTTGATATCATAGCCGAGTCTTCTTCAATGACAGCTAAAGGTCCGAGCTCGTCACAAATCAATTCATGTAAGTCGGACCATAACTCGGCAACCACCAACGCTTCACCACATTCCCACATGTCTTTGTTACGACGATTGAAGATTGCATAGGCTTCATGGAGTAGAGTGCGAGGTATCTTTAAAACATCAATAAGAAAACTTTCATGTTCTGGTTTATCTTGAATAATTTCTGCAACATTATCGATGACCACCTTTCTAATTTTTTCTTTCAGAAGAGACTCATCACTCATTGTAGAATATACATGAATCGCTTCTTTCCACAATTTAGCCCTTTCAAGTTCATCACCGAGGGAAAGCCCCACAGTGTTTTTAAAGATAGACAAGTCTTCACTTGATTCTCTGCATGACAACACTTGAACAAGAACCCACTTGACAATGCCACTTAATCCCGACTTTTCAATTTCACACCCTGTTTGGTTTACAGAGCCTGACTGCCAAGCAGAATAAATCGAGAGCATCTCACTAAGGGGGCATACTTCCACAGAAGCAGGAAGTTTTGCGAAACTTGCCTCAATGCTCTCATCGGGGTTGCCATAAAGAACATGTATGCCTATTAAAATTCGATTGGGAAGTGTGCACTGAAATTCACCAAGCTTACCCGCCAAAAGCTTGCAGACTTTCATTGAAGTCTTAGGAATGAAATTCGATTCTCCAAATTCTTCCCATGACTCAATCTGACTGCGGGCAATACCTTTAACGGTGGGGTCGTTTGAGTCCAAAAGAGTCAACAACGAGGCGAGATGTAAATCTTGAGACTTAGTGGCAAGATCGACAGCAGACTTTATATCACCTAAGCAAACCGCCTTAAAAGTTTCGTCGGTCCCAGAAGACGAACTTAAAACGGGGCTATCAATATTGTATGCTCGCAACCAAGAGGCAAATTCTTTTTTCTTCTCAATCGACTCAAGTTTTTTGGTAATATTGCTATCAGCGAACAAATCACTCAGACATTTAGACTTGGAATGAGGCTTGTCAAATATAATTGAGGCAAGCTTTAAAAATTCAAAACTAGGATCATCTCCAAATATTTTGGAGATGGAGGCGAATGAGGCAGAACCAGGAAACTGAACTTGTGGGAATCCATTCTCTCTTCTCTGAATGTCCGATTGAAGAAGTAACCCCTGAAAACATTCCGGCACGGATGCCAAGGAGAATGTTTTTTCACACTCGAGTAGGAGCTGTTTGTCTGACATGTTCTTATGCAGTGCCGAGTCTCTTTGATCCATGGACTGGCTGCTGTCAATATCGGAAAACAATATGTCATTGACAGAGTTCAAGATCAGCTGGTGGTTTCCAGCAGGAGCAGGAATCGTAGCAAAAGCTGAAACAATATTATTTGCAATTTCGAGCTGAAGGACCCAGTTTTTGCATGTAGCCAAAGATGTATGTTGGTCAACACCGTCGAGCATTGCCTCGTCATTTATTTCAGGCTCATATGCTTTCTCATCAACGAGGTCACTAAAGCCCGCCTTTAATGGGGCATTGTTCACAATGCGTTTGAGGTAGTCATAATTTCCGGCTTCTCGAGGGAAAGAAAGTTCTTCAGGAAAATGACCTTCCTTTATATCCTTGTTGGATTCATCATCAGAGTCATTCGTGATATCGCTGGCATTTGCAGCAAGCGCATGAGCAAATTTTCTTTCTTTGAATGCATTAACCTCTTGATTTATCTCATTCTGCACCACATTCCTTTTTATACTCAAAGCACCGGTTCGGGTGCTTGTATCAAAGTCCCAACCCCCGGGAATTCCAATTGTATCACTTGCAATTCTTTGTCGCTTTATTTCGTTATGATAACTGTCATTTTGATACAACCTGGAGTAAACAATCGATGCTTCTTGTTCTTTGAGATCTTGTTTTTTCTTGAGACTTCTTAGGCGTGCAAGTTCTTCACTTTCATCGCCTTGGGCTTCACTGTCATCAAGTAATCCCCAAACACTAAAATGTTTCACAGTGAATGTCCAGTTGAAAGTTATAGGATCGTAAGTAACAAATTCCATACCTATCATATTTTTCAATCTTTTGATATGGTCTTCAATACCACACGCCTTGGGAGGTGCATGTAATGTGATGGTCGCAGGCACATTGAGTTCGCGACCTAACTCCGGTGACATATACAACTTGTCATCATATACCCGAACAGTAGAGTTGGAAAACTTGATGATGCGACCAAAAAGCTCCCTCTTGATAATGGTTATATCATGTCCACATCTCTCAAAAAGGTTGGAAATATCAACAGGGTATGAATATGAGATCTGGCCATGACCAACACGTCCGACTATGAAATTATCAACTTTGCTAAGGTCGAAGAGAGACAACACAGAGAGGTCCTCGAGAGTTGGTGAGCAAAAATAGCCGTTGTACAACACTTCTTGATCTTGGTTTTCGTTTGTAAGACGGTCTCCATTACCAGAAACACCAACAGTTGATATTCCCAGCTTTTTGTTTAATTTTGCAATCTTCGAGGGACGCAGTATATCTAAATTGCTGTCTGAACAATCATGTTCATTAACATGACGAGAATTAGGTGATAAAGCGGCTGTGCGCTTGCGTCTGGTTTTGAAGACTTGATCGGTATCAATCAAGTGGAATTTAGAAGGGGTAGACTTGATTACTAATTTTCGGTAATCACCCACATTTCGAGTATCGATAGAAAAATTGGAAGGCTTCTCGGCACTTTTCCGCGGATCTGTATTTGAAGTTGTTATTTTTGGCTCATCATCCACTCGATTTTGTTGACTGAATACGCCTTTTAGTTTTGCTATGTTCGAGACGGATGGGTCATTTTTGGGCGAACGAAAGATGTTGAATGTCCGAGCCAAGCGAGAAACAATTGAGGGTTTCAAAATGCTTTTAATAGAGGAGGATGGCGCGACTCGATTGTTATCCCCCAAAGCGGAATGCTCCTTCTCGAAAAAGAAGCTCGTGAGCGAAGGGGGCATATCTTGCTCTGCTCGAGCGATTTTTTTAAGCACCAGGTTCTCACCATATGGGCTACCAGAAGATACTGAATTGGTAATCTCAGTGGTATTCTGTGTGTTTAATCCTCCGAATAACCCCCCCGTTTTCGGCACCGTACTGTTACCCGTAAAGCTACCCAAAGGTGCATTTGTGGCGCCAAAAAGAGTAGAAGTTTGGTTATTGTTGGCACCAGTCGAATTACTAAGCAGGTTACCAAAAGTTTTGTTGGAAGATCCGAAAATCCCACCGGTCATTTGAGACGAGGGCTTCCCAAATAAGTTAGCAGACGTTTCGTTGTGTTGCGGATTTTGTTGAGAGGCACCAAAAAGTGACAGAGATGGCTTTGAAGGGATAGACGCCCCACCGATTTGTGTGGAATTAGTGTTAGAGTTCGCGAAAAGACCCCCCAGTTGAGCGGAACCAGTGCTATTATTACTTCCAAAGAGCTGTCCATTGGGTGTATTATTTCCACCATTCAAAGAACCAAACATGCCTCCAGTTTGATTGGAGCTGGCTCTCACTCCTGTAGAATTTCCAAAAAGCCCTCCGCTTTGAGATCCTGTGCCGATCGTGCTACCCGACAGGCTTGAAATCGTACCTGGAGCCGCCGCAGAACCGGTCAAGCTAGCTGGAAATGCAGAGGAAGTATTAGAAGCTGATTGCCCACCAAAATTTGTGCCCGTAGACTTGGCTCCGAATAAACTTCCGGAAGTTGAGGGAACTGACGTGGGAGCAGAGCCAAACTGAAATGTCGAGTTAGAATTTGCAGGAGATGGGCCAGTAGTGAAACCAGAGGATGGAAAGTTTCCACTGGGATTTGCATGTGCACCAAACCCTGAAGATGTACCCCAACTAGATCCAGCGTTCATGGATTTCAGTTCTGAAGATGATTGTTGAGGCAACGTTTAAAAGAAAACAGAGTATAGTATTCGAAAAAAACGAAAATGTGTATATGCAGTCGAACATAATGCGGCCAGGATGCGCGCTCAAAATACAGATTTCTGCCACCCCTCACCTTCAAATAGCAAAGGACTATATGAAATATTCATGCGGCCGCGTGTTCAGTTAAATTTTATATTTTTTTTCTTTCTTTTCTCTCATTAAATAATACTCCAAAATGAGTCTAGGTATCTTCTGCATAATCCTGCATGATAAATTCAAACCTTTTGTTTACTATGAATCGACCGCAGACAGTTTTGTATCAACTTGTAAACAGTAATAGAAGGACTCGAATATTTAGGCCAAAGCCAATTTGACAAATTTCCGCCACTGATTTCAAGTGAAGCATATCCAATAAATGCGCTTAGGTTATAGCTAAATGAATCACTCTGAAATCAATTCTAGTTTCATGAAACCTTCAGCGCAGAACCAGAACTTGTCAAACTTTCTCAAATGAGGTTTGGCAGTGTAGACATCATTGCATATCCCAAGGTCCACCACATAATGCTGTACATCATCATTGAGCGAGCCGTTGTTGTAGGCATGGAGTAAGCCGCTGACAGGAAGACCCAACGAAGCAATAAACTTGCTGTTTATCTTCAACAGCTGATCGGAAACGGTACCAGAGCCGCCGTCTATGCCAGAAGCAATATCAAGAGATAAAACTTTGAATTTTTGCCCGGGCTCATTTGTCCAACGGACAACTTCTCTTAGAATGTCCATACTCTCTGAGGTGTAGAAAAGATCGGAAATTTGGCTCGCAAACCCTTGCAAGGAATCGATAACAAGCTCAACTGGAGTATCAAGTTGATTATTCAAAAAATCCACAAGCTCAGGAAATCCAGTGCTCACCACCTTCCCCCCGCATTTCTCAAAAAGCTGACATTGGCGAAGTGTATCAGCTTCAACGATATCCTCATTTATCACGTAGGCCAAAACTCTTACGCCATGATTTGATAGGTGCCTTCCGAGAGCAAATGCCTTACTGCTGCAGTGACCACTCCCAATCAAAAGCAAAACTAACGGGGGCAAATTGTGGTTTTTGCGATTACTTAACCGCACAGATCCACCAAGAATTTTCGACACAATCATGTTATATAGATTCGAGGCGCATATTTCCACGGATATCGTGGCATCAATTCCAAAACTTTCTTCAGCAATCCGCTCTATCTCCAAAAGTTGCACTGGTGAAGCTAATGGCACAGGAGATGAACCATCCTCGAAAGTAAATTTGTAAACTTGGGAGTCTCGGCTCACCTTACTGCCAGTGGATGGAAGTCCCCCCGAACTTACTGGCAGAGAAAGTCTTTGAGATAACGATCCTAATTTATTCCAGTTGTCCTGTTTGTTTTTGGAAAGGATCATTTCATCATTATCGTACTTGTCCTGTGCATTTTTAACTCTTTTCTCCACCTTGTTGTGACTGACTAGTCTATCCTGAGCACTGACACTGTCATGTTTTTGAAAATCAGCAAAAACAGACTTCTTATCAAACATTGCCAAATTGGCAGCGAAATCAAAGTCTTCGGAGCTCTTTATATCTTGAACGTCGGAGCCCCAGTCGGGATGCTTCTTTGACAAACGGGGAGTGGCACTTCTAGAATTTGCACCAGAAACCAGAACTATGGCATCATCTAATTGTGTTAGACTAGCTTTCGATCTCAGCTTTAATTTGTCTCCTGGTAACTGAACAACCTTCAAGTCCTTCACCTTAGAATTTTCGATACTTCTGCTCCCCAAGGATATCTGGGATCTATTTACCAGTGTCACAAATCCTTGAGTCGTAGTCCCATCTTTGAGCTGAAGTAAAACCTTATAATCGAGGAACTCTGTCATAGTGAAGTTTTCGGGTCTTGGATTTGAAACCAAGTAGATTCTGTGTGCGATTCAGAAGTGTTGAGAGATGTTGAAGTGGACAATGCAGTCTAGCGGTGAGAGTCGACCTGCAGGTAGTCTTCTTGGTAACATCTTGAGTATGTCTGAGTTTAATCTGTACCAGTAGATTGAGCTTTCACCTTTAAAGTGTCAAGGATCGCCGCATCCAAACTTAAATTGATAAAATTGATTTGATATCAGACGAAATCAAGGATGCGTGGGACCTTCTACTACTATACTCATGTGAGAGTGGTTGAGCTCCTTTTACTACTATACCCATGTGAGAGTGGTTGAGCTCCTTATCGACCCTTCTCCCTAGCCCGCTTCGGACATGAGACAAACTCCTCTACGATCTCTCCGATCATTTGCGCCTCAGTCTCGCACCGCTTAATTGTCTCACTGGCACGCGCGACCAAGCGCTTTTGTTCAATGGAAGATTGTTTGCGAAGCAGAAGCTTGATCTCCGATTTTAAATATCTGTTGTGGCCTTGTATCTCCTCAAACTCCTCATTTTTACTCTGCAATCGATTTCTAAGATATTTGATCTCAAACGACTGTCTTTGGCTCTCGTTTGTAAAATAAGTGATAAGATGATCAGCTCCCTCGTCTTTTTCTGCGATTTGAGATTCATGAATCTGCTTTTTGAGAGCACTGATTTCTTCTCTTAGCCTCTCGACTATTGATTGATCCTCAACATGAAGTGCTGCCCAATCAACAGGTGGGGCAAGAAGCTTTGAGGCACTAGCTTTAGCTTTGGTTTTGATCTTTTTGACTTGAGTGGCGTAGTTGAGTGTCTGATGTGTTTCATCATAATCTGTTGGTGAAACGCAGAATATCATCGACGTTTTGGAATTTCCAGATAAGTTTTCCTTCATCAAAAAAGTTAATGTAGAGTCACGATATGGAACAACACCCTTTTCACCCAGAGAAAGGAGATTTATACATCTTCCTAAAACTGTGAGAGATTTATTGATTTGCGCACCTTCCTTTAGTCTATCTGACTGGTGAAAAACCTGGGTTTTTGCTAATCTCTCTGAACCAGCCAAGTCAACAAGCTTTATATTAGATACCATTTCTTCAGCTGGGGCACCGACAGATTGTGAGGAGTCTGAGTTTTCCGCAAACCTAGTTTGCTTGAGGGTGAAGGTGAGTACCGCATGAGATCGCGAGCTTGCTTCGTTCATTTTTGTTGATGCTGTCATACGGAGAGAATTTCCAGTCTTCAAGAATTCAAAAAATTCCTCAAATGACTCAACCGAAACATTTGTGAGACCCTCAATATATGGCCCCAAAACTGGATCCTCTCTTACTCGGCAAACTTTGGAACCACCAAGCAAGTCCTTCACTTTCTCATTGTAAATTTCAATGAAGGAGAATGTCATTTCGCAATTAATCTTATCCATGACCAATGCATCTCTCTGGCGCAAGATATCTCGTACCATTAGCGGGATGATCCCGTAATCATTCTTTTGTCCCATCATTGTGTAAGTCTTGCCCGACCCAGTTTGTCCATAGGCTAATAAACATACATTGTAGCCTTGATAAAGATGCTCGAGTAAATGGTAGCCACATTTTTGATAAAAAGACGCATTGCTTTCGTAGTTTTCCTCGTTCTTGCTATGAGACCAAACACATTCATCAAAGGTATACACCTTAGAGCCTTTTGAATGGTCGAGATATGTTTTTCCAGGCTCGTCTGATGGCATATGCACTAAGCAAACAGAGGCATCTTCGCGAGGTAGCAGAGGCCTCACTCTTACAATGGTCTTGATACTTGTTGACATCTTGATTATTTGAAGAATATTCGCTTTGGTTTTTGATCAGGGAAAATTTGGTTGATGAGGGTAATGTGTAGTTACTTGTTATCTATATTCACGAAAACATTTTGTAGAACGACTTCCGGCGGAAAAGACAATTGAATGTACAGATACACAGACCACTGGATATTCTCTGGTAGAATAGTCTTTTGAAGTTAAAGCGCCTTATTTCTTCGACAATCGGGTTTAAATAAACGAGAGAAAGTGGAACTTCAAGTTTTTCCCTATAGTTGATTCCCGTTCTTGCCTTGATTGAAAATGAGTGGAAAAAGTTCTCTCACATAAACATCACCTGCATAGTATATCGCTGTACGTGAGAACGAGACGCGGAGAAACGCGAACTGATATTTGTCACTTCTATTTAGGCTCAGTAAATTGTCACGGTTTGCTTCTAACCCAGACTATTGAGGGTGTTTCGTCATTTTGAAACTCGTCTTCCCTCAGAATTGTGAGTAATGCGGGTATCGCTTTATCTTATCTTGTATTTCGCCGGACTTGAATTTGGCACTTCCTTCGGGGGACACGGTTTTTCGCAGTGAATACACTATTACTTCATACGTAAGGCAAAACAGGTCTACATGATATAAAGTTTTTTTTTTTTGGTTGCAGTATTATGCACATTTTTCAATGCATTCAGCCATCTACTTGAAAAACTCTGCTTGTTGGCGACATTTTTCTCCTTATCCCTTCAGTTTTCGTCCATAAAATTACTTTTTTAGCGCAACTAAAGTTCCCTAAAACGTCCGAGTTTTGGGACCATGCCATAGGCTTCCTCGGATATCGCACTCTCGGAACTCCGTGTTTTGATGTTCACAAGGAATAGGATACAGATATGTTTAAATATTTCCAAATTTGAATCTTTTGGTTTGAATCTTACTGGTTTTCTGGGTCAGAAATTGGCACGTGAACGATTTTTCTCAATGTTCTCGAATTTTAAAACAGGGGGTACTTTTATCTTTCACCGCAACTAAAGTCACATGACACGCGCAACGGGGTGTCACAAGTTCTGTGCTCCGTCTTGAAATGCCCCAGCTTTTCTTCTTCTCAACATTTTAAACCTTCCCAGCTATAGAATTCCACTTCTCAATATTGGTTCTGATTATCATACTGATTCAACATCAAAACAGCTGAAATATTACTTTTGAAAGAAAAGGGAATTTTTTAACGCAAAAGTTTACATTTCAACAAGATAGTATGACCCCCTCGTCTCACAGGAGAGCACAGAACGTGGCAAACGCTCAAAAGATGCGTCTTCTTTTTATAACACAGGATGAAAATATACCAGAGTACCTTCTGAGTGATTCTCAGGCGGCTCATATAATTCATGACAACTATAATGTGGTGAAGAAGATGCGCGATAGCCCTGAGTATTACAGTCTTCAAAGAGTATGGCCTGGTATAAGTGGGTGCACTTTTGCAGTGGTTAACCCTGAGGGTATATACTGGCATTCGGAATTTTCTGATGAGAAGGCGTGTCTCGAATTCCTACTGTCTCCCAAAGAATTCGGAATCTGGCATGCGTCTGCGGACGTGTATCAGCATATCATATCTCAATCTTCAGAAGGCACAGCTCTGAGTGAGGTTTGTGATTTCTTACCTGGAATACAGAGTGAGACATCTGGAACGCGAGACGACTCAACCCGTGGCTCTAGATCTGACCATAAAGAAAAATGCGTTCTTTCTGTACGACTCATGGAAGGAGGCAGTGCAAAGGCTCAATTCAATGCAACCGACTGTCTCAAGGATGTCAAAAGATGGCTTCAGCAGGAACTCAATCTTCTGTTGATTCCCGAAGAGGACATTACTGTCTCGAGGTATACAAATATTGGTCACTTTGAGCCGTCCAGGTATGCATTCTTTTATCCAGCCACGAGGAAAACATTTTCCGAGGCCCAAGAGTTTGTAAAACTTGAGGATCTTGGGTTGTGCCCACGCCTGGCGTTGATTTTACGACCTGATTATGATGAAAATGCAATGAAGGCGGCGCGGGAAGCAGAAAATAACACTTTCAAAAATTTGATTAGCAACACAAGTCATATTTTACAGGCATTGTACTCATTTTTTGAATACAAAGTCGATGATGCTACAAATTTCTCGCAAGAAGAAGTGGAACTTCCAGCAGACGAAAACCTCAAGCCCCCTCACTTTTTGGCAGCAACTGGACCGACACCATCTGCGTCGCCTATCAACGTCTATGGGAGCAAGAATGAAGTCACAAATGGCTCGGATGATTTCCTCGGCCATGCAGCATCTTCGCAGGCGAATGGTGAAAACATCATGAATGTTGCAAGAGAGGAGTATTAAGTATGAGCTGAAGAGAGTCGGATAGTCATCACAGTGTTCTCTGACTAGTCACTGGATTAAAGAGACTCGTGCTATTAATATGTTTGAAATGGATATATATAATATATATTTATATTTTCTTCGGGTTCGTTACACCAAGCACTGGATACTCGATGCTATTTTATACCTTATTTACTGCTCAGTTGACAATTCTTCAATTGCACCGCAGCATAACATTCTTGAAGGATTTACAATGGAGCCTCAACCTTTGAATTGGTCATTGGGCACATAATTGTCAGTAATAGCATTTTTTTTTTTTTAATTTGAAGGTTCAGAGACGATCTTCGACTTCAATTGCATGGACCTGCGCACTTGAGAGATCGATTGACGTGCTATGTGGGGAAAAATACACCGAGCACTGACAACCATTTTTCAATGGCGCGTTTGAATTCAAAGCAGACAATATTAACTGTGTGAATCTGTAAACGCTAAGTCTATCAATGGATCTCTCCACTCTTGACAGGCTCCAAGACCTTTTGAAACTTCCAGGGACCGAAAATAGCATTCTAGTTGAGGACACCTGTGTGCTTTCATGTGGTTGCTTGGCTTCAGAACAGCAGTTTGAAACATCTCGCATATGTCCTGATTGCCATAATCCCGAAGTGCACATATTGAAACCTGTATTGCCTTTGAGACAATTGTACCATATTGTTAGCGACTTGATGTCTGTTCCCAAGAAAGGGGTCGATCATGGTTCGGCTGCCAAAATGGGAAATTTCCCACTGAATACACTTGAGACGTGTTCTAAAACCTCTTCAAACGATTTATCCAAGGTAGCGTCCAAAAATTCTACTCCACCCCCGGATTTGGACCTTTTGGGGTTGTTCTGCAAGTTTGCCAGAGAAGAACAGACAGAGAAGGCGGGGCCGAAAGAACAAATACTCAGGCCTTCCCCTACTTTGGACCAGCCTTCGAAAGCATATCTGGAGCTAAAACCAATTTCTCCGGCATCACCAAAAGGACAAAGCTCTCCGTCTCAATTTCTGTGCACAGCAAAGACCACAATCCGAGATCCATCAGAGACGCAAGAAGGAAAGCTCTTTTTCGGACTCGAGGTTAACGCAGAACGTAATTTTTCTGAGTGTTTTCCATTCCACCGAAAAGTTTCCAGTTTTGCTACACAGCAGGGTAAATTGCTGTTCAGTTCAAGGACCTTGATCAAGAAAATCAACAGATTTTCCAATTCTGCTATAACCACGTACTTTGACCATGACATCAAGTGCGAGGTGACTCATTTTGTTTTGATTTCTGACAAAAAGTGGGAGCTTTATCGCTATACAGATACAAAGCCCATGCTCATCGCTTGCGGCAGACTGACTAGTGAATATGGACCAGGTTACAATGCGCTTAAATACCCCAAGAATACTGGAGTTATCATACACAATGATTTCGCTGACAAAAAGCCAGAATCAGACAAAAAAGCAAATAAAAGTGAATCTCTTCATCGACTCAAGTCATGGGATCAACTTCATTGTTGCTTGTCAGAAAGGTATTTAGTCATTCTGGGGACTAAGGGTATTATGAGGGTATTGAATGTTGATCCAACTCGGGGTGAAATTGGTCAGCCAGTATACACTTATATCATAGACTTTCCGATACGATGTATCGCTCTTGCGCATAATAACGAGCTACTAGCATGTGGTATAACCACCAAAGAAAAAATGAGTGGAAAACAACAACCATTCATCATCCTTCATCATATAAAGAATTCTAGAGAAACTGACGGTGCTGAATTTGGCCCGGTGCGAGTGAACCCGATCACAATTACCGTTCCATATCGTGATCCGCTCAAGATTTTAAATTTTAATTCCTCTTCCACAAACTTGTTATGCTGTACAGTTTACGAAATGCGGTACTTCATCATAAGTTTGCGGGGAGATCAAAGTGTCGATTACAAGAGGCCTCGGCTTATTTTTTCTGATACTAGGTCTGCTCGGAGAGGAAGAAGAAGTACTGGGGGGGACGAAAGCGTAGATGGGATAGACCATCTCCTCGAGACAGAGGATGATGACCAAGTTTTGGACAACGAAGGGATTACTGACATCAAATTTGGTCAGCCGTTCACCAACACAATAGTGATAACATCATCCTCCTTGAAAAACAAACCGTCCGTTGTCTTGAAAATTAATGGGCCTGCTTTAGATTCTCGCAAGTTGCTTCTGAAACTCTCGCTGGAAGAATCATACCAAGATACTGGACTCACACATGAGTACATTACATCGGATGACGAGGATTTGTCGCATGTGACTGATGTAGATGTGTTATTGAAAGTGCATGAGATCGGCTCAAACATATACCGTGTGGAAGTTTCTCCTCGGGGAGATAGCATATTATTCGTTGACAAACTGGGGCGCTTGCTTTTGGTTGCTACTAAAACTGGATACGGGAACATCGAGAACCAGAAACAGATGGGAACTACCATCGTGCTTCTTGGAGAAGTTTCCCCCGCTTTACGCTATACCGAGTCTGCTTCAGTCTGCTTCTCATCAGATGGGGGAAAAGTGATGACAGTTGACCGAAAAGGGATCTTTCAAGTATTTGATTTCACCAAAGGTATTCCAGGTGAGGATCCAGAGGTCATCAAATGTAAGATTATAAGTTTACGGTAGCATTAGTTGACATATATTTCACACAGGAGTATAGTATTCCATTTGGACACGTTGCGTTCTAGCTAGAGCATCAGATCGCTAAACCCGCAGCTTAAGGAGGTAATTTAATGGCCGTCATCCTAGAATTGCGTATTGAGTATCACTGCATTATTCGTTTTGACCTGTGATCTGAATGAAACTCATTCTTGTTTTTTTGCGCGTATAATAACAATAGGTTATACGCGTCAAAAGGAAGTGATGTGCTGGATCAAGGAAGAACAGCATAGCAATGATACAATAATCCTTCACCTGACCCATAAAAATGCTCCAGACCCAGGAAATTTATGTCAAGCTACTAATAGCGCCTTTACCCAAACTTGTAAAAAAATTCTGAAGATCATACACGTGGTTTTCGCGACTAGTCAACGCGAAGTGAACGGTCATGTTTTCAGGACTTTAAACTCGGATTATATCCCAGGTGAGTTTTGAGAGAGAAATTGCGTATATGTGTCTACCAAATGATGTTTGAACGAAAAGAGGTAATTTTCGAATTATGGAATGTCTTGGGGTCACGTCTTTGACACTGGACAGGAACAGTCTAATGTCGCATTTCGTCAGACGGGGATCGTCTAATTTTTTGTTTTTTTGAAAGAATTTGAGAATTTGCCAAAATTTTATCAAAATTGAAGAAACTGTGTTAATTTTCAATTAGATTTTTGCTATGTAGCGAAATTCAGAGACCCAAACCTCGAGGATTTATCGAGAAGGATGCATAGTAAATATTTCTGCAAGATTTTGTCGTTTTATAGTGAAAGTCGTGAGATATTTAGTATTTGTATGCAGGTATTTTTTAGCTTGGTGCCACAATTTTTTTTATCTCATCCACAGTTTTTTCTGTGCAAGGGCAGTTTGTTCTCACAAGGATAAATTGTCATCGAACGAATCCAGCCGATAATGTCAGTTCCACCTATTTCAAACGATGTCTTAGACTTGATTGGTAACACACCTTTGATTAGGTTAAACAAAATTCCCCAGTCTTACGGTATAAAAGCTAAGGTTTACGCCAAGGTTGAGTTATTTAACCTGGGTGGATCGATCAAGGACAGAATTGCCAAAAACATGGTTTTGGAGGCCGAGAAATCTGGCAGAATAAAGCCGGGATACACTCTTATTGAGCCAACTTCTGGTAACACTGGTATTGGTTTGGCCCTCGTTGGAGCGGTCAGAGGATACAGAACTATTATCACTTTGCCTGAGAAGATGTCCAACGAGAAAGTTTCAGTCTTAAAGGCTTTGGGCGCTGAAATTATTAGAACACCCACAGAAGCTGCTTGGGATGCTCCAGAATCCCATATCGGAGTTGCAAGGAAGTTAGAAAAGGAGATTCCAAACTCGGTGATTTTGGATCAATACGGGAATGAGGCCAATCCAGATGCGCATTACTACGGAACTGGTTTCGAAATTTGGGAACAGACTGAGGGAAAAATCACACACTTAGTTGCCGGAGCCGGAACCGGTGGTACCATCTCAGGTATCTCCAGGTACTTGAAGGAACAAAATCCGGAAGTGACAGTGCATGGCGCTGACCCCAAAGGCTCCATTTTGGCTCAACCTGAATCCTTGAATGCATCTACCGATGGATACCTTGTTGAGGGTATTGGGTATGATTTTATCCCTGATGTATTGGACAGAAAGTATGTTGACCATTGGATCAAAACCGACGATGCAGAGTCCTTCAAATTGGCGAGAAGAATAATCAGAGAAGAGGGTATTCTTGTTGGTGGGTCATCCGGATCAGCATTGCAAGCAGCATTGCAAGTTGGCAAGGATTTGACTGAGGAAGACACTCTTGTTGTTGTGTTCCCAGACTCCATCCGGTCATATTTGTCTAAGTTTGCAGATGACGAGTGGATGAAGACAAATGGTTTCAAACTTGAAGAAAACAATGTTGTGGCTGACAAAACAGATGACTTCATGAACAACAGAAGCATTAAAGACTTGGTTGCTGGTAAGCCACCTGTAGTGACTGTCACATTGGCCGATACTGTCGAGAAGACCTTTAACTTGTTGCAAAGCAATGGCTTTGATCAATTGCCCGTTTTGAACGAGTCTGGGAAATTGTTGGGCTTGATCACATTATCTCAAATCTTGAAAGCTTTGTCGACCAAGAAAGTGCAGATGACTAACTCCATTCGCAGCATTTTCTTGGACTTCAGCAAATTGGCCGACTTTGAAAAGTCGTTCTCCATTACCAAAAAGTCTGGTTTCACCAAGAGATCATATCAGACTATTACCTTGGATACCTCATTGTCGTTGTTGAACAAGTTTTTTGAGACAAATTCCAATGCCATCATTACTGACAAGGAAATGAAGCCAGTGCAAATTGTGACTAAGGTTGATTTGTTAGCCTACATGGCAAAAGAGGTAAGTCTTTAGAATGACTGAGCAACCCGACTAGCCACTAAACTCATGTCTCGTTTTGAACACAAAATACATTAATACATGAACAATATACTTCAACCCCCCAGAAAAACAAATGCGTTTCGCCATCCATGAAATTTAAATTGATACAATGTTTCATCACATTTGCCAAACACATTTGCATTTAGAACGCTTGCTTAAGAAAATTTCCACCGGTTGCCGCAATTTTCACATGTGCAAAATGTGGTCAAGGGCTCGTCCGCAGAACGAGTTTGCATTTGATAGTAACTCACCTTCTTATGCTTGCATTTGCCGCATGTGAATCTGTCAGTCACTGCCCTCTTCTCCGTAGCACCCTGAGCATCGAAGAGATTTTGCTTGTGTAATTTTTCTATCTCTTTCTTCAAAGCTTCAGGTGCCATTTCGCTTGGTGGCATCTTTATGAAGACGGCAGGCTTTATGTGTCCCTCGAGTAATCTTCCACGCAACTGAGGATTCTTTTTGTTGCGTAAGTTCATTGTGAAGGTTCTCAACTTGTTACGATAATTGTCTGTCACAGCAGCGTATTCGGCCTTGAAAACTTCGCCCTCGATTTCTCGTGCCACACGTAAAATCACAGAACTTTCATCGTCTCTATCAATTGCCAATGCCGTATATAATGCACTGATCGACGCGTTACGTGTATTGTTGTCGTAAAGTGTAGTATTAACTCCATCTGTTTTTGGATTTCTTGGCCCCAGATGGAATTTACCAGAGGCAGTTCCTGGAACGGGGCGAGATTCTGGGACATGATCGGAAGATGACTTATCCAGCGGGGCTTCCTTCAGAGCTTTCTTAGACAGCTTTTCATTTTGAACTATTTCTTTCCACTTCTTGATCATTTTCTTTACCAACGCACTAATCTCGCTGCTGCTACTGGAACGGTACTTGTTCACCGCCACACCTACTTTCGTCTCACGCAAAAGCTTCTCAGTGGGCTGAACACCGTCATTCAAAATGTTAAGGAGCTTTAAAATTGTGGCATCATCAGTGCTTTTCTCCAAATTGGAGACTGTTGACTTGATCTCTTTAACTTCCATTTGCCAAGAGGGGAGCAGTGTTTATGTGGAAATAATGCGTGGTGCACATTGAGATGGGGTCTCAGAGTGTGCACGGCACTACTTTTTGACAAAATAATAGACATTGATGATAGCAAAGTAGTCATCTTTAATTGAATTTGTATTATCTGGCAGTAGTTGCGGGTGGTTTTTTAAGCCATTGGTAAAAAAAAAGAAATCTGGAAAAGATAACGATGCAATACTTTTCAAAATCCTAAATAATTTGAAATCCTCATTTTCGACCCCCCTCTGGATGTAATTCCGTCAGATATAAAAAGAAATTTTAAAAATTCCAGATAGCTACCAAACAATGAAAGAGTTGTGTAGACTTTTCAGGCAAAGCCTATAATTTTTTAGGGTAGTTCAGTATACCTTCTTTCTGCTTCGAGTTTGATGACTTTGGACAAATTGGAGTGCCGTCATCGCCAAGCACATGTGCATTTGAAATTTAAAACCTTGTGAAAGTAGAGTCTTGGTAAGGAGGGGATATTAAGCTAGCAACAGACCGTCTTGCAAGCCCAAATTATACCGACATACACCAAATTTTGATGAAAGCATTGGTTTTGAACAAACTTTGCATTCTTGGTTTGCTTTGAAAATCGAGGTGCACAGGTCCTTATCCTCTGTGCGCTCACGAGTTATAATTCTCACTCGTCTCCATCCTTTCACTAGCTAAAATAACCAACCTTCTGAAAGTGACAAGAAGTCAAAAGCCTAATCGCAAACCCAACAGTCAGTTATCCTCAAAAGCGTTTGAAAGGCTCATTCTACTGCCGACAATAATGCTGGCAGATTCTCAAGACCCCATCATTTATTTGAGTAGCATCCCTTATGACTATACGGAAGAACAAGTGGCAGACATCGCCAAGTCTGTTGGCCCTATAACGGACTTAAAGCTCATGTTTGATTCGACAACTGGACGTTCTAAAGGATCCGCATTTGTTCGATTTTCTGATCGAGAAGCTGCATTGTCTGCCGTCAGAAATTTGAACAATATGAACGTGGGAAATCGGTACTTGAGATGTACATTTGCCAGCGATAGCGATGCTTTTGATTCCATGCCTGAGTTTTCTAACTACAACAAACTACCTCCATTGCCTCTTGGTGTACAACTTTACCAAAATCAGACTCCACAACAGGCAATATCTGCCATTTTGTCATCACTAGATCTGCAGAGTGCTTCGGAGATGTTGAAAGAAGCTCGTTCTATGAGCCTTGAAAACCCTCAGCTCATGAAAAAGCTCTTGACCCAATGCCCTCAGCTTTCCCATGCTCTTGTTGAAACGAGCTTAATGATGAATGTGACCACAAAGGATCTCGTTGAGTTATGTCTTAATAGAGGCCAGGCAAAGGTCGAAAACTTAACAGAGGACCACGTACTGTTGTTACGACAGGTAAACGACTTATCAGAGGAAGAGTTAAGTTTTCTTGATGAGAATAAGCGGAAGGTGGTTGAAAGTGTTAAAAATGAAATAAGTAAAGGTTCATATGGGATCTTGGATTAATTATACTTCATAGAGTGCACATAATGGACGTCGCCGAATGGATCTTGAAGTTCCATTCAGAATTCACAGTGACTAAATGTAAGAGAAGTTAAAGTTGGAATCCGGACCTCGGGTTCCTTTATCATTCTGATCCAGTTTCTTACCAATCGATGTGTCTATGTATGTTGTGGTATTTGATCCTCCCAGTGATTTCCGATCCTCAGACTTTGATCCGCGCACTACAAATCGTGTTGTATTTTCATGGCGCACAATTTGATGAAATAGCGTACGGCTGGACAAGTTATCGCAATGAGAAGGAATGAATCACAGCAACCCAATTTATCAACTATTTATGTCGGTCTGATTCCTTTTGACTGGAGCGAGGATAATTTCAAGGCTGTTGTTTGTGGGTTGGGAAATGTTTACGACGTTAGACTAGGCTTTGACCATATTGGCAAGAACAAAGGGTTTGCATTTGTAGAGTTTGAAACACCACAACAAGCTGTGAATGCAGCACAGCTTTTGACTAAGGTTCAAATTGTAATGCCTAGCCTGGGGCAAGTCAGAAGATTAAGGACCGAGGTCAAGGAAACATTCAGAAGTAATGACCAGAGAGCTATAATCCCTTTGAAGCCAGAACATTTGCCTGCTGGTGTACAATTCCCCCCGGAAGTCGTGGTAAAAAAGCCACAACTTCTGTGGGCATCACAGGCAAAATATGCTTCTTTTTCAGGCCCAGACATTCCCTCAAATACGCCAAATTCCCGGGGTGCGTCTCATACACCGCCCCTTCCTGGCAATATGGGAAACATGGGCTCCATTGCCCCTCCGAATTCTAGTAATACTCTTCCAGGGGAATTGCTTAAAGCGACGCATTATCTAGCGCTCCCAAAAAAGCTTCCTTTCTCAACTCCAGACAAAATAAACGAGACTTTGGGTCAGATCTCTCCGCCACAACTCATTGAGTTGATCGCCAACTTGAAGAATATAATGAATAGCTCCGACTCTGCAAGGGCCGCGGAAGTCTTCCGTTTGTCCCCAAATTTGGCAGCTTCTGCCACACAGGCTCTTCTCCTCATGGGATTCATCGATGAAGAGGTAATTCAAGAGGCCATGAAGGCTGAAATAGGCAACGCCACTCCGGCTGCTCCCATAACCCCGCAACAACAGAATATTCATCCAGGTCCGTTCAACGTATCTAATCAAGGATATAATAACAGCTCGCAGCTCCCAGGACCATACGCGCAAAATTATGGAAACAGAAAATTTGCCAACCAGGACAACACTTACAACCAAAATTCGGGCTTCAATCTGGGTCAAGCTTTTGCTCAAAATCAGGGACAAGCCTACGGACAACCTGGAATGTCTAATCAACACGCCCAACGATTCAATTCATCTTACCCTCAAAATCAAAGCTCTCATCAAAATCTGCCTCTGTTACCCCCCGCTCCAACGGGTCCTTCCACCCCATCAAGGTGGCCCAATCTTTCACTCCTGGCTCAGATGAAATTGTCCGCTTTACCAAGTGACCAGGCAGAACTTATTGCCCAAGTTTTGGCGTTATCACCAGAGCAAATCAGTGCATTACCTTCCGATCGCCAAAGCATGGTGGCCGGTATTAGACAGCAATATGCATAATATATTTACCAATTATTTTGTCATCCGAAGTCTTGCTATTTTTTCACTTCAAGAAGTCGTGAGCCCTCGAAAGCTATCGATAATTTTTGTGTGGTATTACGTCTTCCTACTAATAGAGTTATAGTATAAAATTTGGACAATTTGCTGTCATTTCCACACATATAAAGAAGATGGAGAGTTCAAAATAGTAACAACTGCAAACAAAGTCTTAAAAGCTTTGAATAAAATCAATCTCCACTTTGAGCCAGTAATATCAGGTTGTGGTCTATCATGGAACATGGAAAGCGAGTGCGATCTATCGCACTCATTATTGCAGTCCACCACCCTTTAGTAGCTGACCCAAGAAAAATCAACAACAGCTCTTAATTAAAATGTCAATAATGCATCGTTCAAATATCATCCCAAATGCCGTTAAGTGAACTTATTTAGTGTCTGACACCAGAGGGTGTCCAGATGTTATAAGTTTGGCATGCTGGCATATAGTCGCAGTGCACACCGTTGCGTGATCTTTTGCTGACTCTCAGAGACACCAGATTAGCAAGATCCGATATTATTACGATATTCGTGGGCTGCAATCACATTTTCTTTGCACTCCAAGCTGCTATTGGTATTTATGCCTTTGGATTGTCCTTATCAACAATCGAGCTGAAGTGAGCGATACATACTTCCGCCCTGCAATGAATACCAATTTTGGAAACGGAATGTTCAATTCCACCTTGATAGAAACTGATCTCGACGGAAACCTTGTTAATAATGGTGAAATGCCTTTTTGGCTTCGAGACATCATTGAGCGAGCTTTCTCTGCAAGTGGCATCCGAACTAACAAGAAAGTTGCTTCGAAAGATGCGATTGCGTCTCTCCAAAATGTCGATTTGGCAGACTTGAGTAATGATTCTTGTCCAATTTGCTATGAAACATATACAATGGAAAAGAACAAAAAGAAGAAAGCAAATCCGGAGGACGAGGTCAAAGAATCATTAAAATACGGCAACAAACTCGACAAAATTGCCCACAAGATGGTACAGAAGGGTGTTAGCATACCGACTCTGGAAGAAAACAGAGTTTTTCGTGACCCTTACCTTTTCATACCTGTTGATTCTACTGCTCATAATCATTTGAGATTCCCCATAATGAAACTATACACAAAGGATAGAGTGACACATTCAGAGATGTTTCCTGCTCTCAAGCAAGACACACAGTCTTCTGTTGATACTTCCAATTGTGAGCACATCCCTGTATCAATGCCCCACTGTGGACACGTTTTTGGAAAGCCTTGCATAATAGAATGGCTTAATGGGCACGTCAGCTGCCCCTTGTGCCGAAAAGAAGTCGAGGCCTTGAGAGACACTGATCCACTTTCCAAAAAACTAGCACTCATCAAAGAAAATTGCAATTTCGTGCTCACCCTGGACCCAGATTTGTTTGTGTCTCACATAGCCAACTGCCTGACAGACATTTTCAATCCTCCTCGCAAGACCATGAATCCCCTGGTAGTGCCCTTGACAGACACCACAGTACCCCAAGTATGGGCGACTCCGCTGTATCCTCTGGATATGGTCGCAGAATACAAGAGCAATGCAGCTGACCCACCGTTGATATTGACTAGGAAATTCCCACTTTCGCATTTTGGCAGACTGTCCTTGGGGTTTCCGGCAGCGTCCATGATAAGTACGACGTTGGATCTTCCTTTTGAACCAGAGGATACACTGATGAACACTTCACAAAATCTCCTGGCTAGTTAGATGTCAGACAATACTCAATTCAGCTAATGGAAATGTGCGCATGCACTGATTAATTGCGCAGAACTTCAATCAATTCACGAGCTGGAAAAGAGAAGAGAAAAACATTAATATAGTACAGGTTTTTGAGTAGCAGTAAGAGACCATCTTTACTTTCTCTGGTACACTATCATTTCGAAGAAATGCATGTTATGACCTGCTTTCTTCTTTACATTTGCCTAAGCCGGCTTGCAATATATCCTGTTGACGACTAGTCGTTTTGGATGAGCTGAAAAATATATGATACTGATTCACAAGTTTGGATATTGACGTCGTCGGGCTTCACACTCTACTTTTTTCTATATTTATCGGAGTTCGGGGCTTTACTCAAGCTCTCCTCCAAGAGCGCCTCTCAGACTGCTCCGAGAGATATGGATTCCTTGGAAAAAGCTGTTTCTAAGTTTCTTCGCCAGCCCTTCTAATGCCAAAGCTGAAACGGACGAGTTGCATTAGCGTACAAAATTCTCTCAAGCCTCACGTTCTCATAATTTTATGAAGACAGCAGCTTGTTTCAGTAAATGCGTGGAAAGCTTGCATCTTTACCTGAATGGATCATAACCAAAGCAATCCATTTTTTGCTAGAATGACTATCTACATATTTTGGTTAGGCTACCCGAGGCAGTTTTATGTCAAGTGACGGCTCGACCTGCCGAAGCTCAAAGCCCCTCATCGCGGTAATGACACGCGCGATTTATTAGTCAGAGTTCACAATGTTCGCTTGTGATTTTTGCACCAGCATTGCCTATGAGTGCCTCCAATAAATTCCAATGTCTATGAATACTTATGTGCGGTCGTACATCCATCAGCACAATCTCAGCTTTGCCAACTCACCTCACGTTGGTCCAGATAGCTATGGTGTACCCCAGAAAAGCGGTCATTCATCCCCATGGCCCACATTGCCACAGCCAACACACGCTCAAAATAATGGACAGGCAGGAAAAGAAGATTTTTGGAAACCCATGGACAAACTGAAAGTGCTCATAAATCCTCGCTCAATAGACAAGTCTCATTCGCCGACGTGTAAACGCTCGCCCTTGTCTTCTCGGTTCCCATTTAATGAATGCACAGATATCACGCTTAGAGAAAGCAAAATCTCTATTGACGCTTGGTTGCGTCAGTTTGTTTCCAGTAGATCATCTATTGCTTCTGCGGAAAGTCTCCGTAGCTTTTTACAAGAAGCCAATTTCACGACAAATAGTACGGATAGTTCGCAGCCAGAGTCCATGTCTGAGAATCTTCGCAGTATTTCAGCAAGCAAAAGTGAGATGAACTCTGGGAGATCTGGATTGAATCTGGCTTCTTCAGCTGAGATTTCTCCTATATTAGTCTCACCAACCCCCGAAAATGAATCTAGAAGGCGGTTGATGCAAGGTCTTAACGAGTGTTTTCATGGTTACTTGTCTCGCAAATCAGCTGTGAATTTTCACGACAATCTTTTACACGACACAGCGACTTTTCTTACGAATATGTTCATTCAGGGTTTTCTGGCATCAGAAACTCGAGACTTATGTCTGGAGATCATTGAAAGCATGAATCTGGGCGAAATAGAAACAGTGATCTTAAGCCTCATAGAAGAGGCAGAAATGAAACACATTGAGCAAGGATTTGACGACTTTCAGGACCTGCTTTCGGAGCACGTCATGCTGAACACAAATGAGCTACTACACTTTGACCAGGCTGAGCACCCCAGATTATATCAGAAGTTCAAGGAAATATGGAGGCTAAATCCTCATGCGTTTCTAAATTACAGTCTTGGAACGCTTCTTTCGTTCGGCAGCAGAATCAAAAACCGTCCGTTCTCGAACATATCTATATTTCACACGCTCTTGATCAGTATGGAAGAAGAGGCACAGAACATGAATTTGATCAGATTTTATTATGCCTTCAGAAGAGAGATACAGGCGGATCGAGAGACACGTCCGAAAGATGACTGGAGCTTGCTTAAAGAACCCATATGTCACGCCGTAGAAAGCTCCATGGCGCTAATGATGGAATCTGGAGAGATAGAGGAGCCCAGGACTTATAAAAAGGAAAAAGTCAGATTTGTCTTTTAGGCTGGCCACATTTACTCTACGAATGCGAAGGAATGTTGTGCCTGGACCAGTTGAGGATGAGACGAAACAAAAAAATGAGACTTTTCAGGGCAATACGCACTTCGAAAGCACTCAACGACGTCATAAAATGAAATACAACAGTTTTGCCTGTAGGCCTAATTATGAATTCAACCTTGAGGTGAGAAGTATTAAGGTCGCGAACTCGACCCCGCTTCTGTAGCTGCGCAATATCTGGCTACTTGCCTTCTGAGAGTGAGACACCTCACTTCACAAGCGTATCGAAAAGAAAGATATTGCAACCAGGGCCGCCCCCGAATATTACAAGAATGACAGGAAGCCCGAGTGTGGTACCCGAGGAAGAGCTTTCACGCAAAAGGAAAAGAAGACATGTAGGGGCTTTTCCATGCCTGAAGTGCCCAAAGGTGTTCTCCAGATCTGATCATCTAGCTCGGCACCATCTCAATCACCAGCCAAAACAAGTTTATGTATGCGATTTCACTTTTACCAGTCAAACAGGTGTAAATCGTAAATGTGGAAAAACATTCGTTCGGAGAGACTTACGTGAACGACATTTACGTCGTCATCTCCTGGAGAGACCTGGCGCGTCTTTGGAACCAGATTCTATCCCTGTGAAGGAACAACTAATATCATTGAGTAAAATAGATCTTACTGCACGTACAATGGAGCTGCTGGAAGGGCCATTGCCACAAGTTAGCTCGGGGATTCCCATTATTTCTGCAGTTTCGCTGGGCCTATCCATCACCAAGAACCTGGCTGCACCTAATGCTGTGAATGCAGTCGGAAAAGAAAACCAGTCTATGCATAATGAATCTGATGGTGGGCAAAAGTATTTTCATTTGGCACCCATGCCTAACGACTCCGCATCCATACCTAATCTTGGGCCTGTTAGTGAAATGCGTGTCGGGCCTTATCATGATCTACGCAACCCATCACAAACTCTATCCGGGAATCAAATTCCCTTGAATGAGATGAGATTAGAGGTTCTACCCCTACAACAGAAGCCAAGCAATTTAGGGCAGCAGCCGTTCATCACGTTGCCCAGTCAACAACGCGAATCACTACAAAAGTACACAGATGTTTCATTAAATGGGCTGCATCTCACACCTCAAAAATACCAGCATGTGCAGCTTCCCAACCCACAGCAACTGAGAAGTAGGATGAAAATGAGCTCTCATGACTATATTCCAGATGCACCGCCTCCAGTAAGACAACAGGGCCCTCTCAATTTTGGAGACGGTGGTGAACTTGTCGCCGAAGCAAACTATGTGCAATCTGAAAATGATATTCTTTCCTGGCTACTTATGGAGTCTCTGCATGATTTGGATCCAGTACAGCCGCCTGCACCACCACCTAATATGCCTGGGAATCACGAGCAACTTCAATCGATCTCGAGAATTCGAGAATGGTCACATCAAATCGAAAGTGAATTCAGTGATTACTCAAACCTTGGTCCGAAATCTTCATGTAATGTTGCTTCAGATCCAGGGCATCAGCCTTCAATGCTGAGCATGGATATTCACGATCTCAACTACTTCTTGAAAAATGAAGACCCATTAGATGACATGTTTTCAAATCTCAAAAATGGGCAATCAGGAACGTTTCAAGGGGACACACGAAGTTTCAAATTGCCTACTTCTACAGTATCATCAACCTCTCCCACAAATTCCATTGATTTGAGCACGCCTCAGTCATTCTCAGATGTTTACGCTAGTGGAATAGATAGAGGCACAGTAAAAGATCGCTTAAATCATCATCTGTTGAAGCTCAATCTCCAGAAAAATAAACATTTCTACTTGTCCAAAAACTTGTGGGCCAGAATACAGAATTCGCTCCCGGAGCTCACAACTGAAATCCTAGAGAGTATATTCGTCGAAGAAGATATGCAGAGAATAGAGCACAGAATGTCCTTTTATCTCTACGGATTTTGGGAAACATTTCATCAGCGATTTTCTGTTTTACATAAGCCCTCATTTTCTACTGCAGAAGCAGAGCCACTCTTGCTATTATCAATGCTAATAATTGGTTGCATGTATTGTGCAAAAACACCAGAAAACACCAGAAAAACAGTTGCGTGCCCGGAGTTCAAGTTTTGCATGCTCGTAGCCGAGCCTCTTCGGTTCAAGCTTTTTCAGCATCCGGGCTTTAAATGTCCAGTGAAGGTTTGGGTTTTACAGAGCTTGAATTTTCTTGAGTGGTGCGAGAAGAACTTCCTCAGTAGAGATTTGCATGAGAGAGGGCATGTTCACCACGGAACTACTGTTCAGTTGTTGAGACGCTCACCATTTCTTGGGGGTAATCCAGCTATAAGCCACAAACCAAAAAGTCTGACAAATGAGACCAGCGCTAGCGGAAGCGAAATGGAGAATTCTGATACAATTGCAGGCGACTCTGAAGATCAGCTTAATAACGACCAGAACCTTTTTCGGAATTGGGTGGAGTCAGAATCTATGAAAAGAATCACCTTTATGACGTTCTACTTGGACGTAATTGATTATATCAAGTTCAGACATACCCCACATATTTCTTTCTTCCAGCTCCAGCTATTAAACTTGCCCTGTGATGAGGAGAACCTTTGGAACTCCTGTGATATAAATGGGTCTTTTAGAAAGCTCGTTAAGCGTCAGAAGAAGCTTCAGAGTATTGCAGCCATGGAACTGCGCAATATAAAAGACTCGAACCGAGTCAAGCCAGGTATGAAGTTTTTGAATGCCTTAAAGATGCTTATGAAAGAAAAAGACCAAAGCCAAAAATACTCTTTATTCACAAGAAATATTCTTTTTGGGGGATTAGTCTCAGTTATGCATCAAATGCAGCAGACAGAGCTTCAAGATAGTTTTAGCATCCTCTCTTCAAGCACAGATCGTGACAGAACTTCACATTGGAAAGAAATTCTTATCAAATCGTTGGATGGATATGAGATAGACTTATTCTCGGACATCGATCAAACAAGCTCTGATCCATTTTTCAAAATTGAAAAGTTCCAATGCAAATTTCCAATGTATCATTTAGCACCCATCATTGGAATTTCCGATATAAATCATTATGACATTGCCATATTCAGCGGGTCAGCGCGGAATATGAGTGTTGACGCTTCATCCAAAGATATCAGGATTGTGGAGCAAAAACTCAAGACAATCTGGAAGGAGAATGGATCGATAAACTCATTCAATGATTTGGTCAATGTACGATCAGTGATACATTGTTATTGGCTCTTATGGAGTCTCATGTTTCCCCCTTTAAATGAAGACGGCGGGGCCGATGAGCCTCATAAATTCTACCGGTGGAATGCCGATCATGATTGTTTTGATATGATGTATGCGTCCAGTATTGCTATGTTGGTGCTTTGGTGCTATGTCTTCTCGACTTGTGGACTAGAGTCGTCTGTGTTTAAAGACTTGGAGGATACTTTCGCCGTAGAAGACCAAAGGTCGTATGAAAAATTGAGTACCTTGATTCAAGAGGATGGACACAGCTACCTTTTTAGAATCAGAGATGAGTTTTCGAGGAAATTGAAGAAAAAAGGATTGGCATCTGAATTCTGTATCCACAAAACAAGCTCAAATAAAAGGCAGGTTCCTTTATTCGATGCTATACAAAAGCATTGCGAAATTCTCCCGAAAATTAGCTGCAAACAAAATATCAGCGGACTTTGTTTTCTTCTTGGGACGAAGCTATACAAAAGTCAATGGGAGATTGTTCGTGAAAACGCAAAACTAATTTTAAATTGTGGTTTACGCTCCATTGGAAAAAGTACATGGCAATGTCTTGATGTATTTCATGATGACTTCACTGACTGAATCACGAATACCACCCTTTTCTCAGGGCAATCTTTGAAAAATAAACACTCTGTAGGTTTGATTCGATACCGGTCTGGAGGTTACGTTGGAATTGTGAATAGCTGTACCCGAGGCGAGATCAAGTACACTTCTTGGATACATGTTGCGACAACGTCAAGTCGAAGATTTATATTTAAGAACTATCAAGTGCCTTTGAACAATTTTAACTCCACTCTCTTTTGTTTTACTCAAATCTCACTCAAGTGAAGGTGAAAGAAGGGTCTCTACAATAGATTTCTCAATAAAATAGTTTTGAAGCTGAGATACTACCAAATTGTATATATAATCCACAGCTTCTGGATAAACATGAAAATCTAAACTAACCGTATTTTGAGCTCAGACGGTGGTATCTGGTTCATTATATGCCTTGCTCGCTTCCGCACACCCATATGATGACCCCAAAGATTTGTAAGTCAACAAAGCACGCAGCACCTTGGTACGTGAAAGCCAAGCCCTATGGGGCGTCTAGGAGGATCTCTCAAGAATAATGAAATATCGTATTTAGTATACATGCAGAAACCTAGAGAGAACCAATGCAAAAGAGACCAGAAATAAAGTATAAGTATGTTGTGCAGACATTCAGGCAACTTACACTAACAAAACGGCATTCACACAACCGTCTCTATCAGGCTCATTGGTGATCTGGGCATACTTACCCCACACAACTTTTCCTCCGGCAGTGACCAAACCCAACTCAGAAACATTGACTTCGATAATCGTACCTTTGGTTAAAACGCCCAATTGAGTATACATTGGCGATTGTGGGTTCTTCTTGACCCCGAGAATAGGCAAGAAGACAGTGACTGCCAATTCAGGATGTGTAACATTGGCCTTCTTTTGTCTGAGAGCAGATGGACGAATGATTCTCTCCATTTTGACGGGTCTACGCGTGAACCCTTCTCCAACAAACGTATGCTTTGTGATCATTCTCTTCCACGACTTGGTCTTGGACTTTCCGGTTTTAATCACCTTGAACATTTCTTCCTCAGAAATACCTCTAACCTTAGGCAAAGGCACCGAAAATTTATCGGCCTTCTCCATACGTTTCTGCTTGATACTTGAAGAAATAGCCTTGGCAGTGTTGTTCGTCTCACGATCCAACAAATATGTTGGAAGAGCCTCTCCATCGTCTTGCTTTGGAGTAGAAGGTCCTTTAACCTTGGACTCTTGATGGGCCTTGATCTTCTTCTTCATGGCAACCTTTTCGCTGTACCTCTTCTTAGCGAATTGCTTACCTCTCCAACCCTTCAAGTTTTGGGCATCCTTAGCCACACGGTGGCCCTCTCTGGCCTCCTTTTTTCTCTTTCTCTCCTCGTGATCGAGCCTTCTACCATGCTGCTTGATGTGTTGTTCAATGTACTCGTTTTGAGGCATTGTGATTTATTGACCAGTAGTCGTGGAATTTTGGGGTTCTCTTTCTGTGAGAAAAGAGATGAGATGAGGACTCGGGTGCGCCGGAACCCGTACACCAGTATTGGCTTTCGATCACCGGGCTTTCAAATTGCCATGTCTGGGTTTCTAATATTTTGTACCCTTCAGTCTGACATTCTCATTTGTTTCGTCACATGCACATCGTCTCGAGTGAAAAAATCTTTGTCACTTCAAAACAACAGAGATATTATTCCAATATAGTCTTTGTGCAGGCTTGCTTTCCTCCGACAATCTAATTTTGGGAATTCAAAACAATTGAGGTTTTGGTATCTTTGGGACTCGCGAGAACATACAAGGATGGCTTTTGTGTCAAAGGGGACTCATTCAAGCAATGAAGGATTGGACTCAAGAAGAAAGAAAAGGCTTAAACCAGGAAAGTCACCTAGTGAATCACGTGATACATGTATTGAAACATTTACGAAGTAGGGTTCAATTTGTACTTTTCGTTTTTTCGTTTCGGTTTCCGCTGCTGGGCGGCTGCTGGGGTTTTTATTACCACAGAATGTCACCACTTGAAAGCCCAAGTGTCGTTCGCTCTTGCTTATTCGACGTTCTTCAAGAATTGGGTGCGGCTTTTTCGAAGGCATCCATCTGTTGTCTCATCGCGAAGGTCTCACCTTTTTTCAGCTGATATTCTAATAAGCGCACTCTCGAAGACAAATAAACCTACCGGGATTTCTGTGATACAGTTTTTTTTTAACTCGGGCAAACTTTGCAAATTCTTTCAAATCTTTCCACACTATTTCGTGAGACAATGTCCTCTCTCGAAGAACTAATTTCGGGAATTGTTGGCTCGTTAAGTCAGACTAAAAGCTCTGTTGAATCAGCTCACACTAAATACATCGACGATGCACAACTTCTTCTCCCGGACACAATCAAGCAGATATCTAAGAATACCGAGGTTTCTCTTGAAGGAATGTCGTTGCTCTCATTGAAGAGCAGCTCTCTTTTGTCGTATGTGAACAACTTGGTGCTCGTAATCTTAAGTCACCTAGAAAGGCTTCGCGATGACAAGACTGACATTGAAGCTCTCAAGCTTGAGGCTGTTATGGCCACTGTGAAACAAAGAGTTACTTTGGAAAAAGGCATCAAGCCTTTAGAGAAAAAGCTTTCCTACCAACTTGACAAAATGGTTCGGTCTTTCCATAGAATGGAAGAAGAGTCTGTCAAAGCCAGTCAAAAGATAGCCGAAGAGGCTGAACACCAGCAGTCGTCCAAGAGATCAGCTCGCAATGCCTCTGGTTCTGATTCCGACTCTGATGAGGATTCTGATGAGGAGGATGCTCTTTCATATCGACCAGATGCTGCAGCTTTGGCCAAATTGGCACCCTCAAATAAGTCTGGCAAACCCATCAAGGAGTCATCGACTGAGAAATATAAACCACCCAAAATCTCAGCTGTTGCTCCACCAACAGCAGCGTTTGATGATCGTGCTGCACCTAAACAAAACAACAGAAAATTACAAAGTATGGAAGAATACTTGGCTGAGACCTCTGACTTGCCTCAAGCCGAATCTTCTATCGGTGCTACTATCGTAGGCCATGGAAGGGGCGGTGTCAAAACATCTCGTGACAAGCAGAAAGAGATGGAAGTACAAAGATACGAAGAAAGCAATTTCACAAGATTGCCCAACACTGCTACCAAAAAATCATTTAGGCAGAAAATGGCTGAGAGAGCTAACACTTTTGCTGGCGAGGACTGGTCTATGTTTGGTAACAAGAGAGATCTTAAAGAAGGAACTTCCAGGAAAAGGGCGTCAGGCACTGCTTGGGATAGGGTTAAGCGTAGCCGTTCATAGCGCTTCATGAAGATACGTATATATCGTTTCAAAAAATAGTGGAAATAGACATGATTCATCTGAACAATTTCACACGCCTTCTGCCTGTTTCATAATCAAAAAAGGTTTTTTTATTGAATATTTAAACTTTTTGCGTAAATGAATCCATTCGATAATTTGTTTTAAAAAAATCAGGGTTTATCTCCTAATACAGTCCTCATACTATCTAAATCTAATATCCTTGAGTGGAGTTAGTTTCACCACCAAATTGACAGACATGCAGATTCGAAAGTTGGAGATCCTAAGTGTGTCAATCCTTAATTTGTGCCTAGAAACGTTGAAAGTTTCGGGGCCATTGACGGTTTTGTAAAAAGGAGGCATGTGCAACTCTTGCATTTGCTTCTTCGTATTGCGATGCAAAACGATTATCAAGCAGAGGACTGGATACCAGGCTTGGATGATCCTTGTAGCTACTCACCCTGGATTTATTAGCAAGGTCTGTGGAATTAAAGGGGTCTGTCTTCATTTGGTTCAAGGCAGGATATGATGCGTTGTGCAAGTTTGCAAGTTCTTGTTGATATGTGAGATGAACAGGAGCTCTTGATGTGTGAGAATTTGTTGATCTCGTTATGGGATAATGTTGTTGAGTTGGATTGCTGACATAGGATCCATACGATACGTTTCTGCTCTGAGATCTGCCAGTATCATTCGAGCGAAAATAGAATTGTTGACTGTCATTGAAATTCTGTTCTTGATACATGTTGGTTGTAGCTTGTTGCAGTTGATATACATCATTTTGAGGGTACAACGAAGCCTGATGAGATCCATGGGGGCCTTGAGTTTGAAAAGCATAGTTAATTGGATGAGAAATTGATGCTTGAGGTGTCTGCAACATACGCCCTGCTTCAGAGTCGTAGTTGATGCGGAGAGAAGATGAAGAAGCATCATGTGACTTTCTATGATATGTTCTCACGCTTCCGCTCAAAATGGTATTAATTTTTGACTGTATTTTCTTGCCAAACGTGGAGTCAATTTTGCAATCTTGAAACCATTTCTTGACAATTTGGACTTGTAAAGTATCTGGCGAAGACTGAAAATCATTGTCAAGCAATTTTCTCAAGGAAGGTAATATATTTTGTCCTCCTCTTGGTAATTCAATGAAGTACTGTGCCTTTGTATTGATCAAAATATCCGTCAACGTTTGCACAACATAATTTCCGTAAGCATTATTAATGAGTTTGTTCAAGTCACCATTCAATAAATGCCCAATAATGGTGAATTTCAAATTCGAAAATGCAATCAGCTTGGTTTCATTTTTGAAACAATTCATCATTAATTTCTCGATGACGTTAGATGAGAATTTGAGAACACATAAGTCAGTCAAACCGTACTCATATATGTTCTGGTAGAGCTTGAAATTTACATCGATTGAATCGATTGAAATGAGATACTGCAAGACGTAGTTTCCAAATTGATCATTGACTAGATCAGAAAAATTGTCATAATTCAAAATTATTTCTGCAAAAGCCATGTGTTGAGCAGCGGTCACATGGTTCAAACACTTCTGCAAAACGCAACACCCATGCTTATGAGTAGCGACAGTCAACAAGTCTGCTAGGATGGAATCGTATATGAATTGACACTTTTCGGGTCTGTATTTGTTAAGAACTTTTTGAATAACATGATTTCCATTGAGGTCCTTAATCAATTCTATGATGTATGGCTTCAATCCCCTCACGAGCATATTGAATTGTGTCTCGGTATTGATTTTGTCAATAATTTTTTGGAACGCGCGAGTACCGTGCTGATTTATCGAAATCAGGAACATGTTGCTGTTAAGTGCTTCGAGACAGAAATCAAGATCTGGAGTTTGAACGTAGTCGATCAATTTTTGAACCAAGTAGTTTCCGAAAGGGTCGATGATGAGTTCATATAACGACATCTTGACTTGTTCGAAAATGATTTCATAGTTGGCTTTTCGAGACGGCACATCTGGTACATAGCTTTCGTCTAAACGCTTTTGGAGAAATCGGCACCCGTGCTGATCTTTGGCCAAGCGCAAAATCTCGCCACTGAGTTCCGAAAGGGGTGTTTTGAGGATCGATATCAAGTACTCTCTGTCAATTTTGCCTCCCTCACGTCTGCTTTGTTGATACCCAAAAACAGGCCTATTTTCCTTATCCGACCCAGAAGATTCCACCGAGATCTTGCGAGAATGCAAATTATTGTAAGTGGGTATTGACTCCAAGTTGAAGGAAGGCAAGATCAAGTTACCGTTTGATTTATTAGAATCCCAGAAGTACAGCTTAGGTGTGGATCCCACGGAAGGAGGAGTGGTGGGTTCTGTGATTGATGATGCTGAATTGATAGACAAATTGTGGGAGTGTCCTAATGTCAGTTTTGACCTTGAAGAGGTCAGGGAAAGGTTTGTCAGCGACATCGAGGGGTGGAGCGGACAATGCTAGATCAGCCACAGCCAGATTTGATATCTTGTCGAGGGTTTCCAAAAGAGCTAAGGCCGCGTAGAGATGGAGCAACCGATTTTCAGGCTAAAATCTTGAGACCCTCTGGACGTTTTTCTATTTTTTTTGGGATGTTTAGGTAAGTGTGTTGTAAAATGCGTTTAGTGAAATCTTGGAGTTGACTTTCGTGACAGTTCGCAGCTGTGCCTTTTCGAAACGCCAATGAGATTATGAGACGCACTTCTATTTTTTTTTTTGCCTTGTTTTCCCCCCTTCTATCTTATTTAAATTATACCCTAATTTTTTCTTCCGATTTTTGCTGGAAATGTTTCCTCTTAGTCTCGGATACTAGAGACTAGCTTCCTTATATTTATCGCTCGATTGAAGTCCGTGGTTCTGAAGTGTAGACCCTATAACTTTAAATGAAGCGCGATGGAAGGTACTAGTAACAAAGCTTTGCTGTGAACATAAGACAAAAATATACAGTCTCCTTCAGATTAGAATGGGCATGTAGGAATATTCGAACAGCTCTACTTAGTAACATTAAGAGCCCACGAAAGAGTATTATTACATCAAAAGATAGAGCGAATCCTAACTTAACATTTCTATGTAGACGGTGATTATGGGTGGGGAAGCGAAGCGGCGAAAGGCAATTCAATACAAAATGTCATCAGACAACATGAGCCCTATCCACAGCCGAAATTGCGGGCGGGCCAACCATGGACAGGATGAGCGGAACGCTGAGTCTTTGGCAGCGACATACGTTATTGGCGAGACATGCTCTCCCAGTCAATGCGCATCACGTCCCGACATTCTAGGCACGTCCCACTAAGATCCGATCACATCACTATATACAGACGCGAGCTCTTTGCAAGAGTCCCCACGTGATTTGAATAGAAGTTTCTGGTAATTTTTGATTCTAGTGTGACTATCGAGCCAGGCGTCAATTGACTTTGTTCTAGGTATTTCGATTAGAATTCCTCGTTGAGCGCCAAGAACCACGCAAAATACCCTACTTCTTGCAGACAGACCGCTGGGATCCAGGCCTCAGAACACGACATTTGGGAGACCCAACACGCAACTGTACAGTCTGTTAGGCATGGTGACACCAAATAATGAGTCTGGCTAAAAATTTGAAGAGGAATTAATTTTTGCGAGGTTCTGAACACCAGTCAAAATCAAGGAATCGTCTTTTCTTGACTTTTCAACACCAAGACAACTAGACGTAGTTTTTTGGAAATTTCGAGTTTCACATTGCTGTAACCTTGCATGCAACCTTACATTTTACAAGAGAACAAGATAATACCGGTCGATTAGGCAAAAACATTGCTCCGACATTCAAATACTTAAATTTTCTCGCACTGATCAGAGAAGCTTGATTGGTGAAGCTTAATTGGTGAGACTCAAAGGCAGATATTCTCCGCACGAATCGATCAATCCCACACGCTTTGACTATATAACTCATTGACACTTGGGCCGAGACTAGACCTACCTATTTTATTGCGAGAGCTCATATGTATGTACAGTCTCGTAGCGGCTTGCGACGTGCCTATATATGTCGCGGGGAGTGCTTTAAAATTGTTGATGAGTGCAGTATAGGGGACTCGGTATGCGTTCGACAATTCTCTACACTGGGTTCTCTCTCAACTGTAAGGGCCTGGAAGAAAGACAGGACCAATGAAAAAGTCTATTTTGTCTTCCAACTGAAGAAAATGTGTTCCTAACCCTTGTGATCTCTATGTGTTGCACGCCTGCGTGCTAGTGAAGGTGCTTGCACGTTTTGACTTCTGATGACACAAGTGGTTCTCTATGACTTTCCTTACTTCTAGAATGGCGATATTTGGACGAAATTTGTCCGACTTGATCTATGTAGCAAAACAGATGTAAGCCTCAAATCCCACACTCAATGGTTTGAGGTGCCTTGTTCTTCGCAGCCCTGCGCTCTGCAACAACTCGCTCACGGGTTCATCTTACTTCATTGTGTGATTCGTCGACTTCACCATTTATTTTCTATTTGTTCCACTCTTGCTTATTTTCTTCATTTTGACGACACCTTGTTCAAGGTCCGTTCACATATTTACCTGTTTTTACAAACTCGTTGAAAACTGGTTCATAGAACAAAAACTCTCCACCTGATATTGCACTCTTGAACCGTCTTTTTATTCTATCTTTATCTTTTTCAATCCTGGCTTGTTTCCTTTCTTCGACCTCTTGCGTGTTCGCAAAGTCTCCCACCATAAACCCAGGCGGTGACAGGTACTTGTCCATGACTTGAGAGCGCACCCATTCTGCACCCTCGACGGCCAGACCTGGCTCATCATCACTATCCCACGCCGGACCGGCAGACCGGCGTCCTAAGCCTGCTTTCTCGAAGAACTCGTCGTACATTTTTTCCTTTGCTTTCGTCATTACACCTAGATTTGGATTGATGTTCTTTGGAGGTCTCCATTTTTCATTGGGAGTAAAGTCCTCAGGGACCCATTGCTTTTCGGTGATAGGGTTTTTTGAGAAGTCTATTGTGAAGTTTTTATCTGCCACTTTAGGTCGGAGGTAGTTGCGAAGAAATTCCACCCGTTGAAGGGCTGTATAATGAGACGGATATTTGGGCTTGGATTGAGCAGAGCTTCTTGTGCCCAGAGTACTATTGCCTTTCTTGGATGGCGACCATCCAGCATTCCCTAATGGCTCAAACTCGTCCTGCGAGTCTGAAACAATGCGGTTCAAGCCTGTGATCTCACCTTCTTCGCTCTCATCGTCACTTGCAAAGGAGCCCTTGAATGATTGTTCAAAGCTTTCCCTGTCATTCCCCTTGAGTCGCTTGAACGGTGAAGATGATTGAAGCTGAGCGTGTTCTGCTTCTTTGCCCGAGCCATGGCACTTCATGAGCGAACTGTTCAGAACACGAAGTTTAGGCGCCTCAAACTGGACAGCTTCTGGCTGACTGCTAGCATCAGAATACTGAGTGGCTAATCGATTGAACTGAGAGCTTGTGATGTCGTTCTTAGTATCCGCATCTTCCTGTTTTCGGAGACTTCTTTTAGCAGAGTCCTGTTCAGAACCCTTTATTGGGCTTGACAAAATCTCGAGATTTGGCTTTTGGTAATCCAAGGCTTTGTCAAGCTTGAATATGTCTGTGGATTCACGGTCTTGTTCGCTTCTTAATGCGCCATCGCTTTTGGATGGACGTGCTTTCAAAGGCAACAAGTCTGTCTTAGATTGGAAGTAAAGCAATTGCGATTCAAGCAGTTTCACTTTATCTGCGAGGACTTTATTTTTTTGATTTAATCGAGTATTCTCCGACTTGATTTTATGTATCTTGGAGTTGAATTCTTGAACGATCCTTTTGTAGAATGCAGATTGGGCTTCCGAAGGCTTGCTGTCAAAGAGAGTTGTGAGAGTCAGTATTTTGGATAGCTCATCATTGATGTTGGCTATAGAATGTTTCACCAGCTGATGAAAGTCCATTCTTCCCAAACCTTTCCGCTCGAATGGCCCTCTATATTGCCTTCGTGTAGATGGTAAACAAACAACCTGATATCACATCAAATTGACCGATTCATCCTGCATTTTTGTTCCTAGAGACGCGCTTAATTGTTCGGCCGTTCTAAAGCTGCGAAATCTCATCGCGACATGGAGACACGTAATATGTGGTCTTTTTGGGGTCGACACTATCATGTCAGACCATGTATCAATTGCATTGACTTCATTAGTATAAGGTGTCCTTGATCTTTATGGCCCGTGATTTTTTTGTAAAAAGTCTAGTAGGAAACAGTACACCTGTGGCAGAATGGTGTGCTCATAGTTCGTTTTCAAAGATCCACAAAAAGTAGCTTTTTCGGTATAAAATCGGTGCTATGGGACAAAGTCATTGAACTTGTAAAAAACCCATACTGATTATTTCTGTAAGTCTCAGCGGGACGTTTTATCAGTTGAAACAAAAAAACGACAAGGCAGAACAAAAAAGAGATGCTTCCCCAATAGTTTGACGCCACAATCGACAAAAAAACAATTAAAACAGACTTGATATTTGTACTATAAACTTGAAGACACTTGTGTGCCAAAAACTCCAAGACTGGCCAAGAAAGGATGTGATCTGACTGCATGTTTGTTTTCTCTTTTTCAGTTTGTTCCTTTTTCTTTGTTAATCACTGGCAAGCTCCATGATCGGCTACTTTGATATTCTATAATATTTTCCACGCTTTCACAACAGTCATTTACAAGGTTATGTGTCTCCTGGAACTTTTTAAACCAATTGCCCAGTACGAAGTCGTATTTTAAGGTTTCCCACAATTAACTACTTCATAGCCCTCCTAATGTCACTATATCTGCTCTGTTAATTGAGCATAGTCTTGTGAACAGTCTCTTTCAATTTCACTGCGAAGGGATTATTTTAATGTCTGAGATATCCGAGCTGCTGATCATTGTAACTTGGACTGTACTCACCATGGCCGAGAAGTAGCCAGGTAAATCCTTCTTTACCATGAGGATATCATCTTAAGTCCTACAAAAAGCCACAGGATAAAGGACTAGGCTTTGACAGAAATCTTTACTCACTTTGCTCAAAAGCTTTTTCGAGGTATCACACTCTTTATTTGTACGGATGGCATCGCCAGACGTAAGACCGACCTTATAAACGCAATAAAAGGCTAAGGTTTATTCTGGTTCCAGTCAACCAACAAAATAAGTCAGTAAACTGCGTCCTGAAAAGTCAAAAAAAAAATACCAAGTATATCTGGAACAATTAGAAGACTGACTTATCAAGCTCTCAACCCTTTTTTTGAGTCGTGACCTGCGAAAAGATTCTTTCCTCGAGATCCCAGTTTAACAGCCCGGAAAAGACTCAATCATTGAAAACCACTTTTAATCGTGACTGAAGACTCCAAAAAATTTGCTTAGCTTAATTGATTTTTTCATTGTTTTACAAAACCCAATTAAACCGTCTCAGTGCCAAGGAAACCAATTGAAGTAGGGACCTTGCTTTCTTTTGGACACTCTTTTTTATGACTGAACTGGAAATTTCTGACTCGAAAATAACCAATTATTTTTTTAAGCTAGATGGAAGATCGAAATGAGATTCTTTAGGTGATGCCAAAATGTTCACTGTTTCGAAATTATCCTGAGTAGTATGCGCAACCAATTCGTTCTCATTAATCAAGCATCAAAAATTTTGGCCGAAGGAAATACATCTCTCATTGACAGAAGTTTTGAAGATGAGACCAAGCTTCTTGATCAAATACTGATCTCACGCCTCTAGGCTCTCTGCTTTTTTGCGTATATTTTTATTTTTGAGCTTTGAAACTTTCACTAGCAGATAACCTCCTATAAACGAGCAAGGATAATTTTGCTAGACTGTTTCCTGGTAAAGATTTTGTCAGCCCAGACAACTCTGAAAAACAGAGTATTTCTTCCTTAGAAATATCTTCCTGAATTTTATATCCCAGTTTCCAAAATCCTCAGATTTTTAGCAAATTTTATTCGCGAGCTGCACCGCAGTAAGGGTCATTATATTCACCTGCTTCAAACTTTTCCACATACCTTTGAACAATACCGCTAGCAATCTGTGCGTCAAACTTGCGAAAAACATGGATTGGTTTAGTATATATTGCTTCAATTATCTCACTTTTATCGACATGTTCGAAAATCAAGTTCCTTACCACATAATCGCTCGAGTTTAGAGACGTGGTGGTAATCTTGGGACAGTATGTGCCACCCTCACTGTTCTTTTTGGCCATAAGACTCGTAGAACTTGAATGACTGAGTTTCGTATTATTGATGGACGGTAAGTTAATTTTGGGGACTTTAAGATTAATTGAGGTATACGTCTCTTTGTTTTTTCCTTCTTTAGTTTTTGTTGCAGTGGGAAATTGAGTGGATGCTGAGGACTCTTCAAAAATCTTTATAGAAGCCAGGAGCGAGGTTCGTATTGCTTTAGGTGAGCATTGAAAAATGTCTGGCTCATCTTGGGAAGCCTGTAATAAGTTCTCAGGAATTTGCAAAGCTTCCCCGAAAGCTTTTGGTAAGCAATTCAAGCCTTTGTGAGGCAATGCTTGCCCTTCTGGGGTCATATCTCGTTTCTCTATTGAGTCAACTAACATAGTGGAATCTGTGGGGTTGTGAGATGCCCAGACACTTATGGTGTCAAAACCTTTGGCTGAAAATGGAGAGATTAAAATAGTCCCATTTTGCAGGGATGATCTTGAAATCGGTCTTGAGTCATTTTTTTCAAAAGAAATTTCCCCGAGCCCAAATTGTTTTGGCAGGAATGTCTCAGCAGAAACACTCTCACTTGGTAATGAAGCATCCCTAATCGAAGAGGCCCATTGATTGGTGAAAATCTTTTCGGAAGCATAAAAACCGGAGTATCCATCTGATTCAACATCTGCAAAAGTTTTCATGCTCACCCCTTCATCAGATCTCAAATTTACAGCTTCAATAGTGGGAGTTGCTGTTTGTTTAGAATTACAAGGGGAGCCCGGAGTGATTTTATGTTTACCCTGGATTTCAGCCTGGGTCTGGGTGTCTGTCACCTTCTCCAAGCTTTCTCGAAAATTAAAAATGAAATGCTCCTTTGATTTTGCGAGGTCGATATTCTCAGACCCAGTAGCCTCATCTTTGCTAGCGTTCAAGAAGTTTCCGACATGGTAGTACACTAAATGATCGAAATCATAGGGCGACTCCGCGTCATAATTTGATTTTTCGTCACCTGAAAAGAGCTCATTCGAATCGCGCGGCTTTGGCAAGTATCTATCGGGGAATAAAGTGTGCCAGCAAATTTCACCCCTTGCAGCAGCCCGCAACTTCTGAGGTCGTTTTGAAGTTGTTTTAAGAACAGTCTTTATTGCAAATTTCATCTGAATGCAATTTCGGTTGAGTCTCTCCCGAATGCTAAAATACGCCTCGCTACGAATAGTAGTTGGGGAAAGTTTGTCTTGGTCTTCATGGACTTCACATTGTCCCTCAAAGGACTCATATTCTCCGTCATAAAACTCTACTTGACCTGTGGCAAGCTCCTCTGGCAGCATGGAAACCACATTGGTAAGCGGCACGACAGTATTGTCCAGCCTTTGATCAAACGAAGCCAAATTTGGATCGGAGTGAACAATGGATCTTTCCTCCGAATATTGTTTGCTCAAAGCTTTCTTTTCTTTTCCAAAGTTTTTCCCATGGGGTTGTTTTACTCTCACTAATTTTTTTAATTTTCTAGCCACGCGGCGAGCTTTCCGCATGGCGCGGGCCCGTTTACCATTCTTCGGTTTGGGCCCTTGTTTTTTTGGCCCCGCGCGCTTCCCATTTGGCCCGAATTTTGCAACCATTGCCGGGGCCATCGCAGCCATTTCCGGCGCTGCGCATGGTGCCAAGTCTGGGCCGGCACCACGACCCATAGGCCCATATTCTGGGGCCGCCGGCTCAGAGAATTGCACACTAATTTGTGCACCAGCACCAGCCAAGCTACGTGGAGCTTGAGTGGCATCAACTTTCATAGATTCAACTTCCAAAATGTCTTTAATTTCCAAATTGCTTCTAGTGTCCGCGGAAACTATGTTAAGTTTCTTGGCTGACGCTCCCTTCCCGTCAGTTCTGGTGGTGGAGCAAGTATGTGCCAGCCGAATAGCCTTAGCAACGTTTGCTTGAGCATCATCTAGATGATATCCAGCTTTGTGGTGAGATCTTTTTTTGAAGCCAAAAAAAGAAGCAATTGTTCCACTCTTGTGTCTTTTATACCAGCTGCGGGTGTCAGCTGGTGGGTTGGCACCAGTGGAAATGGTTGGCAATGTGAGCTCAGCAGACCCCGCAAAAACGGAAGCTAAGTTGCAGTTAACATTCATTGCTCTAGGATCAAAGAAAGAATAAACCCGAAAAGGTGGTTTGGAGAATTCTTGTTGTCGTATTTAGTGTCCACTTAAAAAAGTCTTAGATCAGATTTCTTGAGTGTTCCAAGTCCGAGAAGAAGAAAGACAGTGAAGCGTATAAAAGTAGTTGATAAGTTTGATGTCTCAATTCACGGCCAAAGTTGACACAAAGGCACTATTGCAAGGGGTTTCAGATGGCTCCCCGTTATATTATTCGCGAACTTTGAATTGTCATGTTTTGATATACCTCACTCGTCTAGAAAGATGTCTAAAAAGATCCCTTCTCGTATTGACTGTAGAATTAATTCTCAAGTTTGTCAGAAAGTGTATTAGAATGACGTTCTTCCCACGGCAGAAGAGCGAGAGTTCAATTACGAGGGATGTGGCTCATGAAACATTCTTTGAATGATTTGACCTTGTAAAACCCAAAGTACAAACCAATTCTGTTGAGTTACGGGCACCCTGTGTTTTTGCCTGGAGCTTCAAAATGTTATCGTTTCAAACAAGTAGGCCTAGACTCTGACATGCAACTACGCACGCATCCTCACCAAAACCTGGGAATGGTACACTCATGTCCTTCTTAACTCCGGCACCCCATCGTGCATTAAAGGACGTAAAATGTTCACTTCACTGCAGATTCATGTTTTCAGCTGCTGGAAGAGTTTAAGGCAAAGGAAATATATATGACGTCTTATACTTTAGAAAAGCCGCAATCGTGCTAATCGGGAAAAACATATTGCGATCACGTGACAGGATACTAGCTTCGGGACACATAAGCGTTGGAAGATTTAAGCTGTGCAGCCCCTTGGTGAAAAAACTTCTCCTCTGTTTTGCAATTTCTTTTGCTTCTGTTGGGGGGCTTTGTACTTAAATGAACAAAACTTGGTAGACGTGTCCCAAGTGAGGAAATGGACTTGGAAACCTCGCTCTCCATCGAGTGCGAGTTGCCTCAAGAAACGACTCTATACCGGCCTCAGCCTTCAAAATTTTATCATCAACAAACATTCATCAAGTAGAAAGCCACTACCAGACCAAAATATCCATAGACTATGTTTGGCGCAGCTTCAAACTCTACGCTGGCTCCATTTTCGTTTGGATCAAAACCAGCCACAGGCGCCCCGGCTGCCCCGGCAACCTCCTCTTTTGGAGCCCCAGCTTCCAGTGGAGGTCTTTTTGGTCAAAAGCCAGCCTCGACGTCAAATCTCTCATCTTCCACGGGAGCAGGTGGATTGTTTGGAAATAACACTGCTCAAAGCAACGTTCCTAGAAGTGGCCTTTTTGGCGCAAACAATACGGCCACGTCGAATACAAACAACCCCATGGGTGGAGGTGGATTGTTTGGCACCAACAATACCGGCGCAACCCCTTCTTCAGGTGGTCTTTTTGGCTCTGCAAACAATGCCACTAACAACTCAACGCAAGGTGGGGGGTTGTTTGGGGCCAATTCCAACAACAATGCTCAGAGTACCGGGGGTCTCTTTGGTCTGAAACCAGCTGTTCCTGCTGCCGGAGGTTCCACCGGACTCTTTGGAAATTCGACTGCCCCGGCCACTGGCGGTGGTCTATTTGGAGGAAATAATACCAGCACAAATACAGGAGGTCTTTTTGGAGGACTGTCGAACAGCAACACGTCAGGAGGTCTCTTTGGTGGCCTGAAACCCGCTCAAGGAAACACCGGATTGTTTGGCTCGTCTAACAGTGGTACATCTGGTGGACTTTTTGGAAACCAACAACAGCAGCAACAACGACAACAACAGCAGCAGCAGCAGCAGCAGCAGCCACAACTCACTTCGATGACCCGGTTTTCGGATCTTCCGCCGGAATTGAAGAACGAGTTGCAACAACTAGACTCGTACATTGAGCAGCAGCAACTCATAGCAACTACGCTCGATGCAGACTTACACAAGCACGATAAGCTCGTCAAGTCTATCCCATACGACATTGAATATTTGCATACCAAAATATCTTCCATCAAGCAGGCTCTCAGATACGACGGGGACCAGCTTCAGTCTCTCAAGACCGTCAACGACGAGCTTACCGAGGACATCAGCAACATCATGCACTTGATCATACAGCTTGCAACGCCGGGCACAAAATTGTCCTCGTCTTTCCACTTGAACGAGTTCTTCGTGAAGAAAATCAAAAAGTACCGTGAACTTTTAACTGTCTATGAGAACATAGTAAACGAGAGCATCCATGTAACTTCTGGCTTGGAAAAGACTTGCAATGAGTCCAATGCTAGCATATACAGTGTGGTTGAGGTAGTGAAGAACCAATACAGCGTCTTCATGGAGCTCTGCGAGGTCGTGGCTCAGCTACACGGGGAGGTTGAGCGCCTTTAAACTATTCTTGATTTGCTGCAAAAGGACACGCTGAAGGAAGCAGCAGATTATCGGCAAGCTAGCTAGGTTTCAGAGGTTAGAAAAGGTTGTTTGCGTGACCCAAACCAGTGACGTGACAGATGTCGAGTGTGGTCATTCCCGACTTTTCCAAATAGAAGAGAGGTATAATAAGCATTATTGGAACTTGCTGTGGAGACATGGGATTTATACTTGCATTTATTTCTGTAGAATAACATCTCTGTACCTGTTGGTACTGAACTCCATAAACACCCCTGCATCTTATCATGATAAGCTCGATGCGATGCGTTTTAAAGCGACAACAATATATGATTGACTAGACGGAATGGCATCACGAGCGGATTATCTTTCGAAGTACCTTTCAAAGGATGACTCGAAAAAAGCGAAAAAGAAATCAAAAAAAGCGTCTTCTAGCGGGGCTCATCCACAGATCATAGTAGAGGGCCTTGGTGTATTCGGAAGAGGTGGTGCAATCGCTGAAGCTAATTCAGTTAAAAAAGAAACGACGCTCATCAAAGACACGATTCCTGAACCGGAAAGTGAATTCGAGCCCACGAGCGTTGATCTAGGGTCATCTCTGGCGGTCAAGGGAGGTTTCAAACGAATCGATAATGGTCAAATTGTCAAGAATGAGACACCCAGTTCGGAAATGCCCAAAGAGGAGAACCTGCCTGCCACGGTCTACAGAGATCTGAGTGGTAGAATTATAGACTTGAAAGAAAAGCGGGCTGAGATCAAAGCCAGAAAAGAGGAAGAGGCTAAGCGTGAAGAAATCGAAAAGGAACAAATCAACACGGGTGAGTTGGACAGAATCAGGCAGGACGAGGAAGCCAAGAAGTTGGCCAAATCCACACGTTTTGACTACTCAAAAACCAGCAAAGAGTATACGGACTACATGGGCCAAAAAGACAGGTTCGAAGACCCTCTTGCAGGTCGTTTGGCTACATCCGCTCTAAATCCAGAAGTTTCTGTGTCTGCAACAAATCGGCCAGTATACCGAGGAGGCCAGCATCCCGTAAACCGCTTTAAAATACAAGCGGGTCATTTCTGGGATGGTATTGACAGAGGAAATGGGTTCGAAGAGAGATTGGTCAAGGCCAGAGATTTGATTTACGTCCAGCGAGTCACCGATCAAGCTGCCAAGGAAACTTACACAGAATACGACTTTGAATGATCAACGAAAAAACAGTGGTCTTCCGTCTCAGAAGTGCCAGGACTAGTATTGAAACAGCGGGTTGCCAAAGAACTTGATTTTTGGTCATCACGTGTCTGCTTAACCAATCTTGTCTACTGATTGCTGAGTTTTATGACGGGCAAAGTATTATTTGCCTTAAATCCGCAAAATCAAAACCCCAAGAAGTCTTCAATCCCAACTTGGGGCCAAGTTTTGGAATGGGTTGATACAGTTGTCAACATTTAATTGCAGTATGCTTACACCCGTACCCCCGTCATCAACTCCATATCGCAGATCATCGCCATGGGTTGAAAGCGCCAGTACAGATTGTGACACGATGGAACCAATAAAGACATGAGCAGACCAGAAATTCCCGGGTTCTACTTCGACGAAACGCGCAAGCGATATTTTAAAATCACAAACGGCGATCAGCGCCACAACGCGGCTTATTCAAACAATTCCGTTAGGGCTCAGGAAAGGCGCAAAGAGCATAAAGAAACTGACCGCATCAAACGTAGTAAACCTGCAAACAGGTTTCTGGACGCAAGTTTAATTGCTGAGAAACAGCGGTGCTCCTCTAGCTTCTACCATTGGCTTCTCAAGAGTAGACTCGCATATATTCTGGGGCATCCGGGGCTAATTAACCGGATATCATCTTCATCTTCGACTATAAAATTGATAGAGGCACCAGCATGGTCATTTGGCGCTGGTAAACGAGTACTTGTAGCAAATGGCCCTTTGCTCAAGCTTCATACCAAACTAGACTTCTTGCAGGGTTGTATTTCACAGCCGATTGCCACACTTAATTTATCTGAAGACGAAAGAGGCACTCGATCGACAGATCGAAAAATTGACTCTCTTACAGCAAAAGGAATATGGGTTGCATGTTTTTATGGCTGCACTTTTCATCTTCTGCAGTGGCGGTGGAATGAAACGGAGACAGAATGTCAGCCACGTGACTTCACTGATCGCTTCAACTCAAGCTTGGTTTTCTATAACGGCCAAAACGCCATCAACACGCTGAGAGAAATACTTGACTCAAGATTATTTCCAATATTCGAAGAAAATTTGTTGAGCTTGTATCTGGATAAAGGATACAGGGTGATTCTATCTCTCGACCCGTTCTACATTCGCGTAGTTGATAGATTTTATTTTACACCAAGTCCTCAGATAAGCAGCACTTTCATGCATGTAAACAATACGGTATTTTACAATAGCGGGAAACATTTGATGGCGCATGGTGTTTCCTCGACCCCTCAGAAATGGAAGTTCAATTTTCCAGTATATGCGTATGACGTCGTGTATCTTGACGGAATTGAATCACGAAGAGATCAAGGGATTATCAGACTCTTTGTAATTACTGCCAAAGAGGTAATTATACGTGACTTGAGCGACTCCCTTGGAGTTATTGGCCCTGATATATGCATTCCTATAAGTAATGACAATCAAGCAAGGCCGCTCGTTTCACGCCAAGGCCAATACGTTGTCGTTGAAGAAGGAGATGGTATATTGAAGTTGATTGACACAAAATTTCTATCATCAAAGACTTTGAACTTAAATATGAAGTTCACGTCACCTCGAGATACGATGCCACGCATGTTTGAATTGGGAACTAATGTTATATTGGCTGACGCAAAGAATACATACATGCTTACTCATTCGCCAGACCTTTTTGATTAAATCCTGATGACGGGTTGTTATCTGTGAAACAATTGTGTTTTACTGGCTGAATGAAGGACATACAAAATCAGAATGCATGATTCACTGTACAAAGACTAAAATCATCTTTTATTCATTTCACTCTATGATTATGCGCACTAGTTGCAGCAAGAGCCCTTTTTCACAAACAATTGCGTATTCGGGCCCATTTGTTTTGATCAGACACTAGATAGTTCTAACGTTTGATGTACTTGGAATAAGCTTCGTAGTCGAAGTTGCCGAATTTGTAGTCGATATCCATCAATAATTTCACCGCATCCAGGGACTTGTAGACATAGTCAGCAGGCAAACTAACTAAAGCGTTAGACAAGCCGTTTTCAGACTTCAAACCATGTTGCTTGAATAACTCATCTTGGTTGAAATGCATGAACCTAGACTTGTTGTTGTATACCTGGTCATTGGACAAGTTGTACACACCTGGGTATCCACTCACAGCCTTAAAGTTGGAGTCTCTGGTGCTAGGTGGATGCAATGGGAACAAATTCTGCAAGAGCTCATAGGAGGCCAAGGTGAAGCCAAACTGAGGAGATGATCTGAACACTCTGGCGAGGGATCCTTTGAAAAAGGCAGTAAATCCCTCCTCTTTCAAAATAGTGCCGAAAGCATGAGTAATGCCTCTATACTTGACATCGCCTTTCTTCGCTTCCATTTGCAATCTTGTTTTGATGACATCTGCGGGAGTTGTAAAGAACGCAGCAGGAGCACCTGCCATGGCACCAGAAACCAATAACTGCCATGTGCTAAGCGTATGCTTCTTATTTGGGTCATGTGGATCGAAATTGAACAAGTGGTACTTAATGTTCGCATAGGTGGGGAAGTAGATCGCAGAGAATGGCACATCTCTCAACAAACAGGCACTGGCACCCTTATATAAACCCTTGAGACCCAACTGCTTAATGACTTGACCTGCAGTCAACCTCTTCTTTGGAATTTCGCCAGGGGCCAAAGTTTTGAGGGATGCACTGCCTTGCATTTGCAATCTGATTTTGACAATTTCCAACGGGTTGGTGAAAATCACTTGACAGGCACCTGCAGAGGAGCCGGCCAATATCTCCCAGCCCATAGTGATGGTTCCATTATCAGTTGTTCCTATCCTGCGAATCAAATCGTTGACGGTCAATTTGATAGCCTTCTCTGGAGCAACACCAACCAATTGAGCGGCCAAACCCGAGTACAAGCCTTTGGGGCCCTCGTGTCTAAGGATTTTTTTCAAGCAGTCCAAAGAGTTGGCATAAAGAGAGTTGTGTTTCTGGGCCTGCATTCTAGTCTTGATCAAGTCGATGGGGTACACGGCAGTGGCGCCGATACACCCGGCAATAGAGCCTAGGAAGAAAGAATACATAGAATCAAAGATCGGCCAAAGCGAGAAGTTGTCGTTTGTGACAGGCTGTGAAGCCGGGTGTTCATAGATCGATGGCAAAGTGTGCACATTGTTCAAGTAACTCGGGTTCAAACACGAGATCAACTCCCTCCGGCTGATGGTCTCTTCGTCTCTGTTGATCAAGAAGAACAACATATCCAACTCGGGGGTAGTGATGGGCTTGAAATTCGATGATTTCAAGAGGTGGTCATTCAAGTGGCGATGCAAATCTTTCTTGTTGATCAAGATATCGGCCTTCTCGGCCGTTGTTGGCGGAGTGTTGGCAATGACTTCGTTGATCAAGTCCAACTTGTTCAAGCAGTTGTACACCAACATGACATTTGACAAGGTAAACGACTCTTTGTGGAAGAAGTCTGGCAAGGTCTGCAAGTTGTTTTTCAACCGAGCAGACAACTTGTGGCCGAGATTGGTGGTGAGCAAGTGAGCCAATCCTTCTTTGTCAATGACACCAGCTCTGCCTGAAAGCACCTCGAAACCACCAATCAATTTCGTCACAGGCAAGTTGTTGACAAGCGAGATGAAGTCCAAAAAGTCGATCTCTCCCTGGGGAGAAAAGAAACGTTCCAAGTAGGTCCAGTTGAACTTGCGCTTCTTCATCTGATAGTCTGGGTCGATAGCCTTGTTCAACTTGGAAAGTTCATCCACGCAGTCAATGTACGACAATTTTTTTTTGTTGTTGGCGAGGATATTGAACAAGACCTTGAATTCTCCGTCGTCCGAGGTCAACAAGTCGATGAAAGAGACAAAGTCATGTTCATCGACAAAGCCCTTGTGGCCCCTGTCGGCCATCAAGTAGAGCAAAGCATAAGACAGCTTAGGCAAGTCGTTTTCAAATGGCGACAAGATAGTTGCAAATTCGGGAAACAAGAGCACTTTCGTGGTCGAGCCTTCGGGCTCAGAGGCAAACTGCTGAAAGATTTCTTGGGCTTTTAGTTGCGTGGTCATGATGGTATAACTATCAGTGGGTGGGTTGGCACATGTAACAGAGGGAGTGAAGAACGAAGAACGTGTTGACAGTTCAAGCTCAATTGAAAAAATTCGAAGTACAAATTTTTGTCAGGATGGACAAGGTCAATGTTTAAATGCGACGGATTCTTTGAGATATCAGAGGAGTAAACTTGACGTTGAGGCTCGGTGTTAACTTGACCGTGGATTCTCAGAGTGGACAAGTTTCTTTTTTTTTTTTTTGGCTTATTTTTTTGGCCCGGTTTGGTCAATTTTTTCGGCTGCCTAAATGCGCAGACGCCGTGTATGGGCCCGTCTCCGCACTTCAAGCCGAACTCGGACAAATAATAATCTGCGCTATTTGACATGAGAATGCATCGTTTCCAGAACTACAAGCTCATGTGATTTGAAAGCATGCCCACTTCCGAGCCGAGGGAGCTAGCAATAGAATTACACAATTTACTGTAAGGTGGTCGCCGGCGGGGTTTTCGGCGTTTGGCATGCGCGCGCCTCGGGCCAAAGAAAAAAAAAAAAAAAAA